CTTGAATACCGACAATACCAAGAAGCGTCAAGTCACCCAGGTTCTCAAGATCAGGCATCTCCTCGAAATCCTTGTATACCAACCCAATAGTACGAAGCGATTTCCTCGCAAAAGCCATGATCGCATCATCAGCAGCCTTGCGATCCAACGGTTCAACAGCACCAGTAGTGGGGTTAGCTTCAGTAGAGCAGAAGCTAACCATGATCTCTGAAGCACCCTTGATGAGTACCCTGTATCCAGCCTGAACCTTGATCACAGCGAGCATGTACTTCTTGACAGAGTTGAAGGGCTCGATGAGGACGATTTGTTCGTTCGCTCGTGCTTCGGAGAGGGACTGCATGCCGAGATGGTCTTTGGCAAGTTGGAGCAGTGCGGTTTCGGTCTTGGAGCCGATGAAGGCTGCGTCGCCTTCGTTTGTGCCTTCGAAGGCGGTGGAGTTGATGGCGACGGATTGGGTGATGAGTTTGCGGGTTTCGGGGCAGAGGTTGGATGCCCAGGTGGGGATATCGGAGGTGAAGCTGGAGGAACCGAAACGGCCGGCGGTGACTGTCATTTTATTTGTAGTCTAAGGGGTTAGCAGACGTGTTGTGCTAGGAGAATATAACGTACCAAAGTTCCTGTCTTGTCGGAGCAAATACAAGTAGCGTTACCCATAGTCTCACACGCTCTGAGGACACGAACGAGGTTGTTCTCCTTCAAGAGGCGCGTTGTCGCAAAAGCCAATGCAAGAGTAACAGCTAGAGGTAAACCCTCAGGTACAGCGACAGCAATGATGGCAATAGCCACAACAAGAAGATCAACGAACGTGGAGGCCTTCTCTTCAGCTGGTCTATCATCACCGGGAAGAGAAGCACAAAAGCGGAAGAGAAGAATGAAGAACATGAGGAGTGAAGCACCACCACCGAGCTTAGCAATAGCAACGGCAAGACCTTCGAGCTTCTTCTGGAGGGGTGTAGACTCAATGTCTGTGCGGACCGACATCATGATCTTGCCGAAACTGCTGTTCACACCGACGGAGGTAACAACAAAGGTCCCCATGCCCTCGAGGACACGAGATCCGGAGATAATGAACGGATCAGGCTCTTTGGTGCGCATAGGGTCGTCGACAAAGCACTTGGCACCAGGCGTCTTCTTCAGCGCGTCAGACTCGCCAGTGACAGTGGACTCGTCGCACTTGACGTTATGGCCATCGATGAAGATACCATCAGCGGGGATCAAATCACCCGGCTCAAGGTTCAAGACATCGCCAACGACGACATCAGCGACATTAACAAGCATCGACTTTCCTGATCTGATAACCTTGACCTCTCGGTCATCCTTCTTAGTGTTGAGCTTCACAAACGCCTTCTCCTTCTGCCAATCGTTATGCGAAGCAACAACCACAACGATGAGCACAGCGCCGAGAATTGCAACTCCTTCAACCCAATCAACAGGCGTAGGATCACCCGGTTTATGCGAAACTCCAAAAGTCTCATACAAACCGAGCGCAAGAGAAATAGTACCCGCGACAGTTAACATGATGAGGACCGCTTCTTGGAACGTGATCCATGCCAATCTCCAGATTGACTTTGGTTTCTTGGGGGGAAGCTGATTGCGACCAAAGACTTTGATACGAGGACAGTTCTGGGTGTTTAGCTCGTCAACGCTAAGACCTGCTTTCAGATCGACGTTGAGACTGCGCGCCAAGCCCGGCAGCCCGCCGAGGCCTTTGAGCACATCGAGGGATTTGGGGTCGAGTAGTTGGTTCAAGACCTCGGGGCTGTGGTTGAAGGGATTGTTGGGATCGTGGGGGAAACGCTTCTCGTTGCCAGCATCGAGATATTGGGGAATTTCAGCGGTGTTGATGCTAGGAACAACAGTGGTGTCTCCGGCTGAAGAGATGGTGCCTGCTTCGCTGATGGATCGCTGGCGAGGATCCAGCAGGGCTTTTGGGTCAAGATGGCCAGACATGGTAGCTTAGTCTAGGCCCTTGGCGAAAGAAGTATAATAGAGGAATGAGTGAGCTCCAAACCAGTGAGCTGCGATGGGTGAGTCATGGTGGTTGAGCCCGTGGGGGTTTTCACTTTATATCTAATGTCTATCGCTCAGCTAACATCATTTTCCACGTCCACGTTTAAAAGCTTAGTTTGAGAGGTACAGGGGAGCTATTGTCGGTACCAACAAAGGAGGTGTACAGTCCCACCAATGGATTAACTCTAAAAGATCTGATAAACGAAACAATGGCTTATATCATCGGACAACGGAAGTCCGAGATCTCAATGGAGCTAAGATCTGCGCCGGTGAGCAGGGGAGCTCTTTTCAACAGCCAATGAAATACGGTAGTGATTGAGGATCATCAGTTATGTAATCGGAGACGGAAATGAAGATGGGAGCTCTGACCATAGCTTGATCTTGTTTCTGCTGCATCTGCACAGCCTCCCTCGATGATACCGCCCAATCAAGCTTATTTAGTGACGGGTATGTGTTGTAATTATCAGATCCCCCCCCGCAATATCAGAATCTCGCTTGTTGTTTAGCATTACGTTAAGGAATTCAAGTGCTGATCCGATCGTACCCAGCTAGAAGGTTTACGTTAGGTTACAGCACTTTATGCTACCCTGTAGCTTGGGAGGCCTGTTTTGACAGATCGAGATTTGGGATCAAGATGAAACGTCGACTCGTTTGGACACTCCAAGCTTATTCTGTCCTTTTCAACTACGTTTGCATTCTCAATTGAAAGAGACGCGGAGAAAAGGTTCCCCTCTCAGGCCTCAGCGGTAAATGCGCGAGACAATCATCAATGATTTGATCTTGATCCCTGTCTCGCTAACACTCTAATTCAGCAGATCCACGTGCCAACTGTACCGCTCACACTAGGTCTAGCACCAACACATTACATTTTCTGCCCCACGGAAACCCGCCTCTCCGTCAATCTCTCCCACGTCTCGCTTCCGTCTCTCCGATTACACTCCAAGGTTCTGCGTCCCCCTCGCAATGCCTCCCCGACGAGCCTGCGACACATGCTATAAGCGAAAGGTAATAAAAACATGTTTTGTTTCCCTCCCTTCCTCCAGTGTGACATCATTTAGCATCAGCAATTATAATAACCCTTGCTATAGATTCAATGCCTGATCAAAACTCAAGGTGATCCATGTGACTGGTGCGACAGCCAGGGGCTCACATGCACCTTTGATAGAGTGATCCAGAAGGACCCAAACAAAAGGTAAGCTCATTAAGCTTGATTGCCAAGGCTGAACCGTTCCATTGGGTGCTTCAGACTGACCCTTTCAGAACTACTTCCGATGTCGTCCAGGAACTATCACGCCGCGTGGAAACGCTCGAGGAGGCGCTTCAAACGGCGTTGACGAATAGCACAAACATGTCTGTTGGAGGCCCCTCACCATGGTCTGAACCAACAAGTCTTCGCTTCGCTTCTTCTCCAATCACTCGACAGCCGGTGATAAGTCCAATTGGAGTATCGCCTACAACGCGCGCAAAGCCAGTTTACAAATTATGCCGCTGCCACATCGGCACAAATTGGTATTTCAAGGGAATTGGCATTCTCTCAAATCGCGGCTGGCAGTGGATTTCAGATGGTGCAGGGGAGCGCGTATTTCTCGAAAACTTTGACATTTTCGGTAATCCTGCGCCGCCACTTGGCTCTATTTCATTTTCTGAAACACCGAGGGTTCTGCCGCCGAGGGCCATCTGCACGCATGTCGTTGAGTTATTTTTCAAGTCCACAACAGCTGTTATCTTTCCGTTTTTGGAGAGAGGCCTCTTTGAGGGGACGCTGGGTAGGGCTTTTGACGAGGGGGTTGTTGATTTGGGGAGACGGGCGCCTGCTGAGGCTTGTCTTTGGGCTATGATTGCTCTTGTTGTGAGGACGACTGATGCTCAGCAGTTGGGGTTTTCTTTTGAGCCGAGGGATTGTGTTAGTGAGACTTCACGGCTGTTGGGTGTTGTGAGTGGCATTACTAGCTTGGACAGTTTGCAGGGAACTCTTCTTCTGGTGAGTAAACCTAACCTTTTTGAGTATCGAGATCGAATCTTACAAAGTTCAGTGGGCAAGTCAAAACACCAGAGGACAATGTCGCGAAGCAGCTGTTAGCTTCGCAAGCGCATGTCGCATGGTATGCGATCTCGGCGGCCATTTCCCTCTATCACGACCAGCAATCTTTCCTCAGCATATTCCAACATTCGACGACCAAACAAGACTTCACCTCCGGAGATTATTCTGGATCTGTTATTGTTATGACAAGGATATGTCTCTACGAACAGACAAGCCGCCACTACTCACTTCGGATCACTGTGATATAAGTGATGCTGAAGATCAGACGCTATGGTACAGTCATCCACGAGATACAAACCTTGCGAGAATCAAGGAAAACGCAAGCAACATTCTATGTTCTCCACGGGCGTTCAAGTACACGGAAGGCGAACTTCTTGCGCACGTTCGGCAGCTTGATGATGAGCTTGAGGAATGGCGCTTATCAGTTGATCCGCGATATCGACCACGTTTATCGATCTTATCAGACCTATCGTTCTCACTACCTGCTGCTATGAATCTGCAAGATCGGACATATCTCATAAACCTGCAGCTCGATTACCTGTTTACCATTATCAACATCCATACACTGGTCCGAAAATGCGGCGACTTGGAGGAGAATCTCCCAGATGATCTCCACAGCGTAGTCCACTCCAGCGCTGATCTCTCCATCGAAGCAAGCCGTTCCATTTTTCGAATATTGTACACGATAGTGGACCTCTGGAAAGAAGATTCACTGTGGATAGTCTCGCACTATGCACCTATGGCTGCGATGCCACTCTTCATGAACATTCTCATCCACCCGCTTGGTTCTTCGGCAGATAATGATTTGCATATCTTATCGTCGATAAGCAAAATCACGCGCAAGGTCCCGTCTGACAGACTTCCGATGGAAGAGATTGAGCATATTCAGGAAATCAGTGAATTTGTCATGGAGCTTGTACGATTAAGTCATAGTGCGGCTTGGAAGGTCAAACGGGGCGAGAGAGAGCATGATCTCGATATCATTCATACATAGAAACATAAATAAAGAATACACGATTGAAATGGCTACTCAATTCTGAACTAGTAGTTGGGATGCTCGTCTCACGAGCTAGGAGACGTTTTTCACTTTACTACTAATACGAATAGGGCTTGGTTTGTAAGTCATATATATTCATACGGTGCTATCCGTGATTACCCTCTCAACCAGTTCCTGCCAAGACACCAATCTCGCATAGGTGGATTTAACTGATGATCGACCGGATGCTTCCCGCTTGGCGATAATGAATGGGTCTAGGAATATGTCAGATTCAGAGCAATACTCATCCAGAGAACAGACCACTTACTCGACAAGGATTTACTCCTCACCCATAAGGTGCGACAAGTCCCGAGGACACTTTCGTCCACTGCAAATCCACTCCCCAGCAACCTTCTTACAAGAACACTGCCTCTTCTCCAACCCACTCTCCTCAGCGGGCAAACTTCTCGGGCACTTGGGACCACCGCACAACCACTCGTCGCCAACCTTGTGGCACGAACACTGTCTCTTCGCAAGCTTGTTCTCCTCGGGAAGGTCGCGGGGACACTTGGGGCCGCCGCAGAGCCACTCGTCGCCGATCTTGTGGCATGAGCACTGGCGAGGGACGAGGTCGCGCTTCACTTTGTCGTAGCACTTGGTGCCGGTGCAGATCCAGTCGTCGCCGACTTTCTTGCAGACACATGAGCGGGCTTGGATGTCGCTTGGGGAGGACGGCGCGGCAACGGTGAGGGTTGCGAAGAGGGCGACTGCGAGAGGGAGGAACTTCATTTTGGCAGTTGGTGAGTTATTCGAAGATGTTCTTTATTGGTTTGGTTTATTTGTTTGAGTCTGACTGCTGAGAGGAACTGATATCTAATGACGAGAGTGTTGCTCCTTTATACTTGAATCTTCACGACCAACAACACGATATTCCAACCTCCACAGTCACCGCGATAGCCCGATCAAAAGATCCTAGAAAGATGTACCCAAAATAAGCTCTTCAAACATTTTCGGAAGTCGGTCCAGTGATAAGTCTGGCACTTTTGCTCTCCGTGCTCCTTTTGCCTAGCGTCTAGACCCAAAATGGAAGGTGAAGCAACGTCAACCCGCCTCTGCATTCGCTGTTACCATAGCATTCGCTCTGCAGTTGTTGTTACCATGGTATTGGAGATGCTCAGCGTCGTATTTGATAAGTATCGACTGATCGAGACTAAGTTGGGGGCCGAATGTGAGGTTATTCACGATGGTTTTCAGTGGCGTGTTGATTCTAGGCTGATGGGATTTATGTTGCCAAGGAATCCTTCGGCGGGAAGAGAATGGGGACTAAACAAAAACTACAGAAGTTCTTCTGCTGACCAAGACCTTTGTTTGAATCAATTGAGAAGGTAGTATTCGCATCTGACACAATTAGGCTGTCTGGATATCAGCTACGGGGGCGATTTGATCATCAGCGGCAAATAAGTTCGGGACATGAAGTTAAATACTCCCAGGGCAACTCATGGGTCAATGCAGATAACATAATGCTCGAGGCGCGATTAGAAATGAACATAACAGTACTTATAAATCTATAGACAAAACTGCTTTCAGAGGCATGAATTAACGTTGAATGATGCTTAAATGGTATACAACTAAAAACAAGCTTGATACGCCTCTCTATCTACGCGCACGATCCACATCGTAATACAACCTGCCATACCAAATACGGAAAAGGGTCGATTCGGAAACGCACAACAGTTCTCGCTGAGTGACAGGGTTCGCAGTGGCGATGGCTGTCAATTGGTTAACTAGCGAGACAGAACGGGCCCTCGGACTAAATAATACTGATGATCCTGCAGATTGAGAGACAGGGCTTATATCTATGATACCTTGTAGTCGGCCGCTGCTATAGTGAGTAATGCCGATATCTTCAGATCAGATGACCCTCATGCTATGTTGAAGTTCGACAGTTGTATCACGAAACAGGAAGGCAGTTTTATTGATGCGAGGCAAATAATATTTTTTAGTATCGAGATGGCTTTTCCTACCTGCGGATTTTCTTGATTAACTGAGCTTAATTGATATACGCGAGAAATCTTCGAGAGATATAGCATGGTACCTGATGCTAAATCACAAAAAAGAATAGCGCATCTCAGATATGTTGTGATATGCATCGTTGCCGTATCTTGAGATCTATGGGATAGATTAAACTATTTTGTACTAAGAACAGATTCTTCCATTAATGCCGCCTCTCTATATATACGCAAACCCCCTAAGCTCCCATCACAGCTGACCACTGGTGGTGAGAGCATCTCCACTGCTCGTATCAATCTCAACGTATGAATTGTCCAGTATAGATCTCATGTCATAAGAGTACTGCGAATATGAGTTACCCGCTTGAATACCAACAGTCGCACCTCGTCCATTATTTTCAGTGTGATAGTACACAAATCTCACCAACCCCGGATGATCCTTGTACAGACTAACCGTGAAGTGATCAAGGTCCACACCATTGCCTCCTACAGCGATAGTGTTGTACTCAACAGTGAACGTCTGCCCCCTAGAAGTCTCGTGGACAGCGTACGAAATGCCTGAGCCACAAGTTTCGGTAGAGGTGAACTGGTCACCCCAGTATGGGAAGATGGACACCGGCGGGAAGTAAGGGAAGGGAAGATAGTAGCTGCCGGAGTACTCAAACTTTGGTGCTTCGAGGATTGATAACATTCCGGTCACACCGACATAGACTGTATTTGAGAGGGAGCCGTAAATACCAACTTGGAAAGGAAGTTGCACGGTGTCATATTCATCAATGTGAACGTCTCCTGAGGTGAATAAAGGTGTAGGGCTTGCAAGAACAGTATGTGGAATGCAGCCGGTGGTGGTGGCCGCTGCGGTAGTGGTGCTCTCAGCGGCCGTGGTAGTAAGCTCATCAGTTGTTGTAGTGCTCTGTTCAGCGACTGTTGTGCTGTCTTTAGCTGTTGTAATACTTTCTGCAGAAGTCGTAGTGCTGTACTCAGCAGCAGCTGCGGTAGTAGTTGTTCCATCAGTTGCCGCAGTACTCTCTCCTTGTGAAGCTACGATAGTGGTACTGCTGTCTTCTGATGAAGTTATGACAGTAGTAGTGCTTTCACCAGAAGTTGTTGCGCTGAGTCCAGATGTTTCAGTACCAACTTCTGATGAAGTAGTCATGGCGGTTGTGCTATCCTTGGCCGTTGTACTGATGTCCTCGGATGAAGCCGTGGTAGAGAGCGCAGCCCCATCAGTTTCTGTTGTTGTACTAGCATCGGTCGTTGTAGTGCTGTATTCCGATGAAGTCGTGGTAGTAATGGCTATGGACGAAGTTGCAATGGTAGTGATGCCGTCACCAGATGTTACAGTGCTACTTTGAACTAATGTAGCACTATCATCTGTTGCTGATGTTGTAATGGACTCAGAAGATGAGTTGGCACTGTCACTAGTCGTAGAGCTTCCCTCGGCCGTTGTGCTGCCCATAGAGACAGATGTAGTGCTATCTTTAGCTGTAGTTGTTGCGATATCCTGGGATGCTGATGCCGTGCTCTCCTCGGTTGTAACTGTTGTGCTGCCTTGGGACACCATTGCGGTTTCGGTTTCGGTAGTAGTTGCACCAACTTCACTGGTAGTTTCGGTTCCGGTTGTTGTATGTGCGATCGTTGCAGTGTTGTCGATGGCAGTTGAAGTTTCAATACCGGTCTCAGCCTCACTTATCTCGGTGGTAGTAGCACTTTCAGCAGCTGTGGAGACAGCAATCGTCGTGGTGGTCGGATCATCAGCCACAGAAGTACTACCCTTAGCTACAGTCGTAGCCTGAGTGGCGAGAGTACGTGTTTCAATCACACTTGGAGAAGTTTCAGTCTCTGTAGACAACTTCGTGCTAGAAATGGCTGTATCGATGGTAATCGCAGTGGTTGTACCAGTACCTGCGACATTTGTCTCCGCGGTAGTAACAGCCTCGCTCTTGGTCGAGGTTGTCTCCAAGACAATTGTTTCAGAGCCTGTAGAAGATGGTGCAGAGATAGATATTATAGACTCTAAAGCAGTAGTCAAGGCACTTGAGCCTAATCACAATTAGTAAGACAAGATTTCACCTGACAATGAAGTTATTCCCAGTGGCTTGGCACTACTTGAGTAGTTCAGCCAAACTTAAGATTGGCTTGAACTTACGGGTGCTGAAGGATAACGGTTTACACGGGCTTGCGACGACCGACTGCGCCACCAACAAGCTCAAAACCGGGAAGGAGATTGCCTTGGAATGCATGGTGTTTAACGAGCGACACCTGTAAAGACGGAGGGAGAGAGGTATGCGCCAGCCTAAAGGCAGATGAAAAGGGAAGAAGAAAATTGAAATCGAAAACAAAACAAAACGCATCTCTGTGGTATACCTTCGCCCGTAATTATCAGCTCATGTTTTTATTTTATTTAATGAGAATCAATAGTCTGTTCAATAGTTCAGAGCTAGCGGGCATAAAGCAAGCAATCTTAAATTTAAGCGAGAGACAGACTGCAAAGAGCAAATACAAGATAAAGTTAGCGCTTGATGCTTTTGAAGTATAGAACATCCTACCTTAAGCTATAAACTACAAAATGTAATACAGGAGCATAGAACAAGCCCAGCCGACAATTAAGCGTCAAGAGGCACTTCTACAGCACGTACATCATGGATTGTGGATCTCTGTGGACCTTGCCCAGCTGGCCCAGGGTCACTGGACTGAGAAGACCCTGTAAAGTAGGTCTTGGCTGAAGGAAGCTTTTATTAACTGACGATATCTGTGCGTCTTGGTTGAAATGTTACTAACACTCAGATCTGTTAAACTGATTTTTCTTTCTAACTAGTCTCGTTATTGCATTGTGTGCATGGTATAAATTATACAATTGTGGCTATCTAGACATCCTCAAGACAGCCACTTATAGCCGAGAGAAGGATATATACAACGTAAAATGACGACAAGATTTCCTTCTTGATCATATGGCTAAAGAAAACTCTCAAGTGCTAAGCTGTGCCAGATTCCATCCCTGAGTCCTAACATGGTCCAACATCGTCTCGAGTGTTTGACGATCCCCAGCATCACCCAGGTCCAGTCGCGCAGGGTGAATTGGTCGCAGAGATGACCGATTGTGTCGGTACTCCCATTCATAAAATTGCACCTTGGTTCCAATGGCCACAGCTCCAAAAAGCCTCCTAGACACATTGGTGTTTTGCTCCATGTAATGGGTGAGCTGGGTTGCAGCCGAGGCCCATCCGCTGTTGCTATCGTGCTCCGAGCTCTTGCATTCAACCATGAAGATCTGGTACTCCATGAGCATCGTCGAGTCCCGGACGAGTCCAGCACCGACCAATCGAACCTCGATAACGACTGCATCAGACTGGTCATTGTTGGCCAAGACTGAGGCTTTGGTGGCGAGCTTGTAAGCTGTTTGTCCTCCGACAGCAGGGAACCAAGACTGGAGAATGGTGTTCCAGAGAATCTGGATAGGTTCCTCATACGCGGACTTCTGCGCCATCAGAAGGGCGCTGGCAAAGCCAATGTTTGTAGAAATTGAAAACCTGTCCGTCCGCCATATTGATTGAGTGGTTTGATAGATGTTGAAAAGTATACCAAGAAGTTGAGTAGAATCAAGAAAGATGCATGCAAAAGAGTATATAAGAGAGTATGTACATGTGGTTTACTGCTTTTTTGCCCGGATATCCAATTCTAAGGAGGGAGTCATTTAACTCTTATACCCAGCTCAAACGTCAACATTGCCAGGCTATCCAATGCTGAACATCTCGTACAGATAACCTGAAACCCTTTAGCCGCCGTCGAGCCAAAGGTTTAATCGTCACTATTGGCTGCTGAAACAAACTTCAATTTACCTTCCACTGAGGGAAAAAGGCGCGCGCCTACGGGGCCACATTGGCCGGCGACACGCCAGGCCGTTGCTAACTTTAGGTACCATCGCGGTTCAGGGCTGCGAATTAGCGGGTAAAATCAGGGCTGGGTGGTTCATAAGCGCTGCTAGCTCGGCCCGACCATAGTGCGTCTTATGCCTCAGGCATTAGTACCCCTAACCCACAACTTTCTGCAGGCAGCCAGTCAACTTCACATTCACTGACTACCTACCGACAACTTCCAGCATTTGTTTTCATTCTTTTCCCATGACTAGCCGGCTTCATCGCATGCTGTGACTCAGTATCGACAGAAACTATAACCTATACGGCTGCCAGAACGAGGTGGTGGAGATTTCCACTTCGAGCTAATCATGCACCAGTTCTGTGTTCTCTGTGGAGTCATCCTTGTGCCATGCCCATCTTCGCTACCAGGTGACCCTCCTAAGCGACTAGACTGGAAGCAAGAAATCCGTGCAGGTTAGTACAAGTTTTAATGCGATCGTTCCAGACGCTTATTTGATCACAGTCACGTCTCATGGAGGATTGTCAAGAGTGACCCTCACCGGTGTTGGCTATCTCGATGCAAGCGCTCTTTTGGCTAGCAGCGACCATGATACATCATATATGAGCCCAGAACATGAATTGACATTGCATTACTTGAACTATTCGCCACCGACTGGGACATGGACATTTGCTTTTCACGAAGCCTGCTGGCAGCTGTTACTCCGAAAGGTTTCCTTGTCGAAAGAAAACCAGGCTGATCCGCAACGTATCGCAGAACTTCTATTCCGGCTTCTCTACTGTCTCCCGTATGACCGCTTCAAAGTTCCTTGCCCGAACCATGACTTTGGTGGTGCCCTGAAGTTCTGGAAGTCACCTTTGATTCTGCCTGAGTCCTGGAACTTTCTCCTAGCCGATCCTAGCACGCTCACTTTTGGTTCTGCAACCCAGGCAATTAAAGATGTTTTTGAACTGCCTCACACCACACCTGACTTTCAGCCTTCTGACGATATATTCGCAAGGCTTTCACCTGAAATTGTGCATTTGGTTATCACCATGATGGAATCAACAGACCTTTGCAACTTGCGACTTTCCTCAAAGTTCGTGTCGAAGCTGACCAGTCCTGACCATCTCTCGCAGGACTTCTGGAAAAGTCGCTTTTCGGTCGACAGAGAGATGGGGTTCTTCCCCTCCGAGAACAAGCTTTGCTTGCCATCTAACTCCAAGGTCAACTGGCGCACACTTTACTTTGACTTGAAGTGTAGCTTAAGCGGCGAGACGGGAACTGGTCACATGCGCAACCGCCGCCGAATTTGGCTCTGCCTCGATGTTGTGGCTCGCTCTTTGATATCACTTCTTGACCAGAACCTGTGTCTTCAAGACCGCCAAAGCGTTGAGCAGGATGTAATTTCACAACGTTACGAGCCTGGACAATTTATACAGACCCCGATTATAGAAGATGCTCATGATTATTCTCCCAGCGACATAGGCGCACGACTATTTGGTTTTCAATGCATCATTTTCCTACCCCAAAACCCGGATATCGGCTCGAGGATATCCCTGTCACGCATACTATTTGACGGTATATATTACATATCTGGCTTAAGACTCTCCGAACAGAGTGAAGTGAACGGCTTCAAAGAGATTACTAGTGTTGGCTATATTGTGCCTCAGACAGAAATTCATGTACCTTTCGGTCCAAACCATCGCTTGACCGGGATGCGGGTCGCTGCCTCTGCAAGCGGTATAGTTGGTCTTAGTTTTCGCATCGACAACGGGACTGATGCCATCGTTTGGAAAAACATTGGTGTTGTTACTGATCCTCCTGACGGTGTTGGGGTAGCAACTTTGGAGCCGAAAATTGATTCCCAGTTGTGTGGAGCAATAATCGGTTTCGATGTAAGTTTTAGCCTCTCTCCAATCCAGGATCCGGTTAACAAGACATTCAGGCATGCAAATCTGTCTCATTTCAGGTTCTTGAAGAAGCAATTCAAATCGCAAACATGCAAGTTGCGGCAACGAAAACAGCAGGTTCTATGTCTGGGCTGTGGCATCCTACCGAACCAGACACTTCCGTGCATGGAGTCATTCATCCCTCTACACCCAACCATCAGCAGACCATTGACCCATTATATGTCTTGAATTTGGGCTTTGGGGGGCCTGGAGGAACCCTTATTTCACGTCTCAGCCGAATCACCGCTTTACACGATGACGAGCACGGCTCCTTCAGAGGTTTTGCATTTTCCTATGTGGGTGGTCGTACAAGGAGTTACGGTACGAGGACGGTCATAAATACCACAAGCGATCGCTCTACTTGTATAGAGCAATCCTTTTCTATAGACGGACCAGGGGGCGAGAGAATCGTTTCACTGGAGTCCGAACCAGATGCCTCCTCAGAGACTGAGAACATCCGTGCGATTAAGGTATAGTCTCTAGCAATCTTTAACGATTCACCATGGACGAAAACTAATCTAACTGGCGCAAATCATAGCTAAGGACTAGCCATGACCGGACTTTGGAATTTCGACGTACGTGTCTATCCTTGGGTGACCAAGTCGCGCAATCATGGCAAACAATCATCCCGCCTTCAGGGATGCCCATTTCCGCAATACTTGCCAGAGCTCAGGTACGTAACATTTTTGGATGGAGCTTCTCGTATGCACATGACTGATCAGTCAACAACCATTTTAGCTGCGTTCAGGAGCACTTCAATCACTGGGCGTACAGTACGTTACTCATTTAGCTGCTAACCTCTCGCAAATACCCTTCACAGATACCAATATGGAAAACAGTAATCCACATAGTTTCCCAATGAGTAAAGATGGATTGGAAAAGGCACCTGGTTCTCTTAGGCGCTCCGAGGGCTGCTTTACCTCAGTCATGCTATCTGGAATACGACGCATAGGTGTGTCAAGAGGTCTGCCAGGACGAACAAGGGGGCTTGATCATGTTGCCGGACTCTGCTTCGAGTTCTGGGATTCAGCTCATCCTGTTTACATTGGCCAGTGGTATTGTGAAGTCGGCTACCTTTCAGTAAAGCAAGGCGAAAGGATATGTAGCTTCACTTTCTGGCAGCAGCAAGAATCTTTGCCAGGCAACAATTCGAGAGAGAACGCAGGCAGGATCACAGGTATCAAGATCACCAAAACAGGGCTTGGACAACAAGACATGGAAGTTGTCCTTGGCGACAAACAAGAGATGCTCTCGTACTCTTTTGTGGAGAATCCCTACGAGCACCTGGTAAGGACGCCAGTCAAGAAGAAGATCAGACTCGATTCTAACAGTCTAAAAGATGGGCCTAGTCTGGATTTTCAATCGCGAATGCGATTACACCTACGTCCTCACAAAACCGTCGGAGCACTTCCCACGGACTTCTCTGACCTTGAACAGCATGATGCGCATCTGGCCAAACAGCCGCGCACCATACAAACTGACTTGGCAGGTTGAGGACGATGAAGGTAACTTATGCACAGTCTCGCGGATTCATGCTGTCTTTTGCCCCAACTCTGGAAAGCTCTCCGGTTTCGTCTTAGACTATGGCACTGTCCAGATATCCAGGACTGCAGGGTCCGCTGATGGCGTCAAGTCGTCTTTTAGTCTTGGGAGCGAGGAATGGATAACCCGCATGGACTTACAGCTTTGGAAAGACGAGAGTGATGTAGTGGTAAGCATGGCACGACGGATTTCAGCCTGGGATTCAAATTCTAACGAAGCGTTAGTTCCATACAAGTGCTGGCCGGGTATACTCCCTGTCCCCTTCTGGTTCGTGCGATCAACCACGACAGAAAGATCCAGCAGATTACGAAGTCTTCAAATTCAACCATCTTGGATGTAGCAGGACATGCTCACAGGGATGCCTGGACGGGAGTTCAGAGTCCAGTGATGAGTGCGTCGGAATATGGGTGACGATGAAATGGTGGCCTCGATATGCAAATATCGTCGAAGCGGCTGGTCCTATCACTATTTCAAGAGGCGAGGGTCGATAATAAGGTATCTAATCCGCTGTTGGGGAACTGTTTCTGGGGTAGCTATTTTGCCAGCTCGAGAAACGCAAAAGCAAGCAAACGACCTTGATTTTAGTATTCACATCAGCTAAATGCTTAATTTGGTATGAGCGCGGCCTCGCTGATATTGTAGTAAATGGAAAGGAGAAAAAGCTTCTGCATTAAAAACTGAATCTTCTTATTATTTTTTAACCTAACGATATGCCCCAATCCTCGCATCTTCCGTCCAAGTCACCTCTCTTAATCAGTACCAACAAACTGTCTCACCATCTCATCCAAATCAACCGAGTAAAGCCAATCGATATCAAACGGCTTAGTTTCAACATCAGCCTGCTTAGGCATCCTCCTCTTATTAATCTCATTATTCAACTCAATGATCTTATCAACACGCTCCTGTCTTCCCTTCTGCCACCTTCCAAGAGCGTCACTAAGACCCTCACTTTTCTTCTCCTTCAATTGCCCAAGAACACCGGCGAAGGTGTATACATCCTCAAAAGCCTGGTTCACGCCTTGGCCAGCGGTGGGAGGGATGGCATGTGCTGCGTCACCGAGAATAGCGACGCGGCCGTGCTTGGCGCTGGAAGCCCAGGTCTCAAGCTTGGGGAGAAGATAAAACGGCCAGAGGTTGACTCTGTCGGGCGAGATTTCCGAGGTAGAGTTTGCGACGATGGCGGGGAAGTCCTCGTTGCCTTCGCGGAGGAAGTCAACACACCACGTCTTATCAGAGTTCATAGCCTTCCAAGCATCACGGCCTGGATCTTCACCAACGAAAGTCTTCTGCTTTCCAATAAGAACCTCCGAACCATCAGCCAACTGCGGTGCAATAACGAAAGCGCCGCGCTTGTCATGCATGAAAGTAGCTGGAAGCTTGTAATCATTGTTCTCCAACTTGAGCTGCCTCGCTGGAACAGCAGCTGTGACACCGATCATGTTGGTGAACTTTGGTTCCAAGTCTGGATGAAGATATTTCCTCACACGAGAGTGAATGCCATCCGCACCTACAAGAAGACTAGCGGTTTCTTCACGCCCATCTGTGAAGCGCCACGTAACGCTGTTTTCAGTCTCACTAACAATGCTCTCAAACTTTCTCCCGTACTCAACCTTGATACCGGCTTCTTTAACGAGATCAAGAAGAACATTAATGAGCTCAAAGCGATAAACACGAATACCAGAGTATCCATATTTCTCTTGATTGCCGAACTCAAAAACATCAACTAGTTTATCGTCTTGGGAGTAAAAGTATAAGTCTTGGAATTTGTAGGACTTGGGGAGCATGCGTTCAAAGACGCCGAGCTTGTCTAGGGCGCGGAGGGAGTTGGGGGATAGCATGATTGCGCCGCCGATGTCGAGGGGCGCGCTTTGTTGTTCGTAGGCGGTGGACTGTATGCCTTGTTGGTGCAGAGCGAGGGCTAGGGCGAGACCTGAGAGGCCTGCTCCGATGATGGCGACTTGTGGGGATGACATGTTGATCTTGAATAAGGGCAGAAGGTAGACTTAGAGTTGAAGGTGTATATAGCGTAGTGTTATTTTGGTGTTCTGAGAGTGGGTATAGGTGAGATGTGAAGGTTGGTAGGATTGATGAGTTTCTGATGCATCACCACCTCGCCCATGGCCTGCTATATATACACAACCCTCTCAACCACCCTCCACCCCAATCCTCTCTCTCACCATCCTCAAGTTAAGCCATCCTCATCCTGCGGTAATTTCCTCGGCGTCGGTCTTTTGCCAAAAAGCCCTTCATTCTCACACAATCGTGCCGCTCACATCCGTCTCAACCAATCATCTTGACCAAAACCCCTCTTCTACCGGCCGAGTCGATCCATCCGGCCGATATCCACTCCTTCTCGGCCGGCTTACGGTCAGCACAGCCTCTGACACACTCTCTGGGTTGTTTTTGATAGGCTAGCTCGCTTATTCATGCGCCCGTTCTAATGCTCGGACTCGTTAGTGCTGATTTCTAAGCTGCGGCGCGGTTTTTCGCATAGCCACATCAACCGCCCGGCCGAAACGTCGGGACCGAATTATTCGGCCGGGTGGGGAGGGAGGAATGGAAGGAGGATTTACTATAAAGACTAAGGACGCGGAACTCTGAACGATATTCTACTCATCAATCCATTCGCACACAAACATCTTCTACAAACATCCCCAATACCTTGGACCTTGCCTCCAGTCTCATAACTTCCATCAACTCCTTACAACTATTCTCGCTTGGCATCTGTGATCTACGCAGATCTACCCCACTCAACACCAACTACCGCTTCTCCACCAAAAACCCCTTCACAATGCACTTCCTCTTCATTGGCGGAACAGGCCGCAACGGCTCTCTGGCCGTTCAAGAGGCTCTATCCCGCGGCCATACAGTCACTGCCCTCGTCCGCAACACAAACTCCGCCAAACTTCCCTCCCACTCCAATCTCACCCTCGTTCAGGGAACACCAACTTCAGAGTCCGACATCATCAAAGCTCTTACAACACCTCAACCTCCTCAAGTAGTCATCTCAGCTCTTGCACAAGTCAGAGTCACAGAGTCTCCTTTCGCAGCTCTGCATCCTGATACTACACCCGACTTCATGGCTGTGAGCATGCGCGCTCTCTTCGCTGCTATTTCCCAGGCCAACATCCACCCCAAGATTGTTGTAAACTCAGCTCAAGGCGCTGGCTCATCGTGGCGCTCTATGAATCTCCCCGGCAAGATGATCTTTAGCCACGGAAGCATGGGTATTGGACTTAAGGATCATAACGAGGTTGACCGTCTGGTGCGCGAGAGTGGTTTGACATTTGTTCTTTCTCGGCCTGTTATGCTTGCCGAGGGTGAAGCCCAGCCTGTCAAGGTCTGGCCTGAAGATGGAAAGGGTTGTGCTTGGATGCCCAAGATTACTAGGGGGAGTGTTGGGAAATGGCTTATTGATGCAGCTGAAACCAGCGAGTGGGATGGACAATCCCCTGTTCTCAGCAACTAAAGCATCCCAGATGAAAGCTTCAGGTACATTGGTTAGTTAGATATTATTTCTTGATTTCCGTTATAATTCCTAGTTAGTTTCATAGACAGTTCTTGGCACAAATCCCATATCTTTTCATTTTGGCCCTGAAGCTTCTGTAAGCTAGCAAAGTCACGTTACGAAAATTGTCAATACACAATGATTTATTCTCCACTTGCCCTGAAAAGCTGGCCTCGGCGCCAGCGGCTTGGTCTGACAAACCCAGCCGGTGTCTTTTCCACCAGACAAACCTCGTCACAGCCCTCACGCTCCTCTGCATCTATAAGCCGCATTCCAGCAAGTTCCTCATTCTTCAATAGCATAGGCACTTCATCTAGACTCCCCTTCGCCCACTTCTCCCAGGTCTTGATCCTAAGCTTTTCGTCTGGCATCCATTTGGCACTGCTACTCCAAGGTGCAGGCAGCCTCGCGTCTGTGTTGAGTATTCTCCACGGCCATCCGGCAGCTAACGTGTATATCCATTGTTTATTAGTCATGTACGTCTCGTGGTTCAAACGTATGTAGAGGAGCAACATCTTCCAACTCCGACCTTGCAACTCCCCCCCAACCACGTATTTGGTGGTGGGAAATGCCCAAGTCGTAGTCCGCCCTTTTTTTATATGACAGCGCAACAGTGTCGTGTAAGTATCCAGCTTGTAGGAGCTCAACGGCGCCACTGATCCCAAGACGGTGATATCTGCATCGGCGGTATCTGGCAGCTCAACTACCAGCTGTAGAGCCGTGATGATCGATTTCCAGAGTGACCCCTGATCCTGCTGGTGGCGTTCTGGACACAGTGTCTTGTTCTGCATTCCAACGCAAGGAACGTGAAGACTTTGAAGATTTGGCAGAGCAATGGGATGAAAGCAGTCATCCGAGTCCCAGGTGCCAAACATTGCATCACACAGAGAGCTCATATCGATGTGGACATGCTGCATACGGCGCAGCAGGGGGCGCAAATCCTCGCAAAGATGAAGTTCAGGTCCATCAATATCAATCATATCCGACGTTCCCAAAGCAAGCTCCAGACTTGTGCAACTTGGCGGAATGCTTCTCAGAATGGCTGAAACAATTGGCTTTTTGATGAAACAGGCCGGGACTCGGTGATGGCGCGCTAGAGAGAGGGACCTGAGATTGTTCATGCGCGGAATCACATCCGCCGCCAGTTGAAGGAATGAATGCTGAGTGTCGCTGTAAAAGCCTCCCGGTGTTTCAGGTGGGCGATTTATGTAGACAGTCAAAGACCGTGTCAAAGAAGAAACGGCCCATCGATCATGACATGCTATGAAGAGATCCAATTGAGGACCAAAAAAGAACACGAGGTCCTTGTAAAGCAAGCGAAGAGCAACATCATACCATTCCTTGTTAATGACTAGACAAGAATGGACGGTAGGTCTCGGATTGTCGCAAGGGCTAATGTTCTCGAACACTTTGGTGAGAAGTTCGGACGGGAGGGTATTGGCCATTGGATGGAGGTTTATTATCAATCAGCACAGTCAGAGATGACATTGGAGTATTAAAGGGAAGCAGAAAGACAGGATGGATACTTGGAGGGATTTGTCGTGGAGGCTATGCTGAGCATCCATCCAGGCATCCTCCATACATGTCCATCCGATTGGCAGGGTCGGATGATGGCCCAATTGATGAACGTGGCTGAGTCAGACCGACAGAACGGATTCTGAAAATTACTAGATAAACCGAAAAGCTACTGCTAGGATCGCCTAATTAGGCGGTTTCTGTCGACATTTTCGCTGGCTCGAGCAGCCTGTGACCCCAACATAATAACTTGTCGCATGCCATACCAAGATACTTGCTTAGCCGCCATCTCTTGAATCCTCACTATCTGCTCCTATCAAAAATATGGTCTTTAGTCAAGTTCGAAATCATTCTTTCATGTTCATCAAGGAACTTAAGCAATTTGTTCCCCCTTTGCGTCACAGGAATAGGCCGGTTGCGATACTCATCACTGCCTAACCACTTCCTCAAATCCTTGATTCCCCCAGCGTCGTACTTAACCATGGTCTCAGCGACATCCATAGCCTGGAGCAATTCGTCGTTCGTCCGGTCTTTCCTCGTGAGCCCCGATGGTTCTTGCAACCAGAGCAACCAGGGCGTGAAGACATTTTCTCGAAGTCGAGGGTTGGCCCCGGATCTCAAAAGCACTGAGACACTCTGCGGTGATGGGCGGCTTCTTGTGTTTAGATTGAACCATGACGGCCGAAATTCAAGAGAGATTAATGGAGGGCAGCCACATGTTGGCATGCTAGGGCCGTTAAGCGTGCGGAATGCAGGATTTCTGATCATATACTCTCGGGCACCAATATCAGCGGCCAGGAGGAGGGGTGCGTGCAAGTAATTTCTTGTCGCAGTGCCAGGTAGCTCATGACAAGCCTTGGCTAGAGCTGAGAGAACCGGATCCTTGGGTTCGTATTTGCAAGCTACAAGTCCACTTAGGAAGTGGGGTAGCTGTTCAAAGAAGCCTATGGCGTCGCCTCTCTGAGTCCAGAACAAACCACTCCGTAGAGCTGAGATCACCTGCGCCTCAATTCTTTGGGATTTGCCCTCCTTGTCTATTTCAGCAACGTGAAGAATCATGTGATATAGATCTCTCATCGATAGGCCTGTAGGAACCGCCGGGCCATAGGGGTCTGTTCTCAAGCAGTCTTGCTCCCATACGGACTCGTTACTCAAATACTCAAAGACAGTACGGTGCATGAAGACAACAACTCCACCCACAAGTTGACCATTTTTGTTGCCAGCCGGCTGAGTCTCCAACAGGCCGCCACACCGACTGCGTAGCCTCCCTTCTAGCACAGTGCAGAGATCTATCTTATCCTGCCAAGAAAGACCCGCGATGCTATTTGCTGACACATCGAGATCGTCGACGAGTGCTAAGGCAAGGGTGTCCATATTGGCAAGAGCCGGACAACCCGGACTTCTCGAGGCCCGTTGGCTTTCGTAGCACAGAAGCAGCAAATATGCCCCCTGATATTGGTATCGTTGATTGATCTTGGCAAGCATAAGGTCGAAAAAATCCTCGAGTTCCGGTGGTAGCTCGTCTACTCTCTTCTGAAGCTCTGGTAGCCTGTCACAGTCTTCAAACCCGGAAAGAAGCGACCGACATGCCAGAACAACCCAAAGAAATACACCCGATGACTTGTCGACAAGCTGATTTATAACACTTCTAGCTCCATCGGGTGATCGCCTGAGAAGACGCTTCATGTATGAATGACCTCCAATTACATCCTTGACATAGGCTCCGATGTCCTTTCGTGTAAGGTCTTGAAGTTTTAGTTTAGGTAAGTTCTGGTATACAGCCACACAAGCCGGGGTAGGCCGACTTGACACGAGGACTTTTATGTGACTAGACTGACTGAGCTCTTGGATCAGCGAAACACTTTCCCGAATGTTGCCTCTAAACTCGTCGAGCCCGTCGATAAATATGCAAAACTTCTGCATGTTGGGTTCTTGGGTTAAAATCCTGAACGCATATCGAATTTCTGATAGTGATGGCAAGCTCGCATCATTGTTGTCCGCTTCCTTGAGTTCCTTGACCATATCCGGGAGGGCCTTGTTTATGAGAGACGGATTAGGCTTTAGAAGTTGGTATAGAAGTGCCCGCGATAAACCTTCAAAGGACTTTTGCTCCTCTGTTCCGAGATCGAAGAAGAAAAAGTCGGCCATCATGCACATTCTGGGATAGGACCATTGTTTAAGTAGCTTGCGGGTGCGCTCTCGGGTATAAAGATACTTCATAAGAGTGGACTTTCCGCTGCCGGCTTTGCCAGATATCCAGTATACTTCATGTGTAGAAGGTTGTCGGAGCCACTGGGAGAGATCATGCCAGTGAGCCTCGTCCTTGGGGGGATAGAGAGCCCATTTAAGGGTGTCCAGATGGGCATCGGCCACGGTCTCCCTCCTTTCATGTATCTTCCTGAACCAGAGTCGGTTAAGTATGATCTCTTCGCAGGCGCGGGATATGATCCGTTGGGCAGACTCTGAGATGAGTCTGTGCGTCCCCTGGGAGGCTTCAAGCAGCATCTTTAGGTTTTGTAATCCAGAAATACTCCTCACGTCGTCATCGGCCAAATTTCGAAGGGCGGGCTGTTTACTGGTGACAGGTATCAGCTTATCGAGACTCGTAATGAGATCTGCCAGGTCTCTGATGAGAATTTCAAACTTTTGTTTGTCTCGAACAGCCCAAAGTGCCCTGCTGCGGAAAGGCTTGTCGTTGCCTTGGGCTATTCGTTTCTTGAAATCATCATATTGAGTCCTGAACACTCCCATACGCCAGGCACTAATAGAGGAGACCGAAACGAGCGGCGTGGTACCCTCTTGATCGTTTGCTTCGTCAAGTCCATACTTGTTTTTTAGAGTAGTCACATCCGTTAGCAGAAGTCGAATGCAGCTTAATGTATGACCGATTGCTTCCCGAGTGTGAGCTTGATCAAGATATGGGTCATAGTCGTCTTGGCGTAAGAGGCCTACTCGATCAGTCCACTGAAGCAGAAGGGTTTTCTGTATATCGAGTTTAATCCTCAAAATCTCATAGTCTCGCCCCAGATCGCGAGACTCGGCCAAGAGACCGAAGAGGTCGATGGTGTCCTTGAAAGCGCCGATAAGGCCTACAACCCCGACAGCCCCAAGTGCGAGACCAGCAACTTCGGCCATGTTAAAGCATGCCACCTAGCTGGTTCTGAGCAAGCGTGATTTGTGTTTGAGATGATCAGGCTGCGCTTTAGATTAGAGATGATATGCTTATGCAAGCTGAGGAAAAGGTCCTGCTTCAATGTGAGGATTTACTGACTTTCAACCCCCGCTTATTCGCACGAGGCCAGTCCACTCAACATGACCATTCAACGCCACTGCATAAGCGCCAAGCAACTCCCTGACTGCCTGTGTTCTAAGGCAAATTTATGCATCTTGCTTCTTTGCATTGGCTGATCTCAATGAAATTTCTAGATAGATAGTCTCCAAAAAGGGGAAAATATGAAGATTATAGCAGTTGAGTGTACCAAGAGCTGGTAAATAGCTGTAAAGCACATTCTTTGCGAGAAAATATAAGATGTAATGGAATGCTGATGTATACTGTTATATGATACTCAGCATAGTTATCTAGACTAGATGGCTTCAAGAATGATTCTCCTATATGTAGCAAGAGGCTTCTCCGTCGCATCACGGAGAGCAAGAATGATATGCATTGTCTAAAAGCAAGTCAGCATCCACTCGTATGGTCGTCAAAGAGATGACTTACATCATTCAGACTCTTGGTAGTCTCCAGCTTCACCACGCTGCCATCATCCTTGACCCTTGTAATGTTGACATTTGGGCTCTTGGGCGTCAAGATTGGTCTCATCTTGAGCGAAGGGTCAAAGCCTTCCAAGCCTCGTCCGTATGCACCACCAGGCTCGCGGTAGTGGAACCAATCGTACTTGAGCTCATCACCATCGGGATCCCAACTGTTTGATGCATCCAGAACAATGTTGCTGCCAGGCTTGTACTTGAGCTTCAATGGGGCAGTGCCACAAGAGCCATTGACGATGGCAACGGGCTGATGGTTGTTCTCAGAGTACTTGGAGTTGACAGTCCACTTCATACGAGCAGCAAAGTCGAACTGATAATCCTGACGCCAGCGCCAGATAGTTGCAAACTTGCTGGTGAATGTCTTTCCGTTGGCGCCAACGACGTAGTCACTTGTATCAGCGTAGACGCGCGACTGATTCGTGTGGTCGAGGAGGGTGTAACGACCGCCCCAACTACCCCACTCGGGATGGTTCACGTCACCCAGGCCATTCTGCACAAGAGGCAAGAAAGCGGGTGTATCACCCTCCATGATGAAAGACCAGTTAAGATAGTGGGATCCCAGAGGACCAAGTCGGATATTCTTCTCGAGCCAGTCATTAGAGACAATGCTGGAGTCTGGGCCGCCGTGATCAAAGTTACGGTACTCTTCCCCTGAGATACCGTTCCATGCCGCGACAGTGTATTCGCTGAATCCGTGCAGAGAGACGACATAAAAGAGTTGAGGATAACGGAGACGGATCCAGACACCGGTGTCGTCTTGATCGGAGATGGCTAGAACGCGAAGCTTCTCGACGAAAGCGTCAACAGCGTCTTCGCTTCGAGTGCGAGAAACATGCTGAAGGGCCTCAGCCAGAATCGCAGATCCTCCCCAGATAGAAACTGTAAGAGGATCGTCGACGCTCGCCTTATCAGCAGCCTTGACAAGCGCTTTCGCACCGTCGCTCAAGCTCATATTGAGTGATTTCCGTCCATAAACAGGATGACCTTTATGAACTCTGTCAAGAAGGTACTTGTATGAAGGATAAGGCGCGTGAGATGGAACATTAGCGTTGAGGTTATTCACAACCTTCTTATAACCATCCAAAACGCCAACGACAGACTCATAGTCAATCTTGTCAGGCATCCACGTCGAAGTCGTCACAGAAATGCCCTGAATGTCAATCTCATTGGCGTAAGTCAACAGCCGGACAAGACTCATCTGATCATCAGGCTCATTGCTGATATCCGTGAGCACAAACAATTTGCGCTTGTGCTCAGTGCGCGAAGTCGAGCATTGCTTGTCATGGCTTGGTGCAGCTTGCACGAAGGGGAGCGCGGTGAAGAGGGCGAAAGCGCCGACAAGTTGGGAGAACATGTTGGGCATGGTGTAGTTCAACGCTGCTGAAGCATTGAGGTCCATTGTGAGGAAAGTGTTGTCTTTATAGACTGTCGATGAGCAACTGGTGATAAATCATGGCATTTACTTCTCGGGGGGCGGGTGGTTAGGGTTGCTGAATGGGGTAACTTCGTTAAGAGTGTGCGCTAAGAACTGGCTTGATTCTTCAACTTTAAGCACTATCCCGGTCCATCCCCAGACTAAACGTCATGACATGGCTTGACTCCACCTTCAATGGACCGGTTGAAGAACCGCTAATTTGGGACAGTCGAGGGAATTTTTCTGGGAGAAAATGCGGGGGAGAAAACCGTTGACCGGTAGATGAAGTCGCAGGTGTGTTTAAAACTGCTTGTTCTGGCGAGGTTCACCTATTCGTCATGTCGCATACTTTGCTATGCTATTATTTCGGTACTGTTGCAGAAAATTCGGTCCATTGGCGGACCGGAAGAAAGGTTCTCTATAATCTTTGTCGGATTGGTCATCTAAAAGAGCCAAGTCGAGACTATTTCTCCAACAGGGCATGTTCCGAGGTTCCTTCAATGCCGCAATGAAGCATCCCCGGTCTACCGTAGTCTGATATAAACGGCCCGATAGAACGTGGGCTTGGACTGATGGAGAAATCTGGGGTATTTCTCCGCAGTCGGCCAACCTCAACCAAGATGATCTTTATTTTGGCATCTTCGCCGACAGGCCATCATTATTGTTTACATTGATATACATTCGTGCACTCATAGTTCTATTAGGCATACATTCATGCTATAGAACCGCAACGGGCCTGACGATAAATGGGTGATTGAAACGACTTCATTGAATTTATTTCGTGATTGAAAGGGAATGTTATTTATAACCCAATAACCAATAATTTATATGGGTATCTTAGGCACATATGTGACCCCATCTCGTGGAGGCAGGGCACGAATAAAGGGATGGGCTGAATTCGGAAAAGAATTCCTTTAAAACATGTCATTACTATGTAAGAGTTGTTTCTCTGCAGCCTAGCTAACAGATAGTCTTTATAATAAGACTCCACTATAGTCATTCTTCCTAACTAATAACCCTACTCCTAATAGTTCTTCTTGAAGTACTATAAGCCCTTATACTAAGTATTATCAGGACCAGCTAAATACAGCAGTTAATCGAAGAAAAATACATCCACACTTGCAGTAGCCTACTACAGATGATCTGTAAGATGGTTAGGGTGTATCCTTGTATCAGTAAGCTTCTACAGTTCTTTGATGAACCCAACCTCGACTACTTTGTCAGCGTCAATATCAAGATCAGCAAGCTTAGTTCGAGAGTTTTCTCGAAGCCAAAGAAAAGTCCACAGCAGCCAGGATCGGAGATAAGCCTTGGGGGATAGGACATTTGGCCAACCAATTTTAATCGTCTCTTTACCAAGAATGTACACAGTTGGAGAGTTCCGTGAAGATTGCATCATGTCTAGCTCGGCAGCTGTCATATCGTTGCGTCGACCCCTTGCGATTGAAATCGCAATCTGTTGAACAACATCCTGAGCGAGACCCGGATATAAAATGTTGTCTGTGTAGCCATGGCGCAGTGTAACGGCATAACACGAATCGATCTCAGAGACGCGTCTGATAATATATCGATCGGTCAATGGGACTGTAGGTACCGGAAGGGGGCGCATGTTGAAGAGAACAACGACTGCAGGTCGCGCGGCGAACTTTATGACGAATTGGAAGAAAGAAGGAGGAAGGGTATTGGTGATGCCAGATTTGTCAAAGAATATTCCCAGGCCTGGAACAGTAGAGATAGGCGTTCCACCAAATGTAGACGTTAAAGCCACAGGGCCTTTCGTGGCAGTGGTAGGGAACAAGAGCGCTTGGGGTGAAAGTTGATCTTGAGATTCTGCTTCCCACTGGCACTCTTTTCCGAAACGCCACAGGGTAAAGAGGCAGGAGAGGATGAAAGCTAGAAGAAGGGTGAACCATGCGCCGTCTGGAACCTTTTCATAGACTGACGATAAAAAGGCTGCATCTAAACTGGCAAAGATCAGCCAGAGGGGCACAACTATGTATGCAGGAAGTCTCCAGACGAGGATTGCGACAAGGGAAACCATGCACGTCGTAACTACGTGAACTTAGCTGGAATTTGTATCGCTGCTGGAGTACCAACTTACTAAAAGTGACAGTGATAACGCAGACACCATATGCGTTGCCTAGGGAGGTGGTCTATAGAGTTGTAAGTAGTTACCCAAACCATAAATCATTGAATACGTACATTGTTGTATACTGCTGTAATAATAACCGTACCAATCATAAGCAGCCAATTTGCCATTGGCATGTAGACCTGCTCGTGGAAAGTCTGACTAGTATGAATAACTTTGATATGAGGAAAGTATGAGAGCCTCATGATCTGAGTGAGAAGCTGAAAGGTTGAAGTTATCATGGCTTGAGAAGCGACAATGGCTGCAAGAATCGCGATTACCAAGCTAAAATACAGAGTTCCTGGAGGCACTGTATTAAAGAAGGGGTTAGTGAAAGCTTGTTTCGTCTCGTCGTGAGATATATACGCGGCCTGTCCTATGTATGCGATGAGCAGGCAAGGATAAGCCAAGCATATCCACGATAGTTGCACTGCACGTTTACTGAATGCTCCCAGGTCAGCGAATAAAGCCTCGACGCCTGTAAAAGCTAAGAGCAGACCGCCTAAGGATTTCCAGCCCTCGTGTCCGTTGCGCACAAGGTATGAGAAAGCAAAGTGTGGACTGAATGCCTTGAGGACAGTGTAATCGTGAACAGCGAGGTTATAAATACCAGCGCATAGGTTGAACAGCAACCAAATGGCGACAACCGGTGCAAACATAGTACCGATCTTTGATGTGCCAAATGGCTGAACGAGAAAAAGTGCAACAAGTATGCCACACGAGATGCCGACGATGGCAGAGGTTCCCAGGTTAGGATTGGCGACCTTTATTCCTTGAATAGCTCCTAGGACAGACTGAGCTGGTGTCAGCACGCCATCAGCCATGACCATAGAGACACCCAAGACGCCGATAAATTGCAAGAAAAATTGGATCGTCCTAGACTTCTCAAGAAGCCCACGAAGACTCCTGCCGCCAGTCTTGAGATCACCGGTTTCGAACCGCTGCAATCGAATACCAGGTATCTCCCTCGGATCTCTTCTCGAAATATTCGTATATCTCGCCAAGAGACTATAAAGAGCAAATGTCCCCCCCTGCCCATCGTCATCGGCACTAAGAACGATGAAGCAGTACTTGACGGTGACGATGAGAGTCAGAGACCATATAATAATCGAGAGAGCGCCGACAAGGTCTTGCCAAGAAGGTTGAGCCGAGAAAGTGGACGAGTAGACGTAAAGAGGCGAGGTACCAATATCACCATAGATGACGCCTATAGCTTGGAAACTGAGCCACAGCAGTACCATGCCTCCATATGTCTATTGCAATCAAAATCAGCGGCGCCTCCACCCTTCTGTGATCAAAGTTACTTGCTTGCTTGCGTGAGCCTTGCAGATCATTTTCTGCAATGGCCTGGGCTTTTTCTTCATCATCGTCAATACCGACGAATGCTTCGCCGGCATGTACATCGGACTCAGCTTGAGCCATTTTGGGGTTGAGAAGACGGAGAAATTTGGAAGATCGAAGAAATTTTGCAGGAGAGTTTTGGGGTCGAGCTGGGAGGTCCAAGGTTCCATTCAATATATTCGATGTGTTATACTCCGTAGTAAAGAAGACTAAGCTACTTTGGATTGTCTCGGTTAACACGAACTCCAGTCTTGATAAGAAACGTAATATTTAGCAGAAATATTTTTCAGCCTATGACCGACACGGGTATCATCACCGGAATTTGGCACCACCTCAATCTCACATCTGCATAAGAAGAAGCGCCCGCAAGGAGGTTGTTGCGGGCGCATCGATGACTCAAGATATCGTAACATGGCCGGCCATGTTGACAAGGTATTTAATTCGGGTAAGACAAATCACATGCATTGTCAAATTTCTCTGACAATTAATTATTGCCAAGAATGTGTCAAACGGTTTTCCTAGTAGCTGAAAGCTTGGCTTTTTATTTGAGCTGACCCTTGGCTCTTTGGCGAGGCAGATGCGGACGCGGGATTTTCCTCCTCTTGAGACCATGACAGACCAATCAAGAAGAAGGATAGAATGATCACTGATTTGTCCAGACCCTTTGCCTGCGGCTCTGAATAACCACGGATGACTCTACTGGCCGTGCAGAGTCAATATGTATGAGGGAATATTCATCCTAGTGAGCCTCTGTGGATGGCCCCTTGGCTTATCTTGACACCTGGGCCCTCCACGCTATCCTGCTCATCTCACCACCCAACACAAGCAACTCCCTCATCGCCTTTATTTTCCTGCTTTCTCGGGTATGATTCTAACGCCAAATTTAATTGCCAGAGAAATCAATGGCGAGCATCGTGAACCTTCGGTCATTTTCATTATTTTAGGCATTATCGCATTTGGCCTTGTGCTACTTACACCATTTATCCTCAGCAAAAGGGGATGTCATAGGCCAGAACCCTATCAACTTGATGTCCCAGTGCCACAGCGGGCAAGAAACATATGCCTCATTCCGGACACTTTGGACTTGATACCAATAACTTGCTATCGAGAGACAGCAGCGGTTGAAATTGATGCTTCGAAGCAAGTCGCAAACTGTCCAGGACAAGCGAGCGCGCCAAGCTGCCTTATCTGTATCAATGAGTTTAAACAAGGTACCCAGACTCGCTCTCTACCATGCGGTCATCGCTTCCATCCCAGATGTATTGACCCATGGCTTCTGGAGCGATCTATAACTTGCCCAGTTTGGTATGTTCTGGTTATAATTCATTATTTACCAGCTAGAACTTACTTCTGTAGTCGTGCAAATGTTGCAGACGCTCTTGCCCATATACCTGCATCCAATCTACCCGCAGCGCCTCGCCGAATGCTGAGCCGTAGACCAATAGTTAAGTTCACACTTCTCACCGGATTGTTGTGCAACCTAACAGAACACTAGGCTACCTCGGAGCTTCTTCCTATCGCAAGAATTCCAACTATCCAGTCTCGCGGCCCAGGTACTGCCGTTCCTGCTCGACCGTTTCAACCTCAGGAACCACCGCTGACGGTGACGTTGGAGGGCTCGTGCCAGATTGGCTCCTCAAGCCGTTAGGATACGAAATAAAAGGGTCGAGCGGGTTTGGGTTGGTGATGCTTTATAATTTGCAGCAGGCAAAGCAGGGGCTTTATTCTCTCTTATTAGTTAAAACATACAACTGTTCTTCGAGTTTAACTTTTCATCACTATAACCTTCCCGTTCTATCAAGTCCGCCCCGTCTGTCTATCCCCGCTTTCAAGTTCCCCAGCTCTCTTATCCGTAGAGGAACGCATTTTCCACACTAGGAACTCATTTCCACCATCTATTGCTGACTGAGTGTCGACAAAAACTTGCGCCATTATTCAAAAGAGGACTCAATGTAAATATTCAGTTGGTAGATGTAAGAACTGTCGCCGAAAACACCAGAAATGTGACAAAACGACCCCAAAATGCCTCCCATGTAGAGCTGCAGGCTTGGAGTGCAGTGGCTTCAACACTGATCTTAGCTGGATGACAACCACACACAGTTCATTACGTGATGAGCGCAAGTCAGCACCAAAGTGCCCGAGGAAACGGGAAAACAATGGTACCTAGCTGCGTCCCTCATACGGTTAACAATCACTCAATAATCCGACAGATCAAGAAAACACCTCTACAAGCATTTCCCTACCTAGAATCACAGCCCCGAACATCGAGGATACCATTCCAAATGTCGATAGTCAACTTACACATTTCGAAGGGCACCACGAGCATGTTGCCGCCACACGCGCGACCAATGTTTCCGAGACTCAGCCGCCAAGTCTTGAGAGCGATGCGTTTGGCATGACTGGCGACACCATCAATGGTATCAATGTTAGTGAGCAGGGTCATTTATCGATGTTTCAACACCCTGCATATACGCCGGACTTCCTCGGAAACACGGAAAGTGTGTTGGGCTGGCCGGATTTATTCAGTGTGGGCTACTCTCTTTCGGATCTACTCTCTCCCGGCTTTGACAACACGAACAACAATGCCCCAGAACCCCAGAATGCTCGCTCGTCAATTGTTCCTCCCTTAACAGCGCCACACTCAGATCATACGAGACCTTTATGGCACAGCCAGGATGCTGTCAGTAGGTCTAGTCGACAAGATGTCTCAAATATGGGTCTTCCTTGCCTCGAGCCTCAGGGGCCTATGACATTGGAGTTGAGTCAAGATGACACCCAGATGCTTCTTAAGCATATCAAGGACCACTGTTTCCCACAACTGTGGTCATCGCCGCTTGGGAAAGAATCGCCACTGGAAACTCATCTTACCGCAGCCGTTTTGACATTTGCCAACATGACATACCTCGCACCTCGTCAGATATCGCATGCCTCATTCACGAACGTACTTGCCCTTCTTGCAATATCTTCAAAGCATTTGGCAGCACAGATACGTAACGAAGACTCGGACAGGAGCGAGCATTGGAACCAATATGCTGAGAGCGCGTACCAAAAGGCAAAGCAACATCTCGATTATTCATTGAGCACCGAGGTCTCTCCAAAGTTAGCAAAGTATAAAGATCTTATCATGGCAGTCTCAACTATAGTATCGTTCTCGGTACGAGCCACATGGAAATGCCCTCATTTTGAATCATTACTAACCAACCTCTACAGATACTTTACGATAGACAGCCTGATGCCAGAAAGTATCTCATTGATGCTGAAAGGCTTTTATTGATTCAAGGTCTACCCAAGCCACATATCTCCAGAAAGATTAAACTTCTGCATCACACATACACTTGGAACAGGGTCGTCAGTGAAAGTACCTACGTGTTAAGGGATTCCGATAGTGCCAATATACCTGTGGCCACAGAACCATATGCTCCGCCAGATGGTAAGGGCCCTGCTGAGAGAGGAACAGGGGGTAATAACATAAACCGCTCAGCGGTACCATGTGTCAGCTTGGATGATTTCCTCCATCTTTAATCATACCACCAGGAGACTGATGACTCTTCAAGGGAAAGTGGGAGGGAGGTGAACCACGACATTCATCTCAAACAGGGCCGAGGCATGTCAGAATCGGCTTTCATGATGCTGTATGGGGTATCTGAAACTTGGTTAAGCCTTGTGTCTCAGACCACTCGACTTGCCAACCTGATACAAGCATTGAATCATGGCAGCAAAGAGAAAACGTTGACATTGCATGAGCATATCGAGAGACGCAAAGAGTCACTAGAACACAGGATTTGTTCTTTTGCTTCGACAAAACCCACTACTGATCTTCCCATCGATCTCGACCACCTATCAAATGCACCGTCACGAGAAAGCCAGCGCACCGCACGCTCTCATTTAGTCCGAGCACTGAACTTCGCTCTTGTTATTTTTTTCTACCGTCGAGTATTCAACGTCCATCCCCATATCCTCCAGGACTACATTAACAACGTCATGCATGCCCTGCAGGAGTTTGAGCGGCGCTGCGACAGAGAAACGAGGGCCAGGGTCACCGTGGCCAGCGTTTATGGCTGGCTGTGAAGCAATGACAAAGGAAAAACGGGATTACTTCGCAAATTGGTTCTAGCGAGCCTTCGACCAGACAGGGTTCACCCGGTTGGTGACAGCGAGGAAATGCATGTATCAGGTATGGGAGAGACAGGACCGTTTTGTGATGGGTGGTGATGAGATGCAGCGGCGTTGGACATGGATGGACATCTCAAAAGAGCGAAATCTCTATGTTTTACTTTCTTAGTAGCTATTTTATTAGCACTCACGCCACGGAGCCAAAACAGACCTGAAGCTGGAGGAGTGACTGAAATGACCGTCATTGGAATTTATTTTTCTTCCTCAACCAGGATGATGATACAGTTCTCCGAAAGGATGGTTCCTGGCACCTATCAGCCTTAGAGCTCTTTTGGGGGCACATATGCGCCTCATGACATGAATGCGGAATATAAACAAAGAGATGGGCTCAAGACGATGGGATGCCTTTCAGAATTCAATATTCACCACTCAAGAATTATCGCTCTGCTGCTCAGTCTTTGTGCCGGAACTCCAGCAAGTAAGAGTTCTGTTACTATCCAAAAATAGTGAAGCGATAAAAGGCTTAGTACTGGCTAATTGAATGTAAGAGATCTAAGAAGCATGCTCTAATATGCAGCTCTTGTTAAGATTCAGCATTCTTTGTCGCAACTGCATATAATGTAGACTCTGGCAGAACTCACCAACAAAAGGTCTTGCATGAACTTATGAGAGCTTATCGGTCACTCATCTTAAAGGAAGCTGGACGCTTTTCATTGTGATCACCCGGGGCATTGAAGCAATGGACTTACCACTATAAGAAGTGTACTTTTATATCAATCTTGTTGATATTTATCCTTTAAACATTTTATCATCCCTTATCGTGATTCTATCATTGGTATTGGGCTTCTCTCTTGTGATATCGACTCATCTTCCTTCTATAAGCACAGCTCTCTCTACCTGACACCGATGTCATGTTCTCCACCCGTCCGGGCATCCTAAGTCCCCGCCTGACGGAAGCGGTCGGGTTGCACACGTCTACATGGATGATACCAACTTCAGAATCAGTAGTGACACAGCCAACAAGAAGCGCCTCTCGGTTCGCCCCAAGGCACACTTAGACTGGCATTACGATATCCGTGCTCTCAAGGGCATCATCCGCAAAGTCATCGGGATGAAAGTGGACAAAAGGGTAGCCTTCAATGTTTATGGATCTAACCTTGATCAAGGCCTTGTATACCAAGATCTTAGACTTCATTCTTCCCGTTTCTGGAACTTCCCTTGGAAAAAGAATCGAGGCGAGAAGCAGGTCGATACCACCCTCATCAGAGACATGGCACTAGATGCTGTCCATCTTCAGGAATCCAAGGAGACTACTGCTTTTGTTCTTGTTTCTGGGGACAACGACAAGATTCCAGCGGTGATATATGATGTGCAGTGCGGCTATACCGTGCATGTCTGGGCTTAGGAAGACTCCGTGTCTGATGAATATAAACGACTTGAGCGAAATTGCCTTATCAAACTTACACTTCTGGACGAATTCCTAGTCGCCCCCACAATGGCGAACTGTAGTGTTCCTGTGGGGAAACTTCTTTTTCCTCCCAATGGTGTTGTACTTCTCAACCCGTGGCATGAATTGCCTGAGATTCTTAGTCAGTTAGAGGACAAGCTCGATTCATCTAACATGACTTTCATGCAGAGTTCGAATGATGGAGGCTGCCCCGATATTGATATTGTGGTTGTGCCTGAGAAAAGAGTTCGGAATCAAGATGCCCGACTTCGTTCTATGCTGGAGGACTTCGAAAAGAACGCTGTAAATGTCATGAGCTTCGCTGAGTATTTTCATAGCTCACACCATCTCAGGCTTTTTGGCTCTTAAACACTTTTTGTTAATAGGTGTTGTTCATGGGTCATTTGGCGAGTTGAGCCCTTATGACTTCGAGGTTTGGAATTAATTTAATTAAGAACTAGGAGGTTAAGCTTAATTAATAGTATTTTACTTTAAAGATTAATTTAATCATTTTAATATATATTAATAAAGATTTCTAGACTTTATTACTTATAGTCTACTAACATACTAACAACCCCTAATAATGGGTCAACTGTCATTTGCTTAAAGGAGTATACTTGTCCAGCTGGCAGAATAATTGTTGTAGTTAATGACTTACTCCATGATTGTAGAGCCAAGTTCAACGGGATGCCTGTAACTGTTGGCAAGTTCGGAAACTTTAGAAAGTTCAAACCAAACACTCCTAATAACAGCCAATCGCTTTGCTTAAATAGCGTGAGCAAGCCTCCGACTTCAATGATGTTGCCAAGCAAATCTGATATCTTATCAAGACTTTTCGCCACGCCATTTGAATCATGCAATGTTCTGATCGCTGTTGGGTTAAGGCTAGTATTCAGGACCTCCAGTGTTGGTGAGCCACTATCATTTTCGTGAAGATTGATGGGAATACTGGCTTCCCAGGTCATGTCGCCTCCAGCCCAAGCACGTGCAGTTTCCGATTTCCCGATAACCGTAACATGCTTCTTTTTTTCTTTGTCCCAAGAGATGAAGCCTGTAATATTGATAGATATTCCCTGAGATGTTGTGGAGAAAGAAACGTCGAAGTAAGTCTTGCATTTATTGAGTGGGTCGCTTTGCATATCGTAGATGTCAAAATGGTACCCTTTGCCAGTGGAGCTCTTTGCTTCGTTGTATAGCCTAAAGACTCCAAGTTCAATACCACCTCCAGAAATCTGTTGGTGGATACTCGTGACATATGTATCATAGAAGGTTCTGAGAACTAAAGTCTCTACCAAGGATCGAAAGGAAAAGGACATTTTGCCATCACAAATATCTGTTGGAGACAACCAGCTAGAATCGAATATGTCGGTGGGAGGTTGACTACCTGGCTTAAGAGCAGAAGATTTAGTGTTGAGGATGAAGTTGAGGGTACTTCTTGGTTGTGATGCCGGATCAAAGAAAACATTGAACGTGTTTCCAATTGGTTTGAGAGAATCCGGAACATCAACGTCTGGATCACCAGAGGATGGATAGCTGGGAACGTAGCCCAAGATGTATGGGTTCCTGGCTGAGTTTTTCTTAACATCCTGAAGCCAGTCTGTCAAAAGTGTTGAGAACATAGTCTTGTATACATCCTTGACTTGAACTTTAGGGTCAGTAGTTGCGACTGGTGCCACGGCGGTGCTGAGAAGATCAATGTTCTGTAGATCACAGAAGATACGCGATATAAGAAACCCTTGGGAAGTGAAATGCTCCAATTGGTTTCGTACAACGTCGGGCACCAGGCCGGCCTCGCTCTCATTTCGAATCTCGGCAAAGCCAACTCGGATCGGAATGCTCCATTTCCATCCCGTGATGTCTTGAGCTGGTCGTATGTTGCCAGAAAAGATATCTCGGAACCATGCACTTCCGGAAGTAAACTCTACTCCCAGCTGAACAGCCCATCCGCTTTCAGTAACGGTGAAGGTCGGGATGTATGTTCCACGAATTGTGGTATTAACCGGAATGTTATTGGAGGGGTTCTTTGGAACTTTTTCCCAGTCATCATACAGCTTTCCGATTCGGTCGCCCTCCTCGTCGAACGCCATTTCAATGATCATGCTTATTAACTAGTCAGCGTTTATTTATGACTTCAACACGATTCTACTTACGTGTGGAACTTCTCATCAGCCTCAGCCAACTTCCTTAGCCCTTTATTAATAGCATCGAAAGTGACAGCAACGACGATGTCGTAGTCTTTGGTGGTGAAAATTTCATGAGGCTTCATGATTGTAATCAAAGAAGGATGGATTTCAACTGTTTAAAAAAAGAATTTTTATAAGGCTAAAAGGAAGCCACTTTAAGGGAGATAACTCGGAGTAGACAGTCCATATAGAGACTAAGGAAATATACAAAGGACAGTGTAAGTGTGTGTACATTTAACTTTAGAGAAATAGAGGGAAGATAATGTATTTATAGGAACAAAGAGTGCCTCACATTTGTAATTAGGCGGATCAAGGCTTGCCAGCTTGTAATAACCCTATTGCGAGGATTTAATCTAAGCCAGGGTTTTATTTGCAATACAAGTAGGATATAGAGTCACAGGGGTAGAGCTTAGGATGCAATAAGCTTTTGGGCTAAGACTTATCTCCCTTACTATCTTAAAATGAACAAGCTCTAGTATATACATAGGGGAGTATATACAGCTTTATTGGTATTTCAGCTACGCCACTGCTATAGTTTTAAGTCAGAAAGGTTAATTCTGATCTCATTTTCTCCACATACTAGCCTAAACAAACTTCACTGGCATTTCAGCTACGCCACTGCTATAATTTTAAGTTAAAATGATTAATTCTAATCTCATTTTCTCCGCATACTAGCCTAAATAAGCTTTATTGGTATTTCAGCTACGCCACTGTATCGACTGGTAGTAATGCTATATATTTCTATATACATTATAGTAGTAATGGTGGCTAGATAGCAGAATTCCTAAACCCCCACAAACTAAGCCACACATGCCATTTATAACTAATTTGTTAATACTTCTAGGTCTGTGTTTCGGTATTAAGTTTTCTTAGGTTCCCATGTTAGCGTTGTGACAGATATCCTGCACAATGGAAGTATCTCTATGTGAATAAATCGTTCTTGCGACGTACAGTATTTGTGAAATTCGGCAAGATATGCGAACGAAATGATAGCATCCTTATATAATCTCGTAAATGTCTATCTATATTACTGCAAGAGCCGGGTATCCTCGTCCAAAACACCAAACAAACTTCCTATCTCCTTTCCAACCATCCTCAGCTCATCAGCAACCTGCCCCGTGACAAGCGCATACGCATATAACAACGCATAATCTTTCTCCTCCACAAGCAAATGACTTGAATCACTGCACTCGCCACCCTCGTTGATTAATCTCCTCGGGTGTTCCTTTCTGAACTCAAAGATCTTGTTCAGCAGATTCTCGCGTGCCGACACGATGCTAGGGGTAGCATCGGCGAAAGGATACTCTAGCATTGTGGAACTGGCAACTACCTGGAAGGCTTGGCAGATATGATCGCAAAGAATAGCGCGCTCACGAGCCGTATACTCAAGTAATGCCTTCTCACCTTCTGTGAGGTGACCCTTTCGACATGCAACGAGACTCATGTTGTAGAAGCCATCGAGGATACGCATGGTACTTTTCAGAACACGGCCGTAGACTTCCATTGGGAAAGGGCCTCGCAACTCAAACTCTGACGCAGCCGATACTCTCAAGCTATCTAGGTTCGCAGCATATCTCTGCAGAGCAGCTTGTTCACCAGACTTGAGATAGCTCTGGGAACCTTCGCTGCGGAACAGCACTGTGAGAGGACCTCGCTTCCAGATAAGACCCATCTGCAGATGGAGAACTGAGAGACTCTCTTTGAACTTCCGGCGGGCTGAGATAGGCCATATGACTCGGCAAACCACCAGACCCCAGATAATACCTGCCGTGACGGCGATGGCTCGGCGTTTGGCAATCTCCATGATATCGGGTTGACTGAACTGTCCATCTTCCGTCGCATCGTTCCCATCTGCTTTTCTCTTTACTCTGTACGCGTACAGCGTAGAAACATTATAAGCAAGAAGACTGATGCGTCCAAGAGAAGCCTTGCCATGCTGAATAACAAGGTAGAAGTTGATGAAACTCGTCAACCAGCCAAGAGGGATCAGTGCCAAGGCGTAACCATGGCTTATCTTCCAGTTGATCACGGAGAACAAAGCTCCAAATAGCGTACCGATGAAACGAGCCAGACTAACGGTGTTTGCAGCTCCAACTGTGAAACTGCACACGATTATGAAGGACAGGAGACCCCATTCACCGCGCCACTCGGTGTAAAGTTCTCTTGTTTCTTCGAGAAAGGCTAGCATGGCCCATAGAGCGGCTCCTATACCGACCTTGAGGCCGAACTGAACTAGTTGAAGTCAGCGAGTGAGGAAAGGAAAGAGAAGACCAAACTTACTATCGTCTCGCGCCATCTTCTTAAAAAGCGCAGAGAGATTTCGCCAGAACCAACCTAATATCTTGTTTAAATCAGGCGCATTATACCAAGTCCTTAAATCAACTGGCGCAGGAACAGCAGCTGAGCCATCAGCTACACTAACAGACCTCTGCCTCGTTCGCATCAGCGTATCAGCCTCTGCAGATTCGAATAATCTGATGGCTTTATTCCGATCTTCTTCAGCACCAGTCTTCCACCAGAGCAGCCATCTCCAGCTTCGACTCTTTCGTATAATCACATACTCCAGATCATCCAGAACATCGAGGTACTGAAGGACATCTTCGCCGAAAGATTGAAGACTGAAGGTGAAGTGACCGCACGCTGCAGCGACTTCTTCCAGATTAGCGTGTGTTGATTCGTGGGATGAAGCCATCTGTTCAATTCGATCGTAGAGTCCTTGCAAGGCATCTGATCTGGCTGTGTCGAAGGTACTCAACGAGTCCATCAAGTTGCGCCGTAGATCTTCGTCAACGTTGATTTCGTAGCTGGGAGGTTGACCGAACTGAGGCTCATGAAGAATTCTGCAGAGGTTCTGTCGGACACCTGTCATAGACATGGTGATCGACTCGTTGAACTGCTCAAACAGCTGACGTGCGGTATTTGGCGAAGCCGTTCCTGATGCTTTTGGACTGAGTTGCTTTGGGTGCTTGAGCTGTTCAAGCTGAGTATTCGTCGCGTTTCTCAAACCACCCAAAGCCTGTGCCAAGGTCTCCATAGATCTGGCAACAGTCCTCTCATGCTCGTAAATCTCTTCATGTCCAAGGAAATAGTGCTCAAATTTGGCTTCTCTCATATCCTTCATCATCTGAGCATAAGACTTCGCATAATGTGTCGATGCCGCCGTAAATCCATCCGACACAAGTCCCTCTTCAGATCCGCTGAGAAAACTGTTCGTTATCATGTATAGCATATCTCCCAGCGGTATCGAAACCCGATTCATCGTCTCTCGTAGGGATGTACGGGCGCTCGTTCGCCAAAGTAGCAAGTTCACCGCCGTTGTCGTCGTGATGCCCATAACGAGCATTTTGAAAACCTGCAAGACCTTCTCATTGGAAAACACGTTCGACATTACGTGACTCTCTTTGGTCACAACACCGATTATCGCGAGAGCTGCAAGGGTACTGCCGACGTTGACGAGCGGATTCAACATCCTTTGTTTCACCCATCCCATAAAGCCAAACCCACCACCAATAAACACCACAACAACCAAGACATGCGATAGCGTTACCAAATGCATAGTCGATCCGAAAAAGACCGAAGTAACCATAGACAACAGCGAAACCGTCTCCGCGTAAGCAACCGCCACGACAGCAATGAGAATAGCCTCAATCATCGACCCCACCGACCTCGCAGGGTGAAAATACACCGTAATAGTAGCAACGACATGTTTGCCCTCCGGCTTGCCCAGAAAATTCGCCAAAAAAGGTACAAAAGTCGCAAGGCTGGCGATGGTGTAGGCAACGGTGCACTTTAGCACGCCACGGCCATTAGGCGTGTTGAGCCACAGCTGGGTGCGCGCCAACGAGTCGGAGATGCCATTTCGGATGGTCTCGTTTAAAGGTGGCATGTCTTTTCGCGACGTGAGGCGGTGACTATGGGTTTGTCATGATGTTGATGTTGGTGCTGATGACGATAAAAGTATGATGCCGTAGTTTCCGGGCTGAGTGGTTTGATACGGTCATGTGATTGGTCAGATGGTAAGATTTGGGTGGTTGGTTGGTTCTGAAAACGTCAGATTCGTTTTAGCTTCGGCATGCGGCTCAATCACGTTCGACTCAATCTGATAATGTTATTGAGCAAAATAATAACATGCTATTAGGATAAAATAACTTTCTAACTTGGCTATTGACTACCAACTAACACGCTCTAATTTAACTACCTAGTCTATGAGTTATACATAAATTGCTTAGGATATTTATTCTCGCCAAGCAAGTAAAAGCTTCCTTGCTCTCACCATAGGCCTCCCCCTGCTAGAAATAATGGCACCTGAAAATTGAGAAAATATCTACAAATGGTCATCTCCAAATGCTTTTCTTACTACGCTATTTTCCACGTGTTCTCAGCATAACAACCGTAGATCTTAAGTGAGAGGCCTCAACGAGTCAGCGGGATAAACTTCAGACCTGGGGAATAAGTGCATCGACTTTACACACATTATAATAAGAATAGTGGCAGAGAATGCCGCAGTATCCTTAAACTTTTGATGCATTAGCTACAAAAGCTTTCATTTTCCATCAAACTTACTCGCTGAGAATTATTGTGAGATGGGGCTTCTTAAAACTCAGTAACATCGGGTACTCACTCAAGATGAGGAGAATATGTATTAGCTTTCATATCTCTCGCTCAGAAATCATAAGCTTTCATGATGAATTGATCAAACTTCCTACTTCCCAAACTCAAGATGAAGGGAGTATATATATATCAGCTGCAAGATCAGTTTTTGGACTTGTCTACTTGCACACATGAAACCCATTTTATACTTGCTGCAGCATAGCATTCATGGAAATGGTCACTCAACAGGAAGCCGACTCGCAAGGTCGGGAAAAGACCCCCGACGTCGACGTTGAGAGCGCTCCCCCGTATGTTACTATTTCTTTACAAGACGAGATTGAGGACTCCAATAGCTCCTCATCCGAGCTTTCTAAGCCAATCGTCAAAGACAACGAGTCAGACTGGGGTGCATGGATCTGTGTCTTGGGCTCACTACTCTTTCTAATAACCTCCGCTGGTTCGTCTCACGCCCCCCAGCGGTGTCAAGAAACATCTGATTGAATTGCCTCAACATGGGCTGTTTTATCGGATGCTTTCTAACGCCCCCTCCCCCTAACAGAGTTAACTAACACCTCAACCCCAGGTTTCAACGCCTCCATCGGCATAGTCCAGTCGTATTTCAGTCTTCATCAACTAAAAGACAATCCTGTCAGTGAAATCGGCTGGATTCCCGGTATTTATCTATTTCTCTCCATGGCCCCCAGTTTCCTCTACGGGTCTCTGCTCGATCGTTACGGGCCTCGAGTTTTAAGTGCAGTCGGTGGTATTTGCTCAGCCGCCACTTTTACCTTGATGGCAGAGTGTAAGACGTACTGGCAGTTCATGCTATGCCTCGGGGTCTTTGGCAGTATTGGGACTGGCATTAAGTGCACTGTTGCTGTTGGAGTAGTGGGAAAGTTGTTTGTTCGACGAAGAGGTTTGGCTATTGGCACTGCCGTTATGGGATCCTCCCTTGGAGCTATCATATTTCCGCTTGTTCTTCGCTCAACGTTTGAGAATCTTGGTTGGGCTTGGTCCATGAGGATTGTGGCCATAGTGGTTAGCTGCTTGACAATTGTAGGATTTGTCTGTTTCCTACCCTTCAAACGACTTGCTTTCTTCAGCGCCAACAAGCAGGATAAGTTTGAGAAGTCAGGGCCGGCATTTTATATCTCGGCTTGGAAGAACCCCAGCTTCGCTTTTGTGTCCTGTGGGATCTGCTTGATGGAGTTTGTGAACTGTGGCATAGGCAGTCTGCTCCCAGCTATATCAACTGGTGCTGGATTCACTGCCCAAGATGGCTATACTCTTTTTGCAATCATGGGCGGTTGCTCATGCATTAGCCGCTTGGTCATGGGTCTTTTGAGCGATCGCCTCGGTGGAATCAACTCAATGGTCGGCACGCTAGTTCTGATCGTCATCTTGATGTCTGCCGTTCTCATCCCTTTCAGCACGACATCTGCCGCCCTGCTATACGTGTTCTCAGCACTTTGGGGTCTCATGGCGGGATCTTTCTACGCGCTGTCGCCAGTCATCGTGGGCAATGCATGCGAACCAAAGGACTATGCAAGATATTATGGTATGTATCCCATCAGCAGCATCTGAGGATAAGACTAACAATTACTCAGGCTCTACCAACTTTGGTATAGGATTATCGCTGCTTATCGCCAACCCGGTGAGCGGTATCATGTTGGAGAAAGTGGGCGCGAAGCCTCTGGCGTTCTTCTATCTTGGCATTGTCGTCCTTGCGGGGGTGTCGATTACAGTAGCTCGCGGACTGCTTCTAAGCAGCTTTAGCACTTTAAGGGCAAGGATTTAGAAGCTTTTTGTCATAAATATGTATCATATAAGATTCACAAAATGTAGTAGATGGAGGATCAAGGGCGATGCGTTTATACATGGGAAGTAGAGAATGGTTGCGATTGAGTAATATTTAGTAACAGAAATGGACAGAGATATACCTTTTCGCAACTCGATGCAATGCAGGCCTCATTAATGATCCGAAGTCGGTCGTCGGGTCGACTTCACGCCGGCTCATGGGTCATGGCGCACGGCATACCGTTCAGCTCGGCATCTGCACCAGTAAGAACATTGCATGTTATCTAATCGATCTGATCTCTCTCCAGCATCGCGCATTAGATCCAAGCCATTAAGCTATTTGTGGCGTGTTTGCGGGACCAATTCCGCCTTACATGATGTCTACCGTAGCTCAAAGTACCTTACCGCGCTTCTATTCAATTGAGATATGAGATGCTTCACTATACTGGGAGATCGGGAAGATGCTTCAATTAACTCACATCCTTGCTCATATAGACCTGGCGGGCGCTTCTCAAAAACACCAACGGATGTCCGGCTGTTGAGGTTAATTGTGACCAGGTACAAAGGTTACTAGGCTAGTACTCTAGGCCGGAATGCTCCGTTGGGCTGACTGCTGACCTTGATGGGGTCTGTGCTGTCAGCTGAGATGATGCCGGGTCTTCCATGAAAATGAAAATGTATATAAGCTGAGGCACTACTGTCAATCTACGTTTAGGATGTAGTGCTGGAGTCCAAGTAAACATGGATAAGCAGCCTCAAAAGGTGGCTGTCATCGGCCTCGGTGGGTATTACGGGTATCTCAATTGAAGATGGCACTGACACAACTCAGGCGTCGCCGGTCTTGTCGCCGTCAAGAATATGCTCGAAGTCGGCTTCGACGTAACTGGATTTGAGCGTAGTGAGTATGTCGGAGGTCTTTGGCATTACACCGAGCAAGACAAGACATCAGTCTTACCGAGTAAGCACACAACTCAAAGCCGCCGTTCAGAATGCGTCGCTGACATGCTTGAGGTACCATCATCAACATCTCCAAAGAAAGGGTACTAACTAAATCTCATTCACCTTGTGTTCTGGCAGACATGCTGACTATTGTAGGCCGCATTTACAGACTTTCCATACCCAGACTCCACACCAAGCCATTGTCCGTCCGCCAAAGTGGAAGAGTACATTGAGTCTTACGTAGACCACTTCAACTTTCGTGATAAGCTTCGTTTAGGCGTATCGGTAGAGAAAGTGCGACGCGATGACGAGCGTAATCGGTGGGTTGTAGACATCCAGGGCTCTGAGCCCGAATATTTCGACAAGGTCATTATGGCGACGGGCGGGAACAATCGTCCTCATATTCCCAAGGTCGAGGGCATGGAGCAATTTGAAGGCGAGGTTCTACATTCACGGGCCTTCAAACGGTGCGTCACTATGGTCTCTGTTGGCTCGCAAGTTGACTAACGTTGATGATAGACCAGAGCTCTTCAAGGGCAAACGCGTTGTAGTTGTCGGCGTCTCTAATACAGGCGCTGATACCGCAGCAGCTCTTTGTGGGCATGCCGAAAAAGTCTGGTTATCTCGCAGTCACGGTGTTATAGTTGTGAGTTGCCCATGGTCAATTGACCGAGTCGCGATGCTCATTGTCGCAGATCCCACGAAAGCGCGATGGCATTCCATTCGATCACACCATCACAGCGCGCACAATGGCCCTTATGGGAATGTTTGAGAACACATTTCCTCATCTGTACGAGATCATCTTCAATTCGATCTGCAAGAAGATGCAGGACAATGCGTTCAAGATAAGGCCTGAATGGGGTCTTTCTCCTGCGGATTCTGTCCTGCACACTCTGCCCGTCGTGTCGGATAATCTCATCCCTCTGCTGGAGTCGGGCGATATCACCTCAGTCCCTAAGATAAAGCGCGTCACAGGGCCCAGAGAGATTGAGCTCGCGGATGATACGCGTCTGGATGTTGACACGATCATCTGGTGCACCGGATACAAGGGAGATTTTAGTCTCATGGACCCCAGCGTTGATCCCACGCGCAGCACAACGCCAAAATGGGCAGAAGCAATTGGTTCTCGTGGGAAACCCCTTCCGCGTCTCTACCAAAACGTGTTTTCGCTCGATTACCCAGACTCACTCGCCTTCATGGGCAATCTCCTCGTCGCAACAAGCGCATTCCCCATCAGCGATCTTTGCACCATGGCAATCGCTCAAATCTGGAGGGGCAATTCCCCTCTTCCCTCAATTGATGAAATGAACCGCGCCACGGACAAACAGCACGAGTTAATCTGTAAGCTCGCTAACGAAGGCAGCGTGTCGCCTGGTTGGTTGCGACAAGCTGACTGGCTTGCATGGGCTGACAAGGCAGCTGGGGCACAAGTGTATGAGCATCTCGGGTGGGGATTGAAAGGGTGGAGGTTGTGGTGGAATGATCGTGCTTTGTATAGGATGTTGATGGATGGGATTTTTACGCCGTTTGTGTGGAGGGTGTTTGATGGGGAGGGCAAGAGGAAGAACTGGGATGGGGCGAGGGAGGCGATTGAGAAGGTCAATGCTGAGTTGGCAGCTGCAAAGGCGAAGAATAAGAACAAGAAGAGTGAGTAGACAGACATTACAGTGATGGATAGAGTTGAGCGGGTTGCAGTAGAAGCTTGACGAATATGGTGGAGCGGAAGCCAAGAAGCTAAGATCTGACAAGATAATTTAAGCATAATCATGGAGATCGCTCAATGTCCGTCGGCCGTGGTTATGATCCGAACCGGGCGCTGAATGGTTCCGTTTCTGCTGCTTTTGTCATGCCCACCTCTATGTTAGACCGTCTTGGCACAAAGCTGTGGAAATCCAATACGCAAACTGTCCGTTGGAGGTTCAAGATAATCGTCCTCGTTGAGCCGGTTCGGGCTGTCAAGGTCGTATCTTACTCAGATATGGAACGAGATTAAACCGGAAAACGTTATGCCAACGTTATGCTCGATGTTATGGTCGCAGATCATCCTGCACGCCTTACTCTGCATGATGCGACTGAGGGTGAAGCATGAGTATAAATGACAGAGTAAGCCATGATCAATTGAGCATCTCATTCAACCAATTCTAGCGTACAACAAACATCAAACATTTGTCTGTGTCCCAAGGCAATCTGCAAACATGTCCCAACTCAAGAATTACACTTACGAAGGTGTTGGGGAGTTTCTCAGCAACTTCCTCAACTACGCCCAAGCTGTCCGTGTTGGCGATCGAATCGAGCTCAGTGGTCAGGGTATGTCCCCACGCCCCTCTAATTTCTCACCAACAAATACTGACAAATAACTTCAGGCGGCTGCTTTATTAAAGATGGCGACCTCGTCTTTGCAGAGACTCAACTTGAGCAAATTGACCTGGCTTTCGAGAATGTGGACAAGGCGCTGAAGGCGGCTGGTGGAAAAGGCTGGGAGCAGGTCTTCAGAGTCAACTCGTATCACACGGAAATCACACCTGAAGTTGGACAGAGAATGGCGGAGAATTACAAGAAGTGGATGCCTAATCATAGGGTGATATGGACTCAGATTGGAGTCAAGCAACTTGGTGTTCCGACGATGCACTGTGAGATTGAAGTGTCAGCTTACGACCCGGAGGGGGCAAACAAGGAATGAGCTGCAAACACGGACAAACACAGGCCAAGATACATAGACTGCATGAGAAAACAAATTCATCGAGTTATACAACATTGATGGGCCATTCGGTCAAATTATGTTAATTCCTGATCAACGGAATCACGCGCTCTCCTGCCGTCGCCTTATTTCATGTTTCTCCAGGGTAACACAAAAACCAGTGACGCAGTATGCTGACTAACAACCCCGAGATCGCCTCTGTCTCGTTTAGGTTTAGTGCGGGTCAACCATTCGCGAAAGAAGGATCTTTTTTTCTTTCGCGACATCATCGCTTCATCCACCGCACAAAGAACATCTGCATTCACGAATATACAAAATGCCTCCGCGCAACAATAGGCCGCGCAACTCGCGTCCCGACTCGCGCCCAAGAAATGACCGTCCTCCTCGTCCCGATACCGACAGCTATCGACCTGGCGACAGGTACGACTTGCCTCCTCGACCGCCCCGCGATAATTATGGCCAGTCCGATTCATACCGCCCGCGCGTGCCGCAGGGCGACTTTACCTTCCGTGTAGATAAGCCGGCTGGTATGCCTGATTTTCCGACTGATTATCGTGGGCCGTCTGATAGAAGAGGGCCGCGTCGCGATGGTGGTCGTGGTGGCGGCCGAGGTCGGGGCAGAGGAGGAAGAAAATGGCAACCACCGCCTCATCCGTCTGAACGCGCTTTGGTGTCTGGAGCGACTGCGAATATGCCCGAAGAACGACTTGGCGAAGAAGGCGCTGCCAAGTTCCGCGACGTTGATGAGCTATCGGACGACGATGAGCTCGAAATGGACATTTCTTCATCTTCCGAAACCGAAGGACCTTCCAAGAAACGAGCCAAAACCGGAGACGATGAATCTGGCGATGCTGCACCTAAGTGGTCGAATCCCGATCCCTACACTGCTCTCCCATGTCCCGATGAGAGCACCCGCAAGAAGCGGGATATGGTCAAGCTGATCCGAAAAGCCCGCGTGGAAGACCAGTCGGAGAAACTGGCTGCTTCAACCGAAGCCGAAGACTTTATCTCGTTTGACCTGACAGAAGATGAAGAGAGCAGTGAAGAGGAAGAGGAAGCACCGCCGCCTCCCCCGCGTGAACCACCCCCGCCACCGCCCCCTGACGCGCCCTCTGGACCTAAAGCTGAGACTGCGCGTCTCCCCGAGAAGCCGCGGGCACCTGCTAATGGGACTTTGGATACGTCGCGAAGAAATGATCCCCTTGGATCTCGCAAGCGAACTGCCGACGATGAGATCAAGCCTCCCGATTACGGACAATTGAAGAAGGCTACGACCAAGCCTTCGAAAGGTGCGCTTCTGCCCAGTTGGCAACCGAAGGCAACCGAGGACCCATGTCCTTGGGATACTGTCGATCACTCTGCTACCATGAACATGCCATTCCGGTAAGTTTACACCACCCTTTCTATCGCCTCTCGGTCGTCATGGATCCGCATTGCCGGCCAAGCATTCTGTACTCATACTAACGTATATAGATTACACAAGGAAATCATCGACTTCTACGAATACGTCCGACCCCGCGATTTCGAACAACGAATCCGTGACAACCTCGTCGAGAACCTGCGAAAGGCCATGCGACGCGACGGAAGGAACTTTGCGAGCGCCTCAGTCCACCCCTTTGGTTCCTTCATGTCCGGTCTCTACCTCCCTACCGCAGACATGGACCTAGTTGTCTGCTCAGCAAGCTTCATGCGAGGCGGTCCCCCAACATATCTGTCGGCAAAGAGCTGGCTGTACAAGTTCCAGAAGTTCCTCACCAGCCAACATGTAGCTGACCAACACTCCATCGAGGTTATTGCCCACGCTAGAGTTCCGTTGGTCAAATACGTTGACAAGCAGACTGGTCTCAAGGTTGATGTTTCGTTTGAGAACTTGGGTGGTGTGAACGCTGTCGACACTTTCCTTGAGTGGAAGGCCCAATATCCTGCCATGCCTATCCTCGTGACTGTGATCAAACACTTCCTACTCATGCGTGGTCTGAATGAACCTGTAAATGGAGGAATTGGTGGTTTCACAGTGATTTGCTTGGTTGTCAGCATGTTGCAGCTTATGCCACAGGTACAAAGTCGAAACCTCATTCCCGAACATCATCTCGGCGAGATGCTTCTCGAGTTCTTCCACCTTTACGGGCGCGAATTCCGCCACGACACCAACGCCATCTCCCTGACCAGACCAATTGGGTACATTAGAAAGGTATGTCGTGCCACACTCTGCTGTTCCTTTCCTTGCTAACTGTCCCAGTCCGAGGTCCGAAGCCTCACGTACAAGAACTACGATCGTCTCTCCATCATCGACCCCAACAACTCGGGCAACGACATCTCCGGCGGCTCGTCCAACACCGTAGCAATCCTCGACCGTTTCAAAGGCGCCTTCCATCTGTTACGTGACAGAATGGACGAGATTGCCCGTGATCCCAACCAGGGCAACATTCTTGAAGTGATTCTCAGAGGCGACTACTCCTCTTTCAGAATGCAGCGAGATTTCCTTCGCCACGTACATGAGAAACATATCGGACCTTGTTCTTCCTGATCCTACTTTCCCTGAACGATCAAAGCCCATATTGATACCCCCATCGGTTGTGCATGTTATTTGATGCTGGAGTTTTTTTTGCCGCTTATGAAAAGCATGGAAATTTAGACGGGAGGTTCCTGGCATGAAAGACTACTGTCTTTTGTTTTCTCATTTTTGTTTGCTACTCATGTGTATAGTAACGCCGTGATGAAGGGGGGCATTGAATGTTGTTTTTGGGACTGGCGCAGATTACATTTCCACTGAAAGGCGCTCACGCATCGGCCTAGTGGCCTAGAATTGGACGACGATTTATTCACACGACTCGAACTTGATCTACTAACCGATGCAGTGACATGACACACCACTTCGCTGACGATACTTGCAGATTTGCTTTTTGAAAGAGTGCGGATGCATTCGACGTCCTTTCTTCGGTTTATAGCTGTTGAAAAACTCGTTGTTTTTTGGACAACACTTTTTCTCACTGCTTCTCTGCTATATGCAGGGCTGTGGAGAGGATTGAAGATGGCGATGGGGTTGAGGTTGAGATCTGGTGGACGTGAAGGTGTCGAAGGAGAATGAGGTCTAGTGATGATGACAGGGGTCCAGGAGGTTGCAGTATCGGGACATCGCCGATGGAGTTCGTAGCCCAAGACACCAGAGAGAAAGTAAACATCCAACTTCAGATATACCTGATTCACTTTATTATTTAGATAGATATCTTGAATTTCTTGTCCCCAAAGCACAGTAGATCTCAGATACAGATCCATGCTATAGTTTAATTAACCGCTATGAAACTATCGACAGTGGCGTCGTCTTAGCCCCAGACTATTGACTCTAGCTCAGGGCATTAACGTTCTTAAATCTGAATCTCCCCTGATTTATCCCCGTTTCTTTTCTTTCTCAATCTTCTTTATTTTCTGGGGAATTGTCAAGATGCCTTCAACAAAGTCCATCGCCGTCGTCGCGACCCTCGCAGCAGGCGTCACCGCAAACAACTGCAAGCCAACACCAAGACCCACCACCACCACCATCACCGAAGCACCCACCACAACATCATCATGCCCCGCCTACACGCTCATCTCAGAACCAGCCGAAGATATAAACTGCAACGTACGCGGCGCACCCAAGGAGGGAGATAGTCAGGTTTTGGAGAGTCTATACCTTGAGGATTGCGCGCAGAAGTGTAAAGAGTTTGATCTTTTCAACTGCGAGCTTATTAGCTTTGAAGAACCGGCTTCGCCGACGGAGCAGGGAAGTTGTACGCTTTATCCGGATAATGAGATTGTGGAGAGGCCGAGGGGTGGAGAGGTTGTTTATTATGATTCGAGGTGTTTTGCATGTTATACGAGGGGAGGACGCGGGGGTGGGAGGAAGTTTAGGGGGAGGATTAGGAGGAGTTAGATGCTTCTCGTGATGGATTTATGGTGTTTTCAAGGCTGTGTTTTTAGGTCGTTGATAGGAGGTTCTGGCGCGTTGTTGGCTGTTCACGTGTTCCCTTTTTATTCGGCTGAGGTGTACCGCTACAACTTGCCCGAGATTTCAGATTCCCATTATATGGTTAAGTCATGTTAGATGACAATATTATGTCTTGTTCATTCTTGAAGCTCATGGATCTTATCAGATAAGCATGTCTAAACTGGATTTTCTTGGCATTGTCTAAAAACAGTAAGTGACTGATCGGTTGTGAACCTTGATGGATCCTCCACCAAAAAAGAATTGGTCCAATAGAACCAGTGGCATTATTAACTTCACATCAACTCCCGCTACACATTTTGTATTTTTTTCAAACTATCCTTGACACACCGAAACGAGGTCGATTCGAGGAAAGAAGTAAGTTTCGCTCACTTTGACAGGTGGTTTTCTTTGACTTATGTGTGCTTCCAGTGCTTGACTACCTCTGGGGTGATACGAGTAAAGAGGAGAAGAGGTTGATACGAAAACTCGGTATGTTACTCCAACCTTTCGATGAAAACGACAACTAAAACTGAGCAGATTTCTTTATTCTTGTAGGTCACTTTTCACTTGTCCTCGGGTCTGAAACTAACGGAACAAGACTTTCTGTTGCTTTAGCTTCTTTTTCAATCACCTTGGTAAGTCTCATCATTGTAGCATCGATGACGCTCTGACGCCGAAGTCACAGACAGACAGGCCTTTGCCAATGCATATGTGAGTAAGATAAAAGAGCACGCAAGAGGGTTTTTTGGCTGATGGTATATTAGGTAGCAGGTCTCAAAGAAGCCCTCGAGCTGAGTGGCAACCAGTACAATGTCCTTCTCTCTATGGCCTCAGCAGGGTACGAACTCGCCCAAACCCCTAACCAGGACCAACTGACATATTGTTAAGCATGCTGGTCGGTCAGATACCCAGCAGTATAATCATCCACAAGATCCGCCCTCGAATATGGATGTCTTCCATGGTCGTCGTGTGGGCAGGCCTCACCATGGCCAGCGCAGCCTGCAAGACATATGCTCAACTCTGTGCCGTTCGCTTCATGATGGGTCTCGCTGAAGCAAGTACTTATGCGGGATCTATATACATTATGGGCTCTTGGTAGTAAGTCTCACACCTCACCATTCCACTAGCAAAGCTGACGATCTGACAGCAAATCCAACGAAATCGCCAAACGCACCGCCATGTTCACTGTGGCTGGTCAAGTCGGAAAAATGTTCGCGGGGGCTATGATGGCTGCCATCCATGAGTCAATGGAAGGTCATGCCGGACTCGAGGGTTGGCAGTGGGTGTTTTTGATAGACGGCATCATCACTTTGCCTGTTGCTATCTTTGGCTTCTTCTTCTTTCCGGATGTACCTGAGTACACAGATGCCTCCTATCTGAGTGATAAGGAACGACAACTTGCGCTTGATCGACTACCGCCTAAGAAGGAAGACGGCCATGATATACAGGCGTGGAGTCTTGTCAAAAGGGTGATGGGACATCCGTTGCTGTGAGTAATCTTCACTCTTTTATCTAGCTTCGGTACTAATGGAGGTGGACAGTTATGTCTGCTGCGTCTTTTCAGTTCTTGGGTCGGCGCTTCAGTCTTATGTTGTACAGGGACTCATGCTTCTCTATCTCAAGTTTCGCAAGGACATTGACGGCTTCACACAGTCCGAAGTCAACACCCTCCCGATTCCTACCCACGCAGTCGGCATTGTTGCTGAGCTTTCCGTCTCATTCTTCATGGATCGGTACAACCGAAGAATGTCACTTGGTTTCTTGCTCTGCTCAATCCAAATAATCTGCAGCATTGTGTTGCTAATCCCTGGAATGTCAGTTGCAGGAAATCTCACAGCCTTGTACCTCTCAGCTTCAGCATACGGCATCAATCCTCTGCTGTATGGCTGGTCAAGCAACATTTTGGCCCGGACAGCAGATGATGCCGCTCGAAGTGTGACTCTAGCCTCAATGGCTGCAAGTGATGGACTACTGTGGACATTCTGGGGCATAGTCATGTTCCCTGCTGATCATGCACCTTACTGGCGGAATGGGTACATCGGGATGCTATGTGTTAGTGCTGCAATGGTTGGCTGGCTATTTGCTGTTCGTTGGGTAAGTTTGTTCCCATTACTAGGATATATGGTCTGATAATATCTAGCTCGATCGTTACACCGCAGAAAAGTATCCTGCTGGTGAGCATACAAGTGCCTCGTCTCTGGTAGTCACGGAAATGAACTATTCCACAATGGATCAGAATAAGGCAGTTTGAGACTTCACAGAAGAAAGTGGTTGTCTCGAAAGAGTTTTGAAATAGTCTGGGAAGAGAGTCAATCTAGCTAAGACACCATGAATACAACCCCATCTTGCCTCCTACCAACCTGGGCTACTACCTTGGTCTTTTGTATTCATTTCTAAAAATGGAGGAAGCAACGTAACTGCAATCTCATGATCCGTCCCTCAAGTTTCCATCATTTACACCATTGTCTTCATGATCAATCGTTCTTAAAACAGTGTGAGCTTCTTCTCGAGTTCTTCAGCAATCTGCCAAGAGAGTCGGAAAGGAGTCTTGGATCCTTCAGGATTCAGAATTCCGATCTTGTTGCCCTTCTTCAATGGAGGACGGCGCCCCTTGCACGACTTGCAGAACCGCATTACAGCAGTGTTCTTGGCCTTGCAGGCTTTGCAAACCCACGCGCGGAGGATCTCTTTAGTTTCGACATCAAGAATGGGAATGCCACAAAAGTTACGCTCAGGTAGCCCTTTGAGCTGAGCCAGCGATTGTAAATCAGAGAAGTTGCCAGAGATAGTAGCTGGTCCTTCGTCGAGCGAAAAGAATGGATGACCAGCTTTGGCGTAAGTAGCGGCTGATATGGGGCTCTTTGGGGGGTCCTGGCCCGTAACTCGCTTGAAGCTGGTACTGTTGAGGATCTGCACATTGAATGTGACTGTGGACGTCTTTTTGTATTCGCCCTTGGGCTGTTCCACGATGCTTTGACGGATGAGACCGCCAGAAGCGATGTTTATCTCTGGCTCTTCAGCCATTGAGCTACCACCACGAAGACGAACAAAAAGATGAAGAAGTGCTCCCTAAAGTTTACAATTCTGGTTAGCATTTAAAAGACTACTTGATCTGGTATGGCGGCGATTCAAACATACGTTCTTAAGATTGTAGTCGCACAGCCTCAGCTTGTCTGCGAGATAGTTAGCTTACTGGGAGCCTGGCATTGATGAAGCGTGTAGTCCATACTTTTAAGCTGTTGCGATGACGATACCAAGCTTTGATAGGCAACATCGACTCCAGCCTTTGCTTTGACGAGCAACTTGAGTGTTTCGACTCTGCTGAAACGCGAAAGAAAGTAGTTGGATGTTTCGCCGTTGAGATGTTTGACCATGATGTTGATGGTGTCCTTGGGACCAGAGAGGAGAGGATCAAGGCGCGTGATGTCAAACTGAACGCCTGCGGTGGACTCTTCACCGTTCATTTGGGCCTCGACGGAACAGTTGGTTGCAATCGGCAAGGCTACAAACTGACGAACTTGGCCGAGCTCAGTAGCGACACCGTCTATTCACTTCTGGTAGGGAACAACAATGTAATCCTGGATACATTTCTCTTGCTTCAAGAGCTGTCGACGACGAAGTTCGGCCGCAGGAGTCGGAATCTTGGGCTCACCCGAGACGATGTTGACGTTACCGACGTGGATTCTGATGGCGTAGTTCTTGCTACTCTCAAAGTCGATCCATAAAGCCTCGCGTTCTGTTACATGAAATGTAAGTGCTGGTCAAGTCATCGATCGTGGCGCCCTCCGACACAGAAACTTTTGGAGTCCATGGGGTCAGATCCTCCATCATCTTGTCGGCTGTCTTGGGGGATGATGCAAGATGAGATTGTGTTGTGTTGGAGGGAGGGTTGCTCAAGTGAGAGGAATGAGTGTTAGGAGTTGGTTCAGTGATGTGCTGAACCCCTGCTGTGACAATGTTGTTTACCGAATAGAGAGAGTGGCTCAGTAGCGGTGATGTGAAGGTGAAAGGTGAAAGACTAGATAGAGTGAACAGTGATGGAAGACTCTCCCTTTTCAAGGTGATAACTCTGCAACTCCCAGGTAATGAGGGTAAAAAGACATGGCAAGGAGTTCACAAGGAGATGGAGCACAGATTCATCATGCTCCGGGTTCTGAAACAATTCGATCCTATCATGGTAGCCTTTTGTGATGCAGCAGTGTTTCACTGATATGCCGCGAAATTTTTACTGCTGCATAATATTATGCTTGACTGACAACGTTGATTCCTAGCGGGGATGTCACGGTCAAATCGTATCTTTCATTACCTTAACAACTCTCTATCTGTGATTTTCTTTAACAAATTGGCAATAGGAACAACTTCTACTGTGTCTTGAAATTTTAGTGTCATGGTAATCATATCGTCCTCCAGCAGAGTTAGATTCAAATCTTGTTACCTTTACCATCTAGTGTCGCGGTGATGCCACGCTTGGAAGAGTCCTAGTTGGTGGTAGGGAGCTCAGTTGTCATCAAATACACCGGCCGCGTGGCCTAATGGCTAAGGCGCTAGATTTCGGTCTCCATCTTCTGAACTCTCTAGAGATTCCAGGTTCGACTCCTGGCGTGGTCGACTCACGATCTTCGGATTTTACTTTTTGCAAAATTTTGCATTTCAGGTGGGTCGTTGGAGAACAGACTAAGCCACCACAAGAGCTCTCCTCCGCTTCTCCAATGTTTTATTAAGACTTTTTTAAGAATGATAAGCTTGAACCTGTTTTACACGTTTCACGTTCTATTTATTACCAATGCTCATTTAACAATATCATATAATATTTGTCGTTTAAATGCTGCTCACAACTGGCGTAGCAGTCTTGTCATCTCCATTCGAAGGCATAAGCTCATTCTCAATGCTGCTCGGCTTCTCGGGGACAGTCTTCTTGCGTAGTCCAAAACATGTCGTCAGTGGTGTAAACACACCAAGGTTACCGTATCGCTCCATGTAAGTCATGGAGCAGAAGCAGATAATAACGACCAGCCAATAAACGTTGTAAGAGACAACAGATCCAATTGTCGCAGAGTTCTGCCAACCAAGAATGGCATTAAAAATACCCCAGCCACCACCGCCGTTGAGCTCAGCGTTGCAGCAGTTGACGTGCCAGACACTCTTGTGGATGTCATAAGAGCCAGGGCCGGAGCCAACTTCTGCGGCATCACCACCGATGATGTTGTTCCAGGCATGGATTTCGAAGGCCCAAACGGCTTTGCTGAAGAGTCCGGCGGCGACGAGATACAAGAAACCAGTAGAGATGATGAGGAAGATTTGGAGAGATGTTGTGTTTCCTCCTCTGGTTAAGATAGTCAGCCGCGAGGCCCTCTCATGAAGTGTGGAAGAGTTAACGTACCTGTAAATGATGTATCCAACGACGCAACCAGCTGCAAGGCCACAAATAACAGCCAAAGGAAACGAAGAAGCTGGAAGTCCCAAACTGACGCCTCCAATATACACAACAGCCTCAAGACCTTCTCTCAGAACGGTGATGAAAGGCAGAATAAACATGACATGCTTCTCCGACCAAAGCTTGAAACGACTCATAAGACCAGAAGTAGCAATCGCATCTTTCTTATCCAGAGCCTGCATAAGCTTGACCCTCCACTTCTCCTGAAGTTTATTAACTCTCAAAAGAGCAGCGCCCATAATAGAGATAATAATCGCCGCAATAAGACTGAAGCTTCCTTCCCAGATGTCTTCTGTTTTGCTAAAGACATCTTTGCCGAGGGAGTAGAATGCACCGATCATACCGGCGCCGATGCAGATACAGATGGCGAGGCCGAGACCTACACCAATCCATACCTGATCCTTTGTTAGATTGAAAGGAGGACGAAGTTGAGGAGGGGGAGAGCACCTGTTTGAGAAGGCGTTTGTAGGTTTCTTTATCGTCCTCGCCGCCGACACTCTGCTTCAAGAATGCTAGAAGGACGGAGACGATGATGCTTGTTTCGAGACATTCTCGGAAACAGATGAAAAAGACTATTTGGATCATTGTTAGACATTTCGAGCCATGACTGGATGAGACCCTTAGCCAAGTGGTTACATACTGGGAACAGCAAAGACGTTGACTGTCATGATGATTTTAGCTCGTTGGCCACAGACCAGGCAATCAGGTACAAGTTTGAAGATGTACGGACGAGAAACTCATGAGATCTTGGGTATGAGGGGATATGCAATGGAACGAAACAATATATTGATGCGCGCCCAAGTCGCTTTCACAAGACAGTGGATCGTCCGAATTGACTTTATCCCTCCCACGCTACGACGCCATTAGCGCCGCCAAAGATCCCAGCCTCAGTGCCGACTTTTCCGAGTCAAAGTCATCTGCCTGTAAAAAAGATGGATAAGATAACTTCTGACACTGCGCTAATCACTTCTATTCTTCACTGGCGCTTCACTTGCGAGTGCCGACTTTCCGAGATCGGGTGTGTCTGACGCCATCTGATTTGACAAGATCGATAAGATAAATTAATCGCGCTCCCGATTATCCGATAGTTATCAATCTAGACTGTGGAATCTTTGACTCTAATGGGCTGATCCTCGTATCTTGGGCGTGCCGGTTATCCAGAGTTTGGTGCCAAAAGTAAGGTTACTTACTCAATTGCAACTAGAGCTAGGTTTCCGGTACCATGTGGCTTGGTGAGGAATTGCCGCAGTCTTTATCTGATCTGTTCCCTGCATGGCTTTGAATGGCCAAATGCAACTTGAGCCTGTCACCGATTAATCTAGTTCATCTTTCTTCATCAGCTCCGCGAGCGTATACAGAAACAAGACTGATGAACTAGAACTCAAGTAGCAGTCGCGATGTTTCTATCACTCATCGTCTCATCGCTGGCCATCCTCTTTGCCGGACCAACGGTTAGTGCAAAGGATGTGCATTTCGACTGGAACATCACATGGACGACTGCAAACCCCGATGGATTACAAGCGCGTCCTGTAATCGGCATCAACAACCAATGGCCTCTCCCAGTCATCAACATCACAAAAGGTGACAGAATCGTCGCAAAAGTGACGAATCAATTGGGGAACCAGTCAACTACCATTCATTGGCATGGAATGTACCAAAATGGAACAAATTTCATGGATGGACCTGCTATGGTGACACAATGCAACATCCCCACTGGCGCTTCCATCACATACAACTTCACGGTGAGTCTGATCCATAAGCTGTGAAAGGAGCAAGTCTGATTCTTGACAGGCCGACCAAGTTGGAACTTATTGGTATCACTCTCACACAAGAGCTCAGTACCCAGATGGTCTACGCCAAGCACTCATCATTCAAGATCCCAAGAATCCATATGCGGGTGAATACGACGAAGAGCGCGTCATCACACTGTCAGATTGGTATCACGACGAAATGCCAGATCTCATGAAACAATTCGTCTCCTACAAGAACCCCACCGGCGCAGAGCCCGTTCCAAATTCAGCACTCATGAACGACACACAGAACATGACTCTTCCCGTCGAGCCTGGAAAAACCTATCTTCTTCGCTTAGTGAACGTGGGTGCTTTTGCGTCTCAGTACTTCTGGATTGAAGGGCATACTATGAAGATCGTTGAGGTTGATGGCGTCTGGACAAAGCCTGCTGAGACGGATATGATTTACATTGCTAGTGCTCAGCGGTACGCTGTGTTGGTTACGATGAAGAATGAGACTGGGGCGAATTACCCTATGATGGCTAGTATGGATACGGTAAGTTGACCCTTCTGGACGCTGTGTTATTATACAAGCTGATCATCTGTATTGGTAGAGTTTGTTCGACTCTATTCCTGATGGTCTAAACTGGAATGTCACAGGCTGGCTTGAGTACGATTCCGACAAGAAGCTTCCCCCAGCTGCTGTCTTGAATGAATTTGAGCCTTATGATGACTTCAAGCTTGTTCCCACAGACGGGGAGAAGTTGTTAGAAAAGGCCGATCACACCATCACCTTGGATCTCACGATGAATAACCTTGGTGACGGCGCGAACTAGTAAGCAGCCCTCCATACCTTTGTACTCTGACAAAGATTAGTACATTCATACTGACGACTTTTAGTGCCTTCTTCAACGACATCTCCTACGTTTCACCCAAGGTCCCAACTTTATATACCGTCCTATCCGCAGGCGAAAACGCAACTGACCCAACCGTTTATGGAACCGACACAAACTCCTTCGTCCTCAAACACGGCGAGATTGTGGAAATAGTTCTCAACAACGATGACTCTGGAAGGCATCCTTTCCATCTCCACGGCCAAACATTCCAAGTCGTGCACCGCAGTGAAGAAAACGCAGGCCACTACAATGCATCGTGGACTAACATTACTTACCCATCCGTGCCAATGCGAAGAGATACATTCCTCGTGTATCCACAGGGAAATTTCGTCATTCGATTCCCAGCTACTAATCCAGGTACGTCAACGCAAAGCGACCTGTAATAAGCAGGATCTAACTGTGATAGGTGTCTGGCTCTTCCACTGCCATATCGAATGGCACATGGATACTGGTCTGATCGCAACGATGATTTCGTCACCACTTCAAATGCAGAAGACTTTGACGATTCCAGAGGAACATAAGAAGATTTGTGCGGATCAGGGGATTTCGACTGTTGGTAATGCAGCTGGCAACACCGAGGACTATCTGGATTTGTCCGGGCAGAACATGATGGTGCCTCCTCTGCCATCTGGTTTCACTACGAAAGGTTACGTGGCCATGGTGTTTAGCTGTGTGGCAGGCGTTCTTGGCCTTGCCTCGATTACTCTGTAAGCTGCCCCCCTTCTCAAACATTTGGTAACGATACTGATGATTCTGTATAGGTATGGATCCGCTCCTATTGCCGCCAAGTAAAGAACAATGTTCATGTGTTATAGAGAAAATACTCTGAAATAATATTTTTGAGAGCTGTTTAACAATATTTCTATCTGGAAAATTGCTGCATGCTGGAGCCGCTTACTCTTGGAATACCCAAGTGACATCCTCCCAACCCTCCCTCCTCCTTAACCTAAATCCAGGATCCAATCCTCCCCAATCCGGCATTCTCGGCCCAACTTCAACCCCAGGATCCCTTGACTTTGGCAAACTCAGCCCCTCGGCCTCAAAGCTAAGCGCAACGACACCAACGAATCCCAGTATCTCCGTAAACGCAAACTTGCGGCCAGGACATAGATGCTTTCCACCTCCGAATGACAACTGTGAGCCTCTTCTCTTCTTCTCATCTTGCACCGATACATCTAAGAAGCGCTCAGGTTTGAAGGTATTCGCGTCTGGACCCCAGATCTCGTCGATGAAGTGAGTCACCGATGGCGCCCACTGGATGTTGAATCCCTTTTTGAGCAGATAACTTCGGCCCTGTGCGTCTTGGACCTTGGTGTCTTCCATGACTCTCCTGTTGCCGATGGAATGAAGATAGTGACGAAGGGATTCTTGATAGCAGGCGTGGAGGAAGGGACAGCATTTCTCTAGCTTTCTAACGTCAAATGTCGCTGTCTTCCCGTTGGGCCCATTTGTGATAATAGTAATCTCCTCAATCTCAGCTCGCACACGAGATGAGTAATGTGGGTTTGTCAAGACGTGGACGAAAAGCCAGAATAAAGTGGGCGCAGTGTTGGTAACTCCAACCCAAGGCAGCAGCGTTTCCATGTGAGCTAGGTCGTCATCCGTAAAGCCAGTGCTACGAAGAAACTTAACTCTATCGCGTATAATTTCAGAGACACCGTCTTCAAGCTCGCTTCCAGATTCATAGTAGGTCAGAAGCAGGTTGTTGATCTCTCTTCTCGCATTGATCGCCTTTTTGGTAATGAAGCTTGGGACACCCAGCGCCACAAACATGGATTGTTTATCAAATGTCCTGTCGACGATTAATGACCAAAACAATAGTAAGGCTCCAAGAAGACTCACCACATGAGATGCGCTTTATCTACCGTCAACGGATTCTTCGCCCCGAAAAGAGCTGTCGCCGTTGCATCCGTCAAGATATCCCGGAGCCAAATAAATACATCAGGTGCATCTAGTTCTTCTCCAGGTCGAATAGGATTAAGATAAGTCATGAGCCTTGTTAAAGCACTGAGATTCAGTCTGTGCAATGGTTCGCCCATGAGGGTAGACTGAATAATCGACAGTCCCGTCTTCAAATATTCCTTATCAGAGATGAGATCTCCTGCGTTCTGGCTCAGACCCCACATGGCCTTTGAAAACTCAACAAGAAACGGGTCGAAGGATATGTCGTTGTTTTTCAAGGCTGATTGGATGAGATCCGGTGAGTTTATGAGGTAGACTTTGCCGTTTAGCATGGGGAGGGTACAGATGGGCATTCTGCGTTCTTTACTGTGACCGGTCAGAATTGTATGCCGTTGCGTGTTCATTGGAGGCTGGAGAATTACAAGAGTCGAACATAGAATCCGCCGCCCTCGCTGAACATCGAGATGATGTGTCCTACCAGCGGAACTCGAGGTTTAAACAGCGGTGGCTCGAGGGATTCGAGGGAGGGCGATACATAGCGACTCAACAGAAACAGCAGTCCAGCTAAAGTCACAATGGCCCAAGTATTCGGCAGAGAAACATTATCCCAAAACATCATGGTAATGGGGCTACAGGTAGAGGAAAAAGATAAGAATGTATCAAGACAAACATTGCCGTTCAGGTTGAGTCCGTTGCGGGGAGGTGGCTGGACGCCTTACTTATTCCTCTATAGCGTGCCATGTCAGCGCTTGGTGCTTAACTTGTTATTTTGAGACAAAGACAGAGACAGGCCTCAGGAGGTAATAAAACTTCTAACGTAAAATCAGGATGCCAAAATCAACTGGACTAAGACCCCACTAAATATACTAAGTTTACCTAAGTACTTTTGTCACTTAGCATAACAGTCCTAGGTTTTCTTGACTCCTCTAGACACGGAATTCCGATTCTCTTGGACCCTGCTTTGACTATGCAGGTCCCATCTTATCATAGCTGACCAAAGGCTGAATCTTATTGGTGTAAGTTCAAGTTGTGGAGATTGAACACGCACTTAAATCTCACTGAATGGCGAGCCAGCCAATATGAGACAAACTACCTGGGTTCATTTCTCTCAGAGCAATGATGTGACGGAAGATAATATGCAGGATCATGAGGAGACTGTATAGTTAAAAGTCGAAATGTTAATATAAAGCTAAGAAATAAGAAAGAATTGTGCCTAAACTGATAACCCTATTTAGACCCCATTACACCTTATCCTCTTCCCCATCGTAACCATCCAAATGTCAGAACGGTAATCAACGACCCATAAAACCGTCTGATAGCCCATGCCGGCGCCAACAAGGGATCATTCTTCGGAATGAGCTGAACCGGTGACTTGAATGTTGGAACCGGCGCCTGGCTTCAGGTGCTGCGTCGAATCTCCTTGAACTTCTCGTTGATCTCTGTGACCTCGGGGAACTTGATCTTCTTGTCACTGACGACACGCTGCCACTTCTCCACAGCGCTCTCGTAGTCCCGAATCTTGTGATAGGACTTATCATAGTCGTTGTGCCACTTCTGGGACTCGATCTTCTCGCGCTGGTAGTACCCGTCTGTAGTCTCATACTGTTCCTTGAAGTCGTCTCTCTCGTCAGTCACAGTCTTCAGATCGTGTTCGGCCTTGGTGACCTTCTGAAGAGCGGTTGTGAGCTTCGTCTTTGTCTCCTTGAGTTCTGTCTCAGATGTAGCGAGCCTCTTCTGGAGATGTCCGTTCGCATCGAGTGACTCGGACAGCTTTCTCTTGAGGGTAAGGACCTCACTGCGGAGGGAAACGTTCTGCGCCTTTTGGATGCTGAGTTCGTTCTGGAGGGTGACTCTCTTAGACTCAAGAGTAGCAACTTGTCCCTGGAGGTTCTTGATCTGTGTATCGAGGCTCTTCTTCTCGATCTGAGCGCTGGTAAGCTTCTCGTTGAGGGTCATGTTCTTGCGGTGGAGAGCGCTGATATCTTCCTTCAGCTTGTTCATGTCGCCATGGTCCTTGAGGTCGTGGTTCTCAAGAGCATTGATAGCCCGAAGAAGCTCATCAACCTTCTTCTGGTGCGCGGCGGTGTTTTGCTTGATTTGCTTGTTGAGCTCATCAACCTCCGACCTGGCCTGGTTGCGTTCGCCAGTGAGGGACGTGATTTGGCCCTCAAGGTTCTGCTTGTCCTTCTTGAGAGTCTCGACCAGGACGGTTTGCTTGTGGAAGTCGGCATCAAGGGCAGCGAATCTCTATGTGATGTGAGTAAGTGATAGTTCTGAGGCTGATGTAGAAGACTTACGTTCTGGGCCTGAGCGGTAAGGTAGCCGGCCTGTTCAATGAATGCAACACCATGCGTCAAAGTCTCCAGGATAGTCTTGGGGAAGGGCATGGGATCAAGGACGCGAGGGAGAGTCTGCACGGGTTGGGGGAGGCGGAAGTCGGTCTCCTTTCTGGTGGGAGGAACGAGATCATCCGAGTCGAAAGAGCTTTATCGAGCTTCATTAGCATAAAACAGACTGAGTTGTACTGTTGTAGAATTGACTTACTGCGCCTTGGGCTCGATCTTGGCGACAAGGTTCAACTCGCCGATGCTGGCCTGCTTTCCATCGGCCTTGACCTCAATACCAAGCTTCTGAGTCTCCTTGTTCCAGGCACAAGTGATGTCAAAGAAGTTGTTGAAGGCGAACTTGTCGAACTTGTCATCAGATCCAACGACCTTCATGTTAGTACCCTTGAAGGCGGATGTCTTGGCATTGCCAGAGCCATCCTTAGTCCACTGCCATGAAGACACAATAGGCTTTCCATCCTCATAATCCTCAGGGAGGACGAAGATAGCCTGTTCGTTAACAGCATTCTCGCGCCAGTTGATGCTACCAGCCCAAATGCGAAGCGCAGCATTAGGGTTGATCTCACCCTGAGGTTGCCAGTGGCGCTCAAGAGCAGTGCTGGCCTTGCCACCAGAGAGACTTGTCATATCGACCTTGATCTTGCTGTAGTTCTGCTCAGTGGTGATGGCATAGTTGTACCATGCCCCGGAGAGAGTGAAGCTGACATCTGTTGTCTTGGGGAGCTGCTTCAGATCCTGGACGAGGATGGTTTGGAAGAACTTGGCCTTCTCAACGCCAGAAGCGTCTTTTGTCCATTGGGTGAAGATGTAGACGGGATCATTGGCGCGGACTACACCCTTGGGGAAGATGATGGTGAAGGTCTCGTCAACGGCGTAGTTGTACCAGTTGAGCTTTCCTTGGTAAATGAACATTGTGAAAAGTAGAACGGGATCTAAGCTTAAAGAAGAGAAGAGTGAAGGTAGGAGATGTAGTAAAGAGAAGAAGCTGATGTTTATGATGAACCAATTCTGTAGGAGATCAGCGCACCCTTTATAACCTTAACTATTGCTGCATGAGTCTGTCTTCATCACGAACTAGTGCGTATCCTCTCAGCTCTGCATGCAGAAAGTATTGCATAGCGACTAGCCCGAATACTGAGCACATCCGCTCGATGCTTCCGCGTAGCATTCCGCATGGCGCTTGTGACACTGTAAAATACCCGTGTGGCAAGCTGAACTCCCTTGACCATTCCCCATCCCAAGCCAAATCACAACTCAACACCACGCAAAACCCTCGTGGCTAGCTGTGCGGCTTGAAACATTGATCCTCACTAACAGTCTAGGAACCAGCCCTCGCTAATAATCCCCAAACGCTCTCTCAAGGCTGAGACAGGCGCTGCTTAGTCCAAGCTGAGACGAGACCCTGAAGAGGGTGCCCAATGATAACGGTTCAATAGTGCGCGCCACGTGCAGTCCAGCTCGCCACGGGCCGTGATAAGCGGCTAGAACGGTTCCTCCGCATTGGGTCCAGACCTCGCCAATCATGCGGACTATCTACCAATAAATTGATCACAGTGCAGGACTAGCCACAGAACAGTGATAGTTTGCGGTAATGTTGCCATTTTGGAGTTGGGGCTTAGACAGGCCGGGCTAGAACGCTGCGGCTGATGTGCGCAAGGGAACAGAATTGGTATGATGCATGCCAATTCAGGTTTCAGAGGCCAGCTGAGATACAGCGCAAGATTGCAAAACCTTGGAGGACACGAATTGCGAGATTGAAAGGACGAATTCGAAAGTTTTGAACCCTCAGGAAGTGATCACGTGTACGGAGGAGAACTGTGCGATGCTGGAGAGAAAACTTTGAAAGTACAAGGTGCCCTACCAAGGTGGGTCCTACGAATAGCTTCAATCAATCACCATGGTCGGCTCAACGAAACAAATAGAAGCGACGCGAGAATACCAACGGTTCACAGAAATTTTGCATGATGAGATTACTGTGAGTAGCTCAGGGGATGAATTATATGATTAATGGCTTGCATTTCCCTACCCACGACGACAACGATCAAAGCATCTTCCATTGCTTTCAATCCACTCAGTCCCACACACAATCTGGTCAAACCCGATGTCTCGGTGCCTGATTTCGTCTTCGCGTTCACCTCCTTCTGCTTCTTCCTTTTTTTGATGCGATGGCGCGTCCAAATTTGCTCGCACCAAAAATCAGGCAAAGTTCTTGAGGCTCCTTCTTCGTCCGTCCTCCGACATTCTTCGCAGGCTGGATGAGTACCTTCCCACATTCATGCACGGGTCAAAAGCTCCGATGGCTTCGTGTCACCCAGCTACGGGTATCGCTCGATCGAGGAGATTGACGAGAGGTACTTGCCATACAAAAGACTGCTTATTTCCTGGAGAAGTAGTGCTGCCTTGCCCCCACCTTACTCGCGTTTCGATCTCGTACTCGCACTTGGGTGGGAGTTGGGGACGCTCTCATCTTGATTGTTCAAAGTCGCTCCTGTCACAGCCGTACCCCTTCCTTTCTCTTCGTCTTCACATTGTAGTTCTGGAGGAATCCTTTGGCCCAGCCATACTGTGAGCTCCGACATTCAGGGTGTCAGCGCAGATGATACTTTGTGGGACTTCTTCCTTCCTTGCAAAAATAAGCATCACGCTCCTGCATCAGGTCATGTCTTGTCAAGAGCTTACATGTGGATACCTCTAGTCTTGATGTCGTGCCTTCTCCAGAGCCCAGCCTGGAACGTGTGTCAGTAGGTCAGGAGCTAAGCTCTGCGTTGACACTTGATGTAGAAGATCTCATTCAGATGCTGCTTTGTATGCGTTGGTTCTGTGATAAGGTTAATTGAGGCACCGGCCCCAACGTAATCGTCTTTGTTTCATTATCTTGTACTAAGTGACGCCTCGGAGGTACGTGACCGCTGTCTCTTTGAGCAATGTTCGAGGTGCTTGCGCATAAGCGTGTTTCGCTGTCAAAGGCTCTTTCCTCCTTGAAGAGGGTAGGTGACCAGGTCGTTCGATGTGGATGATGTTACCTGTCGATGTCAGTGTTCGGAAACTTGCTCACCTTCTAAATTCGATCTTGCACTTGCCTCTCTGCTCTTCATGCCTCTGAAGTCGCTCTGGCGTCGGGTAGGAGCGAGAGTGCTCTTAGATGAGTATAAGAACCCTCTTCCCCATCTTCTTCTTCTTCTTTTTTATTCTTCTTCTCTTCATGTTCATGTTCTCAAGGAGATCTGCTCCTCGCCGTCTTGTTGACCGACCATCAAGGTGTCGGCGCAAGTGCTGCGGTCTGGGATAACTTGCGCTAACCCCCCAGTGTCGCAGTAGGTTGGTAAGTCCGCGGCACAATTTTTGATTTATTATCACTGCTTGCAGTTTTGTCTACTCTCGTCGTTTCTCTGACCAGAGGGGTGTCAGTTGATTCAGTTTGAACTTTTTTTTTTTTTTTCCATTGCATTCACCGGCTTGCTGGTGGTGTGAAGAAGAAATTCCTGCCTCGTGATGTGAATGATGTGTGATGTGCTGGTGTCGAGCTGTGTCTGATGATGATGAAACTTTGCTGGTGGTGAAGATGCGCTGAACTTTGTGTAAAGAGTGGAAGGGGAATGCAATGAAATGAATGAATGTAAAATAGCAGATAGAAACAAGCACAAGAACGTAGGTAGGAATACAGATGAGGAACCGGAGAGGCGAGGGATGGGAGAGATGCTGTATTTATAGGAAAAGAGAAAAACAAGCTTTGTGGGATGGAGAGTTATCCTCCTGGTCAGACTTTTGCTTTACGTTTGCCTGTCACTCATTGGTGCCACGATATTTTAGTTGCAAGAGTTTATCTGCTCATCTCAGTGCTTAGGACGCGCCACGTCAGCCATTGCAAAGAAGGATGCTCACGACGGGGACGAAAGGATCAGGTGGAGGTGTAGACTTGCTCGTCACTCCAATGATCGGTCGACACTGGATGTGTTACCTGCATTTGAGACCTATCATAGAACTTAGATTCCATCGCAGAACTTAGATTGATCGACGCGAGCAATTGACGGTTGACCAGAAGAGGGGTTTGGCAGCTGGCGATACCTGTCGTCAGTTGGACGCCCATGACAACAAACAACAAACTAGTCCCATCAGAAGCTCTTCAATAACAACCTCGAGCCGCCTGCAGCATTAAATTTCCATCTACAGTATCCTCGGCGGTAACAAGCATCGCGCGTTTTAGTGTTGTTACGACGCGTTGCGTCATCCTGCGGTCGAGCTCGAAGCCTCTTCCATCGACCACCGAACACCGACGCCGCCTTCTCCTCAGCGAACAAAGTACAGACGATCGCTACCTAAGCACCCGCATCAGACTCAAATTGCCTGGAAATTGCCGAGAACCGAGTCAAGTCTTCAACGACGGTGCTACGATATCTACGCTGCTTCCGCCCGCCCATTGTCGAGTCTCGGCGAAGCATGACCAACGCAAACCCGACCCGCCCGTATCACGCCGCTCCAATACAATACGAATCTTACGATATATCTTGCTCAACAAAAGAAGAATTATTGCCCGTCTCCTTGCCCGTGTCGCTCGCGGGAGCTTCTGGCCAGGACAAGCGCGGACGTCGACCAGTCTCGAAAGGCAGTTGATCACGATTTTGAGCCCGAAGAACCACGAACCGAGTATCAAGAAGCCACGATCTACGCTTGCAAGTCCATAACGAAATATAAAATGGTAGGTGATCAGTATCAGAAGCAAGAGATTCGTCGACTCGAGCCCGGCATCATTCATTCCCGTTCAAGTTCCCAATTAACGGCGTTCTGGCAGCATCAGCAATCAGAACAACATTATCGACAGAGCCTCGCCGCCCCTCGTCCAAGAACCGATGGCGTAATATATAAAATACAGTCCAAAGAACAGAAGAGAGAACCAAATTTTCAATCCCTCTCCCTCAGTGTTCGACGCTCCAGTCTCAAACTCGTTGCGGACAGACAGGCTAACCACGATCAAGTATCCTTCCACCGAGAAGTTGTTGTCGACGCACATTTTTGGTCCGAAATGTCGTGTTAGGGAAATTCCCAAGTCAGTTCTGGCCGAAGACGTGATATTGATCGTGGACTGCCACATCGGGTCACGTCGCCAACAGTCCATACAGCGACACACACCACAATCGGGTACGGGGCGCGCTCTGCATTGAGCTGGTTGAGATATCACCAGCTTTGAATATCAATCAATCAACAAGATACGGTGGATGTTCCACGGATAGCTTATTAATATATCTCAAAGACCTGCTCCGGAGACTGGGCCTTCGCCTCGCATGATGCCGTGTATAAATCCATACCCTCCCATCAAGAATCGCTCACCGTGAGGTCGTAAGATAAACGGGCATGTGCTTCCAAAGGGGACAGTTATTATATCCCCAGGGTTAGTTGTCGAAACGAAGCAACCAATCATACCCTTTTCCGTGATGAAGATGCTTGAGTCTGGATAATTAAAGTCCCACACCGGTTTTCCAAATTGATACCCATCTGCTTGCTCGGCCTCCTTGGATAACTCTGATGAGATGTACTGCTGATAAGCCTGCTCATCGAGTACAATTCCAAGATATGCCAGGAAACTTTGCATCAGAATCCGCTCTTCTCCAGGGTTACTATCTTCATTGAGGCCGAATGATAATGAAGTCGCAATTGCGTGAGTTCACTGCTGTTGTAGATCTTACTTGGTCGGCTCAGTCGTAGGTTCTCGAGAATTCTGCGCCACACATGCCCTAGCTTGACTCGTCTTTCTTCCAACTTCATGTTGGCGTTACTAAAAAGGCTTTCATTGTATGTTTCGGAAACCTTGATCGAATCAATAAGAACGCCACGTAGAGCCAGAACCTTTGACTCGGCATTAATGCTCCTGGTTGGTTTCAAATCAAGCGACGGACTCCATGGAAGTGCTTTACCAAACCTGAAAGGATTTCGAAATAACATGGCCCAATCCCATCGGGGCACCCAAGATGGGTGATTCGTGCCTGGAGCGTAGAGTTACACATCTGTGTTCTGCATGTCGACGAAAGCAGCAGCGACAGAGTCCATATAAACCTCCACCGTCGATTTGTCATAGTCAGGATAGAGGAGCTCACTGCCCCGTGTAATACTCATCAAACCATCGAGACCATATATCATATCTCTTGGATCGGTGCTGAAAAAGTTTGATGCCAGATACAACATGTATAGCCAGTTCTTGGGCTGCCGCAGGCGCTCTGTAGTAGCAGTAGCGGCCCACCAGCATTTGGGGTCCGTAAAGCCTATGGCTTTACTAAACGCTGGCTCCATGATGATATACCCGGCGACCAGCTCGACCTGGTCCCATTCGATTGTCGAGTGACCACAATGAACAAGTCGAGACTGGTTCGCGTTGGTTTCTTGAATGACCCAAACCCGTGTGAAATAGGTGTGAGAATACAACCAAGTCAAAGATTTCCACATGTCTTTGGTGACGGCCTCGATTTCATTTGGTAACGGTATCAGGCTTCTGTTCTGATACACCACCTCGTGATAGACATTTCCACGAGCGCTTAACCCATTAGCTGAGATACCAAGCTTTTGACAAAGGACTTCTGAGATTAGGTGAACTGTGTTGATGGCAGTTTCTGCATCATTTTCTGGCGTATCTGGCCCGAACCAGATTAGAACTGTCCTGGCGTTTTCGTAGATCTTCCGCATTTGTTTTACCTGAGCATTGCGCTCTAATATATGGGACTGGTCGATACTGGGTGGTTAGGAAGGTCAGCGGTGACACGGAGAGGCTACCTGGATATAAAGGAATGCTTGGCTTTGTACAGTTTGTCTCATTGTTTGTCAAGGGGAGCCAATCAGTGAAGCGACGTACCAAATGGCATCTGCCCACAGATACCTTGATCTATCTCGTTGTCTGAAATGGCCGAGTGCATTGTAGAGATTCTGAGTGACCTTGAGTCTTTTACCGTGGCAAATTATATCGGTCTTCTGATTCAGGTCTCCCCAGACATAGGAAATGGCCTCGTACTCGGGATACTAGCATCGGACCAAGAGGCCGGATGAACACGGCATTGGATTGGGTCATCATCATTACCGGGGAGAAGTTCTGCGATTCGGAATGAAGTTTGCGTGCCAAGCTCTTGGTACAAATATCCAAGTTCGTGTTCGGTCATGGTGCTAGTAGCGGTACTCCAAGAGTGGGGAGTTATACTTGTCAAGATATGCCATTTACTTCGGGCCGAGCCGCTCATCCACGCATGTAATTGCGTTAACCCAGACCTGTAGCGTAGCTAAACCAAAAGATTATATAATTAGGATGACAAACTCGGTATTTAAAGTAAGGCTTTTAACGTGATAACAGAAGTCTTGAAGTTTATCGATTCGATCGTGTGTTACATGTGTTACAGTGAGGCATGTTTAGCCTCCCCTCAACATCCCCTGTCGTCCTCAATTATCGGCGGGGCTGTAACTGCTTGGTTGGCCTGAAATTATGAGGCCACTGACCATGAACTTACCCCGCCTTCTTTAGTTTGATACGTAAATCCAAGCTTGATAAACCATTCAAGTTCAGTTAACAGCAAACTGTTACCACTATGGCATCTACTACCCGATTCAGACTCGTCTTTAACGTGCCTAAATTATCGTTGGCTCAATGTAAAGAGGCCATTTTCGCTGCTGGAGCAGGTCGCTTACCCGGCCCGGGTAATTATACCGAGTGTTGTTGGACTGTCATTGGGACCGGCCAGTTTCGCCCTGGCGATGCAGCCAAGCCACACCTTGGCGAAGTCGGAAAGCTTGAGGAGGTTGAAGAGGCAAGGGTTGAAACTATTTGCGTGGGTGAAGACGTTGCCAGGAACGCCGTCAAAGCTCTGAAAAGGTTAGCGATTCCCTCTATAACTCTGCGCACTGCTAATGCTTCTCAGCGCCCATCCCTATGAAGAGCCCTCTTACTCTGTGTATCGACTAGAAGATTTTTGAGGGGAACATGGATGGCGTAGTGATTAAAGGCAGGGTGGCAAGTTGTACCGGAAAGGCCGTTGATTATGATTATAAGTGTCTGCCATAGCAGGAACCACAGTGGAAGGACATGTGCAGAAGGAGAAGAAACAAAACCCACGATGAATAGTCTATATAAAAATATTTCTTGAAAAAAGAAATAAAACCGCCGGTTTCGTCTGTAGTACGCGTCAGCTGACAGTCCGAATCGAGGAACCAGTGTAACGCCCAATGTCAGCACGGCTTATTATACCGGATGATCATCTCTTGGGCTTTCACTTCTTTCAACTTGAATGGAAACTCAAGAATATGTCTCATAAAACTATCTCTAATGTTGTGATCGCTGGTGTAAGTTTGTCGAATTGCAGACAAAGCCCACGCTGACATCCAAAGGGCACCGGACGTCTTGGTCCTTCAACCATCAAGCACCTCCTCAAAAACGGCCTCAAAGTCAGCGTGCTTACTCGCGATCCAACTTCGGCAAATCTCCCACCAGACGTCGATGTCATCGGAGCAGATTACACATCAGCCGAGACTTTGACACCAAGCCTTGTAGGTCGCGGGTTTGATGCCATCGTCATCATACTCAACCGCCTCGCCTACGATGCATCAGTGGTTGCGATGCAAGCAGCCGTCAACGCTGGCATCTATCGAGCCATTCCTTCATTCTTTGGTGTTTCTCTTGACAATCCCGAGATAGCCAACATGCCATTCATGAAGACCAAGCTACCCGTCCTGAACGACGTTTTGGCAAAGGCTGAGAAGGGTGAGATTACGTACACGGGCATCAATACTGGCATGTTTCTGGATTGGGTGCTTGATGAAGATATCTTTGTTGGTCTCTCTGGCAAAGCACCAACTCGTGTTGCGGACGGTGGAGACATCCCAATGTCTGCAACGGCGCTCGATGATATCGGCAAGGCCATTTCTTCTGTCCTCTCGAAACCTGAAGAGACCGTTAACAAGCTTTATTATGTACACACTGTGGTTATGACACAGAATCAGGTGTTGGGATATGCTCGTGAAGCTGCTCCAGCCACGGAGTTTGCTGTTGAACAAGTTGATACGAAGGTGCTTGTCGAAGCTGCGTGGAAGCGGTACAACGAAGGAATCAGAGACCGGGTTTCCGTGAGGGACTTTGTCATTAGGGCGAGTTATGGTATGGGGAATGGATTCTTTCCAAAGACTGACAATGAATTTATGGGGATTAGACAGTGGAGCGCTGAGGAACTGAAGGAGGAGATATTCAAGCGCGTCAAGGCCAATCCACCTGTTGGTCTCAAGGTTCCAGAAGGGTAAGTTCATGTGAGGCTCAGGGAGTCAAAGCTGACTATCTAGGCTCCCATTTCCCAGTGATTGATCAAACAATCTAGTTCTCTTCTGTATCTTCCAGCCCATATAGTTGGTCAAATAGCTTCATGCCACGTTCCCCTGACGCCTCTCTCAGTTCTGACAATCGCTTCCTCAGCGTCGAGTATCGATCCACCTCTGCGGGTTCCTTGTAATCAATATCCTCAATTGCTACAGGAGGTAGTAAGTCGGCAAAGGGATTTTGAAATGATGGATTCTCTCGATGTAGCTTACGTTCACAGAACGAGAGTAACAACAACGCCATATCATCCTGATCGAAACCTGGGAAACAATTCCTTGCAATGTCTAGTGCACACTGCACACTTGCTTTTGTTGTCGTGTGTGTAGAGTGCCATAAACAACGAAGTAGCTTGACATACTTTGTCCATTGAACTCTCACGTCGGCGTCGTTTTCCACATCGTTGACGTTGAACTCTGGATATAAATCCCACAGTCCAGCATTTTTCAGACGTCGCAAGGACAAGGTGCAAGAGCGCTTTTCAATGTGAAGGACTCCCTGAGAAAGGTACTCTCCGTTATCATACTCACTTCTGTTAAGTCGAAGATCACGAAAATTGTTCTCTTGATCTGAAAGTTCCGCATCCTTGAACGAGTTGAGTAACCACTTATCCCTTGCAAACTGCCCGCGTGGGAACTGTGATGTATCCACAGCACAAATACAAATATCGCCCGGGTGACTAAACTGTGGGCGGCAAAATCTCCAATTTGCATACTGGATGACAAACATGAGAGAACTGCTCCATGAAACGAGGTTGTCGGTCACATTGCTACTAAAAGGACCCTTATCTAAATGCTGGTGTAGCATTTGTGAAGCCTCTTTATAGTCCATTGAGAAAATGTCGATCCCGTGACGATTCGCTTCGCCGCACTGGCTAAGTATTGAAGCGATGACATCTTTGTCGTTGCGACCCGTGCTGTTGTCATCATATGCCCGGAACAGGTATCGTGGCATGTGCTTTGGAGGCTTGTTGACCGAGTCGCTGAAAACAAAGTTCTCTGGTTGAAATATTGTCGGGCCACCGGGGCAGTTGCATAGTGAATGAATCCAGAACTTGATCCAATGTTTTATTTTTCTCTTCCCTCTCCACCACTTCGCTAGTGGCAAGATAATCCTCTAGATTAAGATCTCCAGAAGGCCTCGTGGCTTGATGATAACATTCTTCCGCAGTCTTCCACAAGATGTCGCCACTTTGCGCTCCCTGGATTTTTCCCTGTGCAATCTTCTCTACAGGCTTCTCGAAATGTTGAAGGAGGCCATCTACGTTGAAGAACGTCTTGTCGCCTAGTGAAGCGACTTGTCTAACAACAGCCTGAGTTGCAGAGTCGTTTAGGAGTCTCGCAACTCGACCAAGTTCAATAGCCCGGGTTTGGACTGTGCAGATGGACTCGGCATCTTCCTCGTTGAATAGACCACCAGCACGAAGCAGCTTAACGACGTTGGCTGCATGTTCCGACAAAGCATCGGCTGCTTCGCCGTAACTATGTAAGGATTCCTTGAGAGACTTGCGCGGTTGTCTTCTCTTTTTGTCAGTGATTTTCAGCGCATCGATCCTGTTAGCAATATCTCTAACCTCGGCCGTAGCCTTTTTTTCGTGGTCGTTCATCGTCTGGACAGTTGGTCAAACAGGACGTCTTGAGGACGATGAGGTTCGAGAAGGGGAATATGTCTTGGTGCGGGGTCTTGAATACGACATCCGTCATGCAAGACGCGTAAATGCAAAGGAGCCAATCGAAAGACCATCTTCAAGCCATTGATGCTGTGTGATGGAGCTTGAGTACATCCGATTCGCTACACAGTTCCTCAACTCTTCAACCCAAAGGGTAATCCAGTCAGTTCTGAACGATTCCTTCAATATTTCGCAAAATTCCAATGACAAACTGAGGGCCAAGATTGGCATCAACAATGCAACAGAGGCGGTCGAACGACTAGGGTCCTTCGCTGACAACCATAGGACGATGCCAGTGACGATCTAAAGCCTCTTTGACTGTCATCGGCACGTCAATATCGTAGTCATTGTCGCCAAAGTGGAGGGTGTTGATGCGAATGGTGAGTGGCTCAACTGCGCTTTGGTGTATGATCTACATTGCGCACGAGTAGTGAGTGTGCTGAAGCCGACAAGCTGATATTATTGTGAAGATATCGTGATGCAGAATTGTTGAGAACATTGAGAAGCCGCGCTAGTGATTTGGATGTAATAAGCCTGGCGCATATTTTGGCAGCCGTCTCTGACGTGAATGACAACATGTAACGTTGTTCAAACCACGACAACAATAAATAGTATTACAGTGTTAAGTATTGTCTTTCATTTTTCTCAGATAGATATGTAAAAGGACAAAAAACATACAACACCGGGGATTCGCTGGTCGTCACCGACCCAACTACTAATCCGGCGCTTCGAAGCTTGACTCTGGGGGAGCGGACGGGACCCCGTATTCTCTTCGAGCTTTGGTCGTATGTGAAAGTCCACGATGCAAAATCACCTCAAGAGGTTGTCAAAGATATGCAAAATCATAACTAATAGCTGCAATTCGTTCTTCAAATTGGAGAAATGTGCACATGAGTCCTGCCCTCAACAAGAACCGAGATCTTGACAAATCCATCTCTATCCGCATTCACTGTCCTGTCGAGATAACTGTATGTCTGACCCGGAGAAAGACGAGAAATACCAAGGTCGAAAACGCCTGCATCAGCTGAGGGATAGAGAACTAGTTCCAAATCCCGAGATGTAAGAGACCTTGCTTTTGCTATAAGGACACCAGGATATGGCACTTCTGAAAGGATGGGGCCTTTCAATGCTGTTTCAGACGGTCCCTACGAGAGCTATTAGATGACATCCTAATCTCAATAACAAGGATGGTGAACATACCTTCTGTACCATCCGATGATATGCCCCAGGTCGGATAAGAGCAGCCGTCAATGCCGCTTGATTCATCAAACACGACGCATTCTCAAGGTCGAGATAATGAGAACCCGTCGGTGCTGTCTTAACACCCCATGCTCTCTCAAACTTGTTCACACAAGCCTCTTTCAGCTTTTCATCACCGTATTCACCCGCAGCAATGGCAAGTTGAGTGTACATAGCATACTCATTCGAGCGATAATTGCCCGCATCAATCTTATCCGCTCCCACGAGTCCAGTCAGCGAGACCTCTTTCGTTTTGGTATCAAACTGAACTGTCTCATTCCGAATGATAGCCCAAAGACGTCTGGAGAAGTTTCTCAAAGGACCGCATCCCATCATGATTGCTGCCAAATCTCCAGCTGCGCCGCATAGACCTGGAATAGTGAAGCCTGTCAACTCGGACCTTATAGTCAAGACACTGCCACTGGTCTCGCTAAAGTTCGTGTTCAGAGACTCCTCAAATATTGGTAACAGGACTTCAGTGGACTTCGTTCCAAACACTCGATCGTAGAGAACTGCTCCTGTCATGCCTTGCAGATTGCACATGACGTAGATCCAATTAGGCTCACATGAAATGAGACAGTATGGACTAGCAGACCATTGTCGCACAAGTGATTCCTGAAGGTCATGAAGACTGTATCTGTAGGAATGCTTTTCGTCAATGTTGAAGACCAGACTTCCAGGCTTTGTATATCTCATATCACCTGTATTGGCGGTGTAAAGCATGACTCCCTGCAGCAAGAACCCCGTGACCATGATATTGTCTTTCTTGACTGGATCCCAATCGAGTGAGAATTTGCCGGTCAAACGTTCCCACTTCCAGAAATTGAGAACTTTCTGAGTCAAAGACCGCTCAATGATTCGTTGGAAAGCTTCGTTGACGTAGCCGTGCGCGTTTGGAGCATAGATTGACTGGTAAAGACCGAGTACAAACATCATCTGGTAGATCTGATAACGAAGGGCTGCGGTCTGGTATTGGTCGACAATAGTAAAGCCTGACCAGTCATCAAGACTTTGAAAGGCCTGATCAAACAGGAATTGTAGCTTCCTGAGACTCTCAATGCTAAGTTCTTCATCCTCCTCTCTCTTGGAAGCTGCGGCGACAAGTCTGTCTGTCTCGGCAGCTTGGCGTAAGATGAACTCGTTTCTCGTTGTTCTCTTCTTATAGCCTCGATTCCTTTCAGTTCTTGATGAGCCATTGGCGTACAGGAAAGCAGCGAAAAGAAAACTAGGGGCCCAATAGCCTGAGTTCTCCCATAGGGTGTCTCCTGTAGTGAAGTAGGCGCCTAAGATAGACAAGGTCCAGACGAGGAGAGGGAATAGGATTGCTCCGGCACCAAACCACTGTCGCTTTATGTTAGCACAATATTGTTGTTACTGGAGAAGTCCATCAATGGGCCCGGCTTACCGCAAAGAGCGCGAGCGAGACGCTTGCCCAAGTCAGCGCGAACAATATGCCACCAAGTACATTGGCGCTCGCAAGATATCCGGCTCCAGGGAAGACCAGCCCAAGAGCTGCAGCTCTGTATTTTGGCCCGATATCAACATAGTTCTGGAAGAAGATTCCGAGGGCAGTAAGAACCAAGGCAATCCAGACACCAAGCGTGCGTGCCTGGACGTTCTTGCGATGAGGGCCGGAGCCAACGTTTGGTGGGATAAGATCTTTCACATATGGTCCTGGGCGTGTCAGTAACTTTAACTGTTTTTCACGCAAATTATCTAGTACCTACCTGACGTCCCATAGGCTTGTCCATGTTGGGCACTCGACTTCGCTGGACCCATGATTGACGGTGATGGTAGGAGAGTGTCTTGTGCAAATACAGGACAGAGTAAACCTGCAGTCTGGCGAAATTTGTCTGTTCAATATGCCTTTCATGTCCATTAATCTGGGGTAGTATCCAATCACCCCGGACTTTGCGGGGTTGTGATCGTTTGTGATCTGGTCATTCTTTTCTGACTATCCACAAGCTAAATAGCAGTTTATATGTGGGGAGTTTGTCAGAATACCATGACAAGACAACCTAGCCAAGATATTTGGCCCAGCAAAGTCAAACTTCCTGGCAGGCTATCTGTTCCTCGAAATCCAACTTTTTGTTCACTATTCCTACCTAGTTTCTTCGCACAGTCATCGTCAAACGCCCCAATGTCCAAAGAAATCAGATCCCCAAGGCCCTATACCTCCGAAGCAGAATGTCTGCAGTACCATTCCCAACTATTCAGCACCTTCGCCGCCGGAAAAACTAAAAGCATCAAATGGCGAAAATGGCAACTCAAGCAAATGTGGTGGATGCTAGTCGACAACGAGAAAGCCATCGCCGAAGCACTAGCAGCTGATCTCGGACGCCACGAGTTTGAGGCCCTGACATCAGATCTTCATGGCTTGAAAACAGATATCCTCGAACATCTCAACCATGTGGAGGAATGGGCAGCTGATGAGCCAGTATCCTCAGCTGGATTCCTCATGGGAACATTAGGAAAAGCGCGCATTCGAAAAGAGCCTCTCGGTGTCGTTTTGGTCATCGGGGCATGGAATTTTCCCTTCCTGCTTACGTTACAACCTGTCATTGCCGCTATAACTGCCGGTTGTTGCGTCGTTGTCAAACCATCTGAGCTATCGGTTGCTTCTCAGAATCTCATGCAAGATCTTGTAGGGCGGTATCTCGACCCAGAAGCCATTAGGTTCGTCACAGGAGGACCGCAGGAAACAACAAAACTTCTTGAACTTAAGTTTAATCACATCTTCTTCACCGGTTCAACAAAGGTCGCAAAACTTGTTGCTGCAGCTGCAGCAAAACATCTCACCCCTACGGTTTTGGAGCTAGGTGGTCAGGGACCAGCTATAGTGACTGCCAAATCTGACGTTGATCTGGCGGCTAAGCGTATTGCCTACGCCAAATTTCTAAACGCTGGACAGATTTGCCTGTCGGTGAATCACGTTTTTGTCGATCCAGAGGTTCATGATACTTTTGTGCAGAGATTACATCACTGGACACAGCGGTTCTCTGGGGGCGAGTCGAGCCATATGTGCAAGATTGTCAATAAGCGCAACTTTGAGCGCTTGTCAGGCTTGCTGGAGGAGACTTCGGGGAATGTGTTTCGAGCTTCTGGCAATGGAGGGGGAAATATGCTGAGCCCGACTGTTGTTACCGACGTGGGCATAAATGGTAAGTTTCTTGGCTTTCTTGGTGCAACTTCTGTTCTAATTTTTCTATAAGACTCGCTTCTAAGTGAGGAGTTGTTCGGTCCCATTTGCCCAGTCCTCAAAGCGACGTATAAAGATGCAGTTCGCCAGACCAGTAGGTAAGTGAACAGTCATAGCCAAGGCAAGTATTATATGCTGCTGACATGAAATAGTGGTCCTCATCCTCTCGCAATCTACATCTTCAGTTCAGACCGCTCAGAGATCGACTATGGTAAAATTCCTCCCCACTGACGAACAGGATCCTTGCTAACACACTGTACGCAGTCCTAAAGAATACCATATCAGGCGGTGTCACCATCAACGATGTTCTAATGCATTACGGCGTACCCGGCGCTCCATTCGGCGGTGTAGGTGATTCCGGTCAGGGCTACTATCACGGCAAATACGGTTTCATGGCCTTTACCCATCAGAGGACCATCTTGGAAATGCCGACTTGGATGGATAAGCTTATGGCATTTCGATATCCCCCTTTCGACATGAAAAACATGAGCAACTTTGTGGTTAAGAACAACCTGGATTTCCATCGAGGAGAGACAATGGAGGATCAGGTGGTCGGGGGTAACCGATCTTGGCTTTGGGCAAGAATTGGGGTCTTGGTCGCTTCTGCGATTGGCATTGCTGTGAAGAACCGTCAGAGTATTCAAGGAATACTTTTGTAAACTTAGAACAGAGAACATTGATGGTCAGGATTTCATAGTAAGAACACAGTTATCATTTTCTCAGCCCACCACTACAAGGATATCTTGTTCAGATAAAGCAGGCCAAGGCCGGGTTTTTTTGTCTACTTTTGAACATGGAACGCCTGTGCCTCAACGATAGTCTTTTCTATTACTCAATATTGCAATCCTTAACCTTGCTGTTAACCATTTGGGTTAGTCATCATAGCCGTTTTGTCAAACACGACTTGTGTCGGAGTTTACGAATTCCTTTCCCAATTTGACCCTAGTGTCTTCATGGATCCAACGCTAACACCCGATGCAGGAGCTTCCCCAGCCGAGGATCATATTGTAATTATGCCTCTCACAACCTGTCATTCTTTTCTGACTGCACCTTTATTTCCTGTGTCATGTATACATGACGTTACCTGTTCTGGTGGCCGCTTATGCATAAACGGTCACTAGGTCAGCTGCCGAATTCTTCACGTGTCAATCACTAACAGTGTCACCGCAGCACCGTTACTACTCAAGGATCGCCTCCGTTCCGTCAATCTGCCTCACTGAGCACCATTTGCATTTCTATTCATCTTGCTTTTACTGTGTTTCCCTGCTCAGAAGAAAGCACTTTTTCAGGCACAATGCTCCCTCCTAACGCTACCAACTATGTTTCATCACTTCTCTCAGAGGCTCATGAACTCTCACAGCCATTACTTGATGGACTGTCAACCTCTCCTCTCACTATACCCGTGTCATTAGTGTCTGCACTAGGCCTCGGCTACTTGTCAAACAGGATTCTAGTCAGCAGGGCTCTGAATCATGGCACCAAAGCATACTTCGATTGGAATAAGGAGATTGTGTTGGTAACTGGTGGATCAGGCGGCATTGGAGGCGAGACTGTGCAGCAGTTGGCCAGCAAGGGCATTCGTGTGGTTGTTCTTGATGTACTTGCTTTAACTTACAAGGCTCGTGAGTTACCTCTCCTCTTGATAGCAGGGAGAGGCACTTACTATTGACAGCATCGAACGTTTACTATTATAAATGCGACCTTACGAATTACGAGCAACTACAAGAGGTGGCTGGGAGAATTAGGCGGTAAGTAACATCATATGAGTACTTGTTTATATATGCTGACTTCGCCTATTAGTGAGGTTGGCGACCCTACAATAGTTGTAGCGAATGCTGGTGTCTGTCGTGGAAAGCCTCTATTGAAAGCTACCAAACAGGATGTTGACCTGTTAGTTCACAATCATATCTAACCAAGGAAGTTGAACTAACTTGGTATCCAGTACAATTGGAGTCAACACTCTAGGTCTCATTTGGACCATCAAGACCTTTCTCCCCGCAATGGTATCCCGCAACCATGGCCATCTTCTCATCGTCGCCTCACAAACAGGATACTTGGCCACCGTAGGCATCACCGACTATGCAGCCAGCAAATCAGCAGCCATTGCCATTTACGAAGGGTTACATACCGAGATCAAGCACGTGCACAAAGCTACCGCGGTCCGACTTTCGTGTGTCTCACCGAGCCATGTACAAACCCAGATGTTTACGGGTGTCAAGTCTGTTCCTGGTATGTCGACTATGACGACCGAGTATCTGGCGGATAAGATCTGTGGTATTCTCATGAGTGGAAGGGGTCAGAACATTATTGTTCCGGCTGCAGCTACAATGTCACCTTGGGTTCGTGTGTTGCCGGGTTGGGTCCGTGTTCTCCTGCAAGATGCGGCAGCTCCGGCGTTTACCGACTTGAAGCCTCATGATCCTTTTAAGGATGCCAAGTAGACAGGCATTACGTTCTATAAATAGCTCATTCTTCAATAAGAACATATATAAAATATACTCTTTGAAGTCAAGAACGTGTTGTACTGCAATTTACAACTTCCCCATCCCCGATACAATACCTTTCATAGCTATTAGATACTGCTTGATGCCACCAGGCTCACTGAGAGATAGAAAGGATCGATTCTATATCACTTACCTTATAGAAGCTAGCTTCGACTTAGTGTAAGAGTAGCAGAAGTTCAATCCTATTGCTATCAAATCCTCCGCTATGACATGCCTTCCCCAGTACGTTCACCAAATCCCAGCCTGTTTCGGTGGAGTTTTTCAACTAAGTCGTCCTTCATCGACCCTTGAGCTGTTCCAAAGCACTACGACACTGCTGAACCCCATTCCTATGCTAGACCAAACTCTGTGAGATGTTTTAGTCGCCAATGCTCATGATCGACGTGGATATAACTTACGGGGAAGGCGGCGGTATCCCACCAACACCAAGTACACAGGCTACAGATAAGATATTGTAAACAACAGCCCAACAATGGTTTTGCGTCACAATGCGTCTCATACGCCGTGCCAAGAGTATCATCAACGGAATGCGACTTAGTGGAGAAGTCTCGGATATCATCAGCGTGCCATCAGCACAGTCACTATCAATGGACTGCATCTCTGAGCTTGCGACACAGATACTGAATGACGCTGATGCAAAGCACAGAATGTCGTTGTAGTTATCTCCAACGTAAATAGCCGGTCCGCGTTGAAGAAAGCGGGCTAAGATGCAAGACTTTTCCTCTGGAAGGGCATTGGCAAATATCATGTCCGAATCAATGCCTACTTCGCGAGCAACAGAGGTAGCTGAAGCTGCATTATCGCCCGTGATCATTCCAATAGTTAGACCCAGATCCTTGAGCTGACTTATAACTTTCTGAGCATCGGAACGGACTGTGTCTTCGAGTGCAAAAACGGCAGCCTGCTTTCCATCCAAGGCTAGTACAACAGTCGTTGTAACTCCAGTTCTCATCTTCACGGGAGTTTGACTGAGATCAACGGAAACTCCTGGGCTCTCGATATATGTACGGCTTCCAATTGCCAACTTCCAAGTGGTGGACTCAGACCCGGGCTGAGTGGCTGTCACAACAGCTTGAGCGCCGCGACCAAGTTCGTACTTAATTTCTGATACCAAAATGGTACTTAAATACCCAGGCTTCTCTCCCAGCTTTGAATAACTTTCTTGAAAGAGAGCTCGGGCAACTGGGTGGGTGATCCCAGCTTCAACCTCGTGGACAGCCCTCCACAATATTTCTTGCTTCTCCAGTGTCTCCCACTCCTTAGAGAAGCTCGCATGTATAACCTTCAGGTCTCCATGTGTGAGAGTGCCCGTCTTGTCGAAGAAAATGGTTTGAGCAGACGCGGCGCTTCGTAGTCTTGCATAAGTAGCCAATAACCGGACTCCAAACTTTGATGCTTCCACTGATCAAACTCCTACGTCAGCTGCATTCCTTTCAATTCTCTCGGGGTCACATACCTGTCGCCAGTAATTTACAAGTTGGAATACTCAAACTCAGTGAACACGGGCAAGCGGCTAGTAGCAACGCTGAAGCTCGACCCAGCCCATCTATCCAGCAGGTCTCGTTCGCGAATACAGGATACACGGTCAGTAGCGTTATTGCAAGTAGGATAACAGCACTTGAGAACCATAAAGTAGCACGATGAAGCTGGGGTTCTGAGTTGGCCAGCTCCGCCGTCACGACGGACGTCAGTAGTTCACCCAGGCGAGTAGAACGCCCACAAGCTGTTGCCCTACAGACGAGCGATCCTTGTTGCACCTGACCCCCCGCATATACAGCATCATTATGCTTAACGTTCCTAGGCTCCAAGGAGCCGTTGATCCAAGTCCTCCAAGATAAGCGCTGACGCTGTACTCTCGACCACTCCATCGCAAGGTATGTGCTCTCCCTGGCTTACAATAACGCTGTCGCAAGGAGACAACAAGTCGATAGGAATAGATGTATGTTCATCTGTTTTGTTGCAAACCATAGCCATAGGAGGTACCAGACTTGAGAGCGGTGATGCGAAGATCCGATCTCGCCGGGAGAGGATGGTCTTGAGTAAACGGCCACCAAGAACACTCGTAGACAGAATTGGAATGGCCTCCAGGGACTTTAAATCCATGCGATAAGATCTATTTATGCCAGTCTGTAGAGAATCAGCCACAACTTGTATAAGAGCCAACATAATGCCCAGTGATGCAAGAGTTGCCATATTTGGTCTTTGCCCCTGCCACGCCGAGCGAAGTGCCTCAAAATGAAGTTGGGATCCAGCTAATAGGTTCATTGCAACAGCGATATATGCAATTAAGTTTATGTAACTGTTTTGAGTCGTCCATAGGCCGATGATGCTGCGCGATGCGAAGAAAAGGACTGAAGCCGCAGTCGCCACGAGAAAGTCCCGTTGGCATGAGTTAACATGATGTTGCTGGGAGTTTGTGGGCTCTTGTATCATAGACAATAGACTAGCCCAGCTCTGGGAGTCAGAGGAAGGTAACGAGTGTGCGTCATAGCCTGCAGAGCGAATTGCATCAATGATCTCCCCTTCTGTCACAAGGTGATTGTTGAATTCTACTTGGGCCCGAAGTAGTCCGAGTGAAACAGTGGCCTTCAAGACCCCGGGGATGGTCTGAATGATGTCTTGAACATCGGATACACAGGACGCACAAGTAAGGCCATCTAGAGTCAGAATTCTGACCTGAGCACCTTTGACTGGTTTTGGGCGTTGGGTAGGGGCATGGTCAACGTAACTTTGGCGCGGATAGAGTGCACAAAGTTTCTCATGAATATTGAGAAAGCGGAAGACGATATACGCTCCAACAGCACAACAAGCCATGTCCCCGAAATTGGATGATCGACTAATATGATTTCACGAAACCTCAAAGCCAAACCAATAATAAGGATCAATGCGCGTATAATACACTATTTCGAACCCATTCCCACTTAGTTTAGCCGTGGTTTGATACGGCCCACTAATACGTACTTTGCTTGCATTAGGCTGACAAGGATATTCCTGACAATGATATTTCTGACAACGTCCTTTCTGACACGTATTCTTCTGACTAGATCAAGCCACATCGCGTCACCAGCAGTAAACCGTCGCCGATGGCGCCAGATCTCGTTGCGTAACAGCTAAAGCAAGCCACTTGTCAGTACACAGCCTGCAATCCTAGTGATCATCACTCACCTGTCGAGCAATCCAACTTTGAATATTTTCGCGCAAACTCTTTACTCAATTTCCACTCACAAAAGTCATCGAGCCCCAGAAACTTGGCTATGTCGTTCGCCTGACTCTCCTCCACAGGATTGCCATCTGGACTCGGCGCCACGGCGTTTATTTGACGATCTAGTTCTTGAAAGATGGCTTCTTCAACTACATCGTGCTCAGAAGAGTACCATTCACCGACCTCAGGGCCGATCTGGAATAGCGTCCATGATGGATCGGTGAAATAACTCCTCGGAGTGGCTTTTTGGTGTTGACGGCGGCGCAGGACTTGGTTTTCGAAGATGTCGAGAACATTGACTGCGACGCTGTGGTTAGCAGGTTCTATGACTGAGTGTAGGACAAGGTCTCTGAGAAGCTCGTCAAAGTCGGTGGATTCCGCGTCGAGGACGAGCTGATCTCTGATTTCAGGCCAGTTAAACAAGTCGATTCCCCAGAAATGCGTGGGGTTTTTGGATTGGAGTGGTGTTGGCCGGAATGGGAGCGGAACAGAATTCTTTGAGTCGATTCCGAGACGCCATCTAATGACTCTCTCGATGTATTTGGCCCCATTCTGTTGTTCGCATTAGTTCTGGAGTCATTGGTAGCGATTCAGTACTGGTCTTACCACTCCATAGGCATAAGACTCTAGTCCTACGCAGCGCATAGAGAAGCGCACAGCAGTCTTGACTATCTTGTCGACCATCTCGGCATTGTTACCGGAGTCTTGCAGGTTATCAAGATGACGGCGACACGCGCCGAGAAGTCTAGACCCGAAAATGGACATCGACGTGATGCTTAGCTGATTCGGGACAAACAAAAGCGATCTTGGTGATAGAGACGACATGCCAGGATCTATAAAGGTGTCCCCAGGCTGCATTGTGCTTGAGGTTAATGCATCGTGTTCTTGGCCTGCCATGGATAGATCTAAAAGAAACGACGCGTCCTTGAATATATCCGTCTGGGGGTCGGTTTGCTCCTGGATGTCCTGAAAAGTCTGATCGTTGATCGAAGGATTAGGAGCAGATGGTGTTTCGTGATTGGCTAATTCCGTGCTTGGTGCAGGTTGCTGTGCTTCCGGGTTTTCAGCGTCTCGCCTTCGGAATATAGAGTCGAAAACCTCATCATCTTATGCCCGTGTTAATGATACCCCTGCGAGGGACAGGTACAAAGCGATACTCACCCGCAGCGGCGTTGGCAGCTTGACCGAAACTGAGCAATTTCTTACGCAGCCTCAGCAAGGCATCTTCCAGCTTCCGGTTCTCAGCTATCAACTTAAGATGCGCATCGAGAAGAACAGAGTAACGATCTTGAGGATCTAAGCCGGTGGCTACCCTTTGCAGCAGCTCAATCGTCTCCTCCAGGTTACGGATGTAGGTGATGTTTTTCTCGCGCAGACACTGTTGCGAAATGCGATTCTGGGCTCTCTTACGCTCGGACGGATCAAGGGCGGTGGCGGCCTTTCTTTTGATTGGAGGCATGGCTTGGGGTAGTAGTATGTAGATGGAACCTCGCTGTGAATATCCCCGATACGGTTGTTTCGTGGGCGGAGCTGGTCTTTATCGTCGCATCAAAGACAAGGGTTACGGGCTTTCGGGGCACCAGGATCCCCGAGTTCCCCGGATTCCCCCTCAGTAGCCTCGAACTAACCTCAGATCTTCCCCACAATCACACGATGCTTTTCTCCCTCGGTTATTCTCAGTATTTTTTATCACAAGAATGATAAACTTCGTCACAAGTTAAAATATCTTGTTTTACTCTCCTTGGCCTTAGTAAGCTATGAAGTCGGTTTACTTTAAGTTTAGAATAATGTAACTATTTAGTATCTTCACTATAAGAATAAATAAATACACTTAAATGGCACGATCAAGCAAACGTCTGCAGGACCGCGTCTCTATGCTTCTCAAGATAGTCCGAGAATTTGGTTAGGCGGATCGGGTATTTCTGCAACTCCTTGAAGTCAACCTGATACCCAACTTCGTTTGCCCACAATTCGGCATGAATCTTGGGGTTTCTCGACGCAAGATCTTTCGCTTCTTGCTCACTATAGAACTCGATCCCAATGTCAACTCCGCTAACTCGGCTCAACTCCTGCACAATCTGCGCTGGTGTAAGAGACTCGACGCCTAAGTCTATTTCATGCTTGTTGAACGCCAGAGGTTCAGTAATTGCAGCCGCCGCAAACTTGCCAACGTCGTTAGGATCGACCACCGTCATCGCAGTCTCGGGCTTGTATGCCGACAGGAAAACCCGCCTCTGACCCAATTCGGGAAACATGAAAGATGCCGTCGGCTGGTGATAGTTGTTCATGAGAAAGGCAGGTCGTAGAATCGTCCAGTATTTGATGCCTGATTCTCGCACCATTGACTCTATTTGTGCTTTGTTCAGCCAATACCACGCCATGGGGTAGTCGGGTCCCCAGTTTGGAAACTCTTCATGCTTTCCTGTCATGGTGACACTGGAATAAACCAAGCTAGTGACGGTGCCGGATTCAATAGCAGTCTCGATGATATTCTTTGCGTGAACCACCTCCTGGTTGGTGTCGGGAAACGCCGGCGATACGTTAAGAAACACGGCAGTAGCTCCTTTGATCGCAGCCTTGAGGGAGGATATGTCATCGAAATTGCCAGGGAACAACTGCGCTCCAAGGCGCTGTAGCTCGATGGCGGACTTGGACGATGGGTCTCGAGCAAGTGCGTGAACTTTGACGCCAGCGCTTAGAAGTTCTCGAGCAGTGGCACCGCCCTGAGTGCCAGTTGCGCCAGTGACGAATGCAATAGTCTGAGACATGGTCTTGAAGTGAAAGGTAAACGTATTTGGGGCAGAGGAAGTGGTGAAGCAATGGGTGAGCTAAGTTTCAAGTGATGATTTTGGGATTTTCTCAAGAGGTATTCTAGAAGGAGGGTCGGGATGGTTTAAGTAGTTGGCCTCAACAGACTAATACCACGAATTATGCCTGCCTAACCGAAAGAAGAATACACCTCGATGATGTGGGTATAGGCCGGGGTCTCTGGGGACGATTAGAAAAATCACGGCATCCACGTAATGCTCAAGCCATCTGCACCGTAATGGTCTGAATTGTAGGAAGAAATGCCTATTTTTCTCAACTATCACGTTAGAAGACATGCTGTGGACTTGCGGATACGTTTGAGGCGGACTTGGCTATCCCGTATTTAGTAACCAGCTCGACAGAATTTCGAGGCTAGTCCAGGTTTAGTATAGAGGATTACAAAGCATGGCAGAGTACGGATACAGAGTACGGGCATCGCATAATTACGACGCTACCAAGACAACAACCCGAAATCATGCTGTTTTACGAATGAAAGCGTGAGCAACATGGTCTATTGCGGTAAGCCCAGCAGAGCGTGCTCGGAGTGTCGAATCAAGAGGAGAAAGGTATATCTCAGTCGTCCTATCCTAAGAGATCTTAGCACGTTAACAGATTTGGGGTTAAGTGCGATCTGTCGAGACCAGCATGTCGTCAATGCCGCAGGGCCGGTTCCAGATGTGACGGATACCGAGAGGACAAGTCCGTTACCTTCCGAGATCAAACCGCCGAGACTTTAGACAAAATGTCCTTCTTTTCTAACGCAAATTCACTTCCCATCTCACCCAATGGCAACCAGGATATCTTGGTAAGACCTGAACTATACCAACAGGCTAAGGTCCACCCATCTCAAGATCCGCCCAGCCATTACCCTTGGTGCAGACTTGCGGTTACAACCGAAGACCAAGCCTTGAAATTCTTTTTTCATCATTATGTTGTGCCCGAGTCTGGACGGTCTCCGACTCATCCCGATTGTCACGGCATAATCTACAAACGAGCAACAGGACCCGGGTACATGGCCAACCTCGTCAGTGCTGTAGGACTAGCCGGTCTAGCGTACATGAGGAACGCGCCCACGCTCCTCAATTCAGCCAGTCAGGCGTTTTCTCGCGCACTTCACGGTATATGTGCCGCACTGATGGACCCTAGTGAAGCATCGTCCGACCAGACGTTAGTCGCCGTAATGCTTCTAGCGTTATACGAAGTAAGCCTTCTATCCCTTCCAGGACAGTTTGGACCTACTAAATAACATGCAACAGTCTGTCACTTTCAATTCTAATGGGGACTTGAGTTCATGGAGCAGGCATGTACACGGTGCCTTGGCATTAATACAGCTCCGAGGAGCAGGTCAGCTACGCAACAGAATCGGTCGAAGCATTTTTCTCCACTTACGCACTGAAATCGTGGGAGGCCCTAAGAATTTCCATATCAGTTAACTTTCTGACTGTCAATAGCTTATCGACTGCCTTCAGCGAGGGCAGCGGGTACCATACATCCTGATAAACCTTATGGCCGAGGCTCGAGGTAATGAAACAGCACAGGAAGCGCCTGCTGCTCGGTTAGCAGACATTATTGTCAACGTCTGCGCCGTTGTAGCCTTAGCCAAGGAAGGCATTACGGACGAGATGAATTTGTCTTCGTATGTTTCAGCACTCTTGTCGATTGATACAGATTTCAAGGACTGGGCCCAAAACCTCCCGGTTGAATATGAGTACAAGACTCGAATCCATACAAGCGCTCGGGAAGAAGTAGAAGTTTTTATGGGACAATATCATATATATTCCAGCGTGGAGATCGCCAACACATGGAATTTACAGCGCTGTGCGCGTATTATCCTCCGTCAGGCACTCGTCGAAGCAATATCGACTTGCTTGCCCATCTCGTCTTCTCTGCCGATCCTATCGCCTTTACCTGTATCATACCGCGACCTGCTCCTCACTTCAGGCGCCGTCATAAAGGAGATATCCAGCGATATATGCTACAGCGTCTCATTAATCTTGCATAATATTGACGCGGCAGGCAAATCGAGCGACCTGCGAGCTGCTTATGCTGTGCATTTGTTGTGGCCACTTTATATCGCAGGAACAACACATACTGCTAGCGATCCTTTGCGGGAGTGGATTATATCCACGATGGATATTATTAATAATGCTACTGGGATTCAGAAAGCAAGGCGTATAGCCTTAATTCTACAGCTCCGATGCTCGGATAGACTGACGGCTACGGACACGAATTGAGAAGTCAAGGCAACACGGTGCACCAAGCGATGTCTAAGTTGGGTTATAGAACGGGTTTTGGCAAGAGTGGCATATGAACCCTAGATCCCGGTAGAACGCCTAGGACTTGTAAAAGTCAGGGTCAGGATGAGGTAAAATACCTTTGCCTTGTAACATCAAGAAATAGATTAAGATCCTAATTAAGACCCCGAGATCCCCAGGTTTCCCCTTTGTAGCCGCAAACTGACCCCAGATCTTCTCCATAGCTACACTTCTTCCACCTCGGTTATTTTACATATTTTCGACCTAGAATCGCTCTTCAATATATGGATTGTAACCTATCTACTCATTACTGGTGCTTTACCCACCACTCTACCCACTCTATCCGGGTAGGGTAGAGGACACTACTGCTCTACCTGGGTAGCGTAGGGAAGTGGGTAGAGCTCCCTCTACTCTACAATGCTTAAGTATGATGGCAATGGTGCAGTGTCGTCTCATGCCGAGACTCCTGCATTTGGCTTGGATTGCTTTAATATAGATGCTGAGTGGTAAGTGCTCTTCATCCTATGCCCTATTAACCCCGGCTAGGGCCCCGATGGAAGAGTCGGTAAGCTTCCTAGAGTTTATTCTGCTGGTACCAGTAGGTCTTCTTGATATTTATGAAGGCAACGAGCGCCGCGGCGTCGTACACGCTTCACTCAGTACAAAGATATCCCTATTGCCTTTACCACTGACGCAACAGCAAAGCTCTCGCTGTTCTGATGGATTGCATCAAGCGACGAGAAAACACTCTCACTGGGTGTCTAACAAGTAGGTGAGTGATATGCCAGGAGCATTTGTTACATGCAGGATCAAATCAAGGAGGATCAACAAAGCAGTCTTATTTTGAAACGCCGATCATTACAGCATGGGTGGTAACTCTTGCCTCACCACCAGGATCGCGGAGGCGAAGTGGACTCATGGCCGATGAGCGGATTAGGTGCCCAGGACTCATCACCAAAGCGTAGAAACTTGTTCTGAATGAGTGGCAACGGCCATTAGTCTAGCTACTCCTCTCCACATTTGCGTGACGACATTGGGAAAACCCAGCAGGAAAACCAATGCCGAGAGGGTGACAAGAACACAGATTCGCCGACTATTCCAGCAAGAACCAAAAGCAACCAAAAGATTTAAACATCAGGTTACTCCGACAGTTATCCTCGAACATCTAAGGAGCGTGAGAGCAGCTGAAAAGCTAAGAACCACTATTCTGAATCATCTTCCAAGGGGTGAAAGGAATCTCCCCAACTGCTGTGATGTCAAACTCGCGATAAACATGAAACTGCATCCCAACAAACGGATCGCCCCGTGACCTGTTTGGGCCTCGAAAGAGCGGGAAGTCCTATCAGGGAAGTCTCCTAGCTGCGGGAATCAGTTCCTTCAAGTTCGGCCGTTTCCCGATTCGTTGCGAAACTGGTGCCCCTGGACCAGGTTGCTGCGGCGAGCCCGTGTTCCGCAACAGCCTTCGAAACTCTGGGGAAGTAAGAAGTTGTCTGCCATCCCTTCTCCTAATGCCTTGGACACACAACACTGCGCCCGTAACCATTGGAGAAGCACTCGATGTACCGCTAAAGATGTCTGTGTACCATAGATCTTGACTCACGCCGCCTTGCAAGTCACCGTATCCGGTACTAGTGACTTCCCTGCCCCAGCCTTGACAATCTACCCGAGAACCGTAGTTGGAAAAGTCAAGACGGGAGCGGTCAGGGCCATAGTCCCGTCCATGAACTCCTGCCGGAGGACACCCGGCGCCAACAAGGATTGCACCCGAGGAAGGATTTTGCGGATTGAAAGGGTTTCGCCACCAAGTGGGAAAGCCCGTGGGTCGCCTATTGTAGATTGGGTCATCCAAGTTTTCTGACCCATTGCCCGCGGCTTCAACCACGACAATGCCCTTGTTGACCGCATAGCGGATTGCGGCGAATTCGGCTGGCCACCATTCAACCGCAATGAAGCCCTTCTGGCCTTGGGGCGGGCTTGGCGTCTTTGGACCCGGTCTGTGGACCTCGAGGAGTATAACGTCCCCTCTCCGTAGCTTATCAGCGGCGGCTTTGATGGCAACAGCGATTGATTGACCGACGAAGGACGAGCCATAGAAGACGGAATCTGGTGCAATACCGAGAATTCCAATGTTATTGACATCCCCACTGACAATTCCAGATACGGCCGTGCCGTGATTAACGTAGTGAAGGTCGGTGGCATTTGTGCCAGCGACAACGCCACCTTGGAGCATCCTCAGATCTTCATGTGTAAACCGCCATCCCCATTCGCAGTCAACAATTTTCATGCCTGCGCCTTTGCCTCCAGGGACTGTGTGCGCATACTTCGCATCAATTCCTGCTGGCGCCGGCCCGAGATAGACTTGATGCGCTTCAAAATTGGGCGTTAAAGGAGGCACGTCCATATCGTGGGGCGAAACGACGGGCTGTACAAGCAGTGGTAGAGACGCGGGCGGTGCAATATATGCTGCCTCGATCAGATTCTGCTCGTTGAGCTCTGCCGCAAGACTCTCTAAATTCTCGACAGGGCCATCGACATAATAGAAACTAGCCATATCAGGCAAATTCCCACCCGCAGATTCACCAGATGGCTCTTCCCCGGGCAGTCCTCCTGTGGGCGCCGATTGTTCTCCCTCTTCAGCAGAAGCTTTGAGAACTTCCTCTTGATCGCGACGGAGACGATTCTCGTCCTGGCCGAAGAGGAGTTTCAGCGATGCATGGTGGCGGTCGAGTACGGCCTGTACCGGAGCGACATTTTCGCTCACAGTCTCCAAGCCACGACCATTGACTTTGACCAGCGATGCGGTCTTGAACATGACCACGAGTTGAGACTCGGTTTCCTGAGGGGTGACCTCCTCTACCAAGTCGGACGCCATTTTGCCTGAGGATCTGAGAATTCAAGAAGGGGAGTTGGGAGAAATCAATAAAGCCTCTGAAGTATTTGGAGTGTTAGGAGTTGAGGCGGGAGATATTTGTTGCTTTGATGGATGAACGAATTGTTCTCATCTATGGCCTCAATTACTCTCATTATACTACCAGACCATATTTATAGCCATAGTTTTACATTCTTTTAGCAGCTCACATCCAAATATAGAATAATCCGAATGCATGCATTTGCATAAAGGACACGACCATTATACGAACTCGGTCTTCTAATCGAGTGTTTGCAGCAGTTCTAAGATACCATCTACTAGGTAGAAATAGCTTTTTGCGACAACATAGGGGCTAAGCTTCTGTGGCTTGTCATTCTAATGTCATCCTGACGGGCGTACGAAGTTTCCAGGCACTATATCAAGCCAGGGATCGGATACGGTCGAAGCCCCGCAGAGAACAATCCACCTGACGGAGTAACATAGTGACTCTAGATCTAGTCATAGACGTTTTCACTAGCTTCGGGACTTTCCGACGTAAGACGCAGTAGGAGCGAGCAATGGAGCATTAAGAAGATACCGGCAGATCCTGCAAGCCAATCATCCAATCATGTTTACCATGACTTATTTTTGTCTCAGCCACAACACAAACTATCGACTTTTCATCTGATCGCGACAACCTAAAAAGATCTGCCGAAGGTCGACAGTTGGCTGGAAAATCCTGGCTTGGCAGGGCTAGGTGGCCGTGCCTCGCCACCGCTACGAAGTTACAAGGCGGTTGCTGCTCTCTCGGAGACAGAGCATACGAGATTCCAAGCAGCCCTCTTTCCAGGCCTAGGCCAGGGGACCAATCAATGTGTTATTTGTGGCTTGAGCCTATAGAAAAAATGCAGGGAAGCCCATGGTTGTGAATTGTGATGAAACTATGACAGTGGTGTTTCTGGTGTAGGCCAACGGCTATGCGCCCAACACTGCTTCACATACAAACAACTTTCGGTAATGTCTAAACAAAATAAGCCGATCCAGTCTCTAACAATACGGTGGATGCAGTCCACGTTTCCAAGCCTAGAAGCATATTCTATCATGAGCCGCCTTCCACGAGCATATGGCAAATCTCATTACAATTAACGGCCCGGACACAATTCACAATCAGTCAACGGAGGCCCGTAATGGTGAGGTCAGGCAAAGTAGCGATAGCTTTTAGCCACTTCCAGTTGTTGAAGTGTGGCTTGTGGCATGTGGCCGGCCCGAGCTCTGCAGATATGGCCAAGCGAGAAGGATGGCGCAACGACCGGCTATAAGATAGGAGCAGGAAACCAAGCAATTCCTATGGTTCCGATGGCGATGCCTCCGTCAGCTCACCATGCTCAGAGACAAGCAGCTGCTATAGACTATGATAGCGATTCTGAGACAGACAGTGATGAGGAATCTGAAGGGGAAGAGTGGACCTATGGGGAAAGAAGATTCTGCGACGACTGGTGGAACTCCAGGCGATATGCATAAGTTTCGCGAGTACATGATGTGGAAAAGGATAAAGTCTATGTATCTGCAAAACAGCGATAACTATATCGATCAATTAGAATGCGACTAGTAAGTGGGGATTGTACTGACCCGGATACAAGTGACACACCTGAAACTAATGCATGCACGACTGTTTCGGGCAACATGCGGCTCCGAAACTGCTCCCTCTTGGCGAAATGACCGACGAGTCAGCACCAGAACCGTTTCGTTTCACCAGCCTCATTCTATACGATAAGGCCGTGCTAGTCAGCATTGGATCTATTAGCCTATTATGCGCTCGGGAGCTATTATTCAATCGCTGCCAACCGCGGCCTGTGAATTGAGCTTCGCGGCGGACCTCGAGTCAGCCCTAGTCTAGTTTCCTTTCTGAGGCCGCGACACGTGTTGCATGATCTTCATCCTGGCACGTGCACGCAATGTTGCCGAGGATAACTATTGGCTCTGGCGTTGGGAGACCACTTATTCTATATAACTAAAGGCCCCATTTACTATTTAGGTCATATGTGCGAAGGTCCCTGGGGATGGGACCTGGGGAGGCGACCTGGGGAGGGGATTATAAATATACCTCACTGACTACGGATAGATTACCTCGGAACTTGCTCTTTATTATCTAGTATTCATTAACTTCACTTCTTCCAAGACGCGAAAATGGCTGACGTAAAGATCGAGTTCGAGGTATGTATGCTTGCATCATGTCTTGGATAACCTCCTCTAACACCAACAGACTTTCCAAAATGTCATCAACAACGAATTGACTCCCACAGCCGAGACCCGCCGTGCAATCTGTTCAAGCACAGAAGAGCCTCTCTGGGAATCGCCCGTCTCAACCCAGGGAGATGTCGACCGTGCTGTGAGCGCTGCCAAGGCCGCCTATCCTGCCTGGCGTAAGCTGTCGCAGGATGAGCGTGCTGCTTATCTTAACAAGTTTGCCGATGCTGTTGAGGCGCATCAGAAGGAGTTCACCGAGCTCCTCTGCCGTGAGGCGGGAAAGCCACCTCAGGCTGCTGGGGTTGAGATGTTTTTTGTGATGCAGAATCTTAGAACGGTTCCTACCATGAGGCTGAAGGAGGAGAAGCCTGAGGATAACGATGACCGAACTGCTATTGTGCGATATGTCCCTCTTGGCGTCGGTGTCGGTATCGTTCCATGGAACTTCCCTATGGTTCTCGGCATTGGCAAGGCTATCCCTGCTATGATGGCCGGTAACACATTCATCTGGAAGCCCTCCCCATACTCGCCCTATACAGCACTGAAGCTTGCTGAGATTGGAGCCAAGGTGCTCCCTCCAGGTGTTTTCCAGGCTCTCAGTGGCGGCGATGATCTGGGACCTATGCTGACTGCCCATCCTCACGTGGCCAAGGTTAGCTTCACTGGCTCTACTGAGGTTGGCAAGAAGATCATGGCTTCTTGCGCTGCTACTTTAAAGCGTGTCACGCTGGAGCTTGGCGGTAACGATGCTGCTATTGTCTTGGAAGATGTTGATATTCCCACAGTGGCTGCTAAGGTATGATTGGTTTTTTTTTTCATGAGATTGCTATTATTGCTGACATATTCGTGTTTTAGGTTGCAACGTATGCCTACCTCCACACAGGACAGATCTGCATGGCAATCAAGCGTATCTATGTGCATGAGAGCATCTACGACGAGTTCCTTGCCGCCGTCACTGGCTTCCTGGATGCCGTCAAGACTGGCGACTACACCGACGCCGAGGCATTCTTCGGACCTATCCAAAACAAGATGCAGTTCGAGAAACTGCAGAAGCTGTACGAGGAAGTCGACAAGCAAGGATGGAAGCGTGCCTACGGCAGTGCACCCGAAAAGCGAGAGAAGGGTTACTTCATCCACCCCGTCCTCATCGACAACCCACCCGAGGACTCTCACATCGTCCAGACCGAGCCTTTCGGACCTATTGTTCCTATTATGAAGTGGTCGTCTGAGGAGGAGGTTATCAGGCGTGCTAACGGCACAGATCTGGGTCTTGGTGCTTCTGTTTGGGGCAAGGATGTTGCTCGCGCTCAGCGAATTGCTGAGGAGCTGGAGGCTGGAAGCATCTGGGTCAATACACATTTCGAACTTGGAGCTAATGTGCCTTTTGGTGGACATAAGCAGAGTGGTCTTGGAATGGACTGGGGTGAGGTTGGACTTAAGGGTTGGTGTAATCCTCAGGCTTACTGGGTGAAGCACTCTTGAGCGTAAAGATAAATATCATGAGTTGAGTTATACCTAGCTAAGAAGTTATATGAGTTGAAATATCCCCATTTATTCCAACATTCGAATCGACTGGTGGGTGTTTCTAAGAAGATATGTTCTAAGTAGCAATGCCTGCTTTTGTCTTGTGAAGGTGTGGTGAGGCCAGGGTCAATTGAGAGGTTTAATCAGAATCACGTGCTAGGACTCTGGAATTATTGCTGGCGAATGACAGTCTCCTACTTCTGAATGAATGCACCTAAGGATAACATCTGAGTATTGACATTGAAGTTACAAATTGGCAACCCAAACTAAATCCTTTAATCTAGTCAAGTTGCTACCCAGGGTAGCAACTGAGCCCAGGAGGCGCCGACTAAATCAGCCTCGTAGGGCTGACTTCACTGGTGGGGTTAGGCAACCTCGAACATGGAAATAATCTTCAACAAACCACGCATTTCGTGACAACCTCGATTGTATCCATGCAGGCCTCTGTATTCAACCTGTCCCTCTCTTCCAAACACAACCATGCCTAGCTCAAAGAAATCAAGTCGAGGAACCTCCGTAGCGAGCGATTTCAGCCAAGCCCTCCAAGAAACCCCCGCATTTGAACCAATGCGATACACTGCAAACTACATAAGGATGGCACAGGTAACTCTATCTTTGTCCAAGAACAAAAAGCATCTTCTCACATTTTATCAGCTCGAACTCAGTGCCTCTGAGTTTCAGGATCTCATGGCTGGGCTTAAAGAGGCAGGGAGACTCCTGCCTGAGAATTTTGATCCAGACAAGGAACCGTGGCCACCGGAGGCAGAAGAGGTGAATCAAAGGGTGGAGGAAATGTTGAAAATTTATGATAATCTTGCTGGGTGCTTCAAACAGTTTGTGCAAAGTGCACAGGCTGCGGGTGCGGGTATGGGTGTCAAGCGCCAGCAGTAATGGTGTAGGAAATATGGCTAGGTTACTGGCGTTGATAAATGAAGATAGTTGTTAGGTTTTCTTGAAATTATGTTATTAAATATCTGATTTGAGCCACAGAGTTGCAACAACTCGTTACTAATAACAGACCCTAGAACTTTCGTCTGGACTCTTATAACGCCCTCTCTGTTTTCTCTTCTCTAGAAAACTGACAAAGCCAATGGGAATGAAGTCTTGCATCTCCGGCAAGATTACGCATCCTGCAAAGATTTTCCTCATTGCTACGTTCCAACGACTGAATGTTGTATGAATACCATGACCGCAACGGTCCCGTTAGTGGAGAGCTGCAACACTTCTTTTAGTGGATCAATTATCAGAACGAATCCAAGAGATAAATTGGTCAATATTATCGAGTAAATTAATTACTGAACACTATCTTACTGAAAAGGCTCCGGTGCGTGTCCCCTTGACCTCTTCAACTTCTCAAGAGAGCTGGAGCCTGGAGGTCAGTCATTGGCGGAATTGTGGCTTACCCCTGCACCGCCACATTAACCACCGACGTCAAGGCACCAGCCTCATCCAAGCTCTCACCTCCAAACTGTCCTCAAGACCGCCTCTCCCAAAAACACCCTACAACCACCTCACCCTCAACCCCCCTTCCCTCCGCAACACCATCACAATGTCAAACTACTACTCATCGCAACAACCACAATACCCCGCCGCCGGCGGCCCCAACGCCGCGCAGAACCTGCAATTCTTCCCCTCCCAGTACACGAACCCGGGATCGTCAACACCTCAGCAAGCAGCAGCCGCTGGCTACGGATACGGCAACCAGGGCGGCTATGGCGTCGGAGCTCCAGCGCAGAACTTTGCGGCTCCCGCGTTTGGTGCGCAGGGTGTCAGTGGGAGGATGGGTGAGCAGGGCGGGTTGAGGATTGGTTGGGTTGCGGCTTTCTCGTCGGAAGGGTATGATGGTGAGCCGCCTTTGCTGGAGGAGCTGGGCGTTAACTTTGGACATATTCAAGCAAAGGTTTGTTTTTACCTCGATTGATTGGGTGGTGACGCTGACTCGTTCTAGACGCTCGCTGTGTTGAACCCCTTCCGACGTATCGACTCGCACATCATGGACGACTCCGACCTCGCGGGCCCCCTCATCTTCTTCCTCCTCTTCGGCTTCATCCTCCTCTTCTCAGGCCAAGTCCACTTCGGCTACATCTACGGCCTCGCTGCCCTCGGCTCCATATCCCTCCACCTCATCCTCTCCCTCATGTCGCCCTCCGACGCCAGCGAACCCCAAGTCAACAGCTACCCCCAATACAGCAGCGATCCATCCGCGCCTCAGCAACAGCACGACGGTCAGCAGGGCGGCCACTTCTCCGCGACGCTGACGTACCCCCGCAGCGCGAGCGTGCTGGGATATTGCCTGCTACCGCTCGTCGCGACGAGCTTGTTCGGCATCGTGATGAGGATGGATACACCTGTTGGCATTGTCGCGACCACGGCAGCTATTCTCTGGTGTACTTATAGCGCGAGCGGGATGTTCTGCGCGGTGGGTCAGATGAAGCGCATGCGAGGACTGGTTGCGTATCCCCTTGCGCTGTTCTATGTTGGATTCGGCATCATGGGTATTTTCAGCAGCCGGGGAAGTGGAACGTTTTCCAATGCTGCTGCTAAGCTCAACGCATAAAGCAAGTAACGACACGTTGCAGAAATGGTTCTGACACGATGGGAGTTTTCTGCGCGCGGAAACTCGACGCTGTACATGATAACGCCCTCGCGGCGAAGATATGATGGAGGGATGGTAGGCGTTCAGATGGGGAGACGCAAGTTACACAAACTGGGACATGCTCCCTTGTACTAGAATAATTATTTTTGTATGTCACGATTAAAAAGAAGCAGGGACAGAAGGTTCAGGTTAGCGTTGAGACTCTTAAAAAAGCAACTTTCAGATATGCAAAGACATCGTGACCATCTATATACCACAAACCAGCATGCAAAGGCATCAAAATAGAATGCATCCTCCTTGATCATGAAAAACGTTGTTTTTTTAAACCGCACTCAGAATCCGCCCATCCGATTCATCATGCATCCGCCGACGTTAAAGTACAAATATTGGAAAGCTGCCCTCAGCAACGTAATTAAGAATAGGGCTGATATGGAAAATCCCAGATTCCTCCGTCAATTCATTCCTCGTGTCAAGGTCTAAGCGCCGTTGGTCTTGACGCCGTTTGTGGGAGCATCATCAGCGATGCCGAAGAGCACAGAGTATTGACCGCCTGCGCCTGCACCGATGATCTTCTTGCCGCGGATGGCGGTATTGTCGATCAGAGTGGGAGTGTGGATGTCGTCGATTGTGCCTTGGCCGGTTTGGTAATTGCTGGAGAAGCCCCATGAGTAGACCTTGCCGTCGGAGGCGATGGCGAAGTTGTTGTCGGTGCCGGCGGCGACGGCGACGATGTCCTTGGCGTCTGTAAATGTTGGTTAGCGGGTGGATCAGAGTGAGGGGTTATGAGTGTGACTTACCAGGCTGGATAGTAGGCTTGAAGAGAATACGAGCGTTGCCTCGCTCGTCGTAGATGGTGTTGTCCTCAGACAACTTGTCGAACTCGAAGCCGACTTGGTAACCATCGACACGACCCCAGGTCAGGAGATCACCCTTGTCGGAGCAAGCAAGGGAGTGGTGCTCGCCACCATCAATCTCAGTAATGTTGTAATCATCGAGGTATGTAAGCTTAGCAGGTCGAAGGATAACAGCATCATCCTCGCCAGCATTCGACTCAACACCAATCTCGCCAAAGTTGTTAAGACCCCAGCCATAAACCTGACCGCTCTTGTCGATGGCAAAGCTGTGATAAGAACCGCAAGCAATCTTGGCAATCTTGCCTCGAGGCAGACCAACACCCTGGGGAATGAGGGAGGACATCTTGTTGCGCTCGATGATACGGCGGCCGAGCTGGTTCTGTTGACCGCAGCCCCAAGCAACGACGTTGCCCTTGTGGTCGAGAGCGAGAATGTGGTTGGAACCGGCAGCGAGGGCCTTGATGTTCTTGAGGTCGCGGATCATGAGGGGAGTGGACTGGACCTTGATGGTCTCTGAGAAGCCGAGGATGCCGTCGCTGGATCGGAAGGTTCCCCAGCCGTAGACTCGACCATCTTCTGTGAGGGCGAAACTGGCGCTGTCACTCGCGACAACCTGGACAAACTTGGTGCCGGGAGCGAAATGCTCGTCGGAAACAGCTGTCGGTGTGCTTTCCATGGGGTTAATACCAGTATCGTCCTCATCCTCCGAGTCAGAGTCTTCTGACTTGTCCATGTCGCGAAGACCTCCATCCCAGTTTGTATCTCTACCAAGCGCGCCTTGATCGTTGACACCCCATGTCAAGATCTTGTTATCGTGCGTCAACGCGACAGCGTGCATGCCACCGCAAGAAATCTGGACAACGCCGACGTTGGCGGCAGAGAGGTTATCGTTGAGTCGGGGACGCTTGACGTCGATTGGCTTCTTGTTGTTGACGCGCTTGCTTCCAAGACCAAGCTCGCCGGATGAACCCTCGCCAAAGACGTAGACATCGAGGATCTGAGTGGGCGCGTCGTTGAGCTTCTTTCCGATCGCAGGAAACTCGGACTTCTTCTTGGGCTCGGCCTTTGTTCCAGCAGGACGACCGGGTTTCTTAACAGCAGGCTTCTCCTCCGCCTCTTCGGTCTTTGCTCGTGTCGTTGTCTTGGCCTTTGTAGCAGCGGCTTTGGTCTTTGGGGCGGGCTTGACAGCGGGCTTTACGACGCGTTCTGTGGTCTTGGACTTCTTTGTCTTGCGATCTTCCTCCTGCTCTGGCTCAGACTCTTCCTCGGGAGCCTTGCGCTTCTTCGTGGCGCCATTCGTGGCAGCAGGCTCAGCCTTCTTGGCAGCAGCTTTTGTAGTCTTGGTCTCCTTCTTAGCAGCGGCAGCTGTGGTGGCCTTCTTGGGCGCTGCGGCCTTGGTGGCAGCAGCTGCTTTGGCTCGTGGCGCCATCGCGTAGGATTTGTGACCTGATGATTTGTTGTGTGTGTGTGTGTATGTGTGACGCGCGACAGTTGCTTTTTGCTCAAATAAGAAGCTTGATTGACGAGATCAAAAAGTGCAAAACTTGATGAAGTGATGGTATTGATGATAAGATCAAGCTTGGGAAGAGCGCGACAATAAAGAAAGTGGGTGGATTTTCTACCCTTTGATGAACAATAGGGAAAAAAAAGCTGATCTGACCGCGCTGGGGCAGTGATCATTTGCGGGCTGAACAGGGGGTGAAGCCTGGATTGGGTGTCACCGCCCGGAAGCTGTCAGCCAGTTCCAATTGCGCTAGTGGTTTTTCTGCCGGACAAATTTCCCAGTTACGAGCCAGAGGAGCAGAGCTTTCAAAGGCGGTGAATCGAGAGCTTTGCAATTGTTCATCTCATCTGCCGATACGCGATTCACCGCTGGCATATTGATGAAATGAACGTTCCATCGTTTGAGCACAGACGCTGCAATGACAGTTCAATTATACGTCCCAACCTTATTGTCGTCTGATGTTGGAAATGGCACAATTGACATCTGACAAAGAACCTTGGTTTGGACTGCGCGTTCTCAGAATGAACAATTGAGCATCCTCTCGACGCGTTTGCTTAGCGGCCAATACATCCCGTTTCGTCTGGCTCGCGAACATATTGTAGTACAGACCCTCAGAAGTTCCGTTTGTATCACACAATTACACGTCTCTCTTCGTAGGTTGAATATCATGAATATTGTTCATCTCTGTATCCGTATCTCAGGTATCTATCGCCTCGCCACCGAACCAGTACCGTAACCGTTCCCCAACGCCATTCAAATGCAGTATTTTCTTTTCTACCCCATTAAGCCGTATTCATCGTCGCCGTTGTAGCAAATTTATTTCTTGGTAGTAAAGTCGATCTCGTTGGCAGGGTTAAAGCCACCATCAGCAGCCTTCTCGCAAGTGCAGCCACCTAAAACCCCACAATTAGCAACAGTCGTCACAGAAACACAAACGCCACATACCAGCAGGACGAGATCCGCAAGCGCAAGTTGAACCAGTTGGTGTAACGTTCTCGGTAGCGGCGCGGTCGCATGTGCATTCACCGGCGGGACGAGCGCGGCATGAGCATCGAGGACCGTTGACGGTGTTTTCGGAGGCGGCTTTGGAGCATGTGCATTGGAGAGCGGACTTTTGACCGCATGAGCATGTGGCCTTTTGAGCTGTGATGATTGTTAGAAGGGTTGTGAATGGGGAGGAGGGGATGATGTCACGTACCACAGGCGCACTCGACGTTGTCGCCAGAGCGGCAGCAGGTAGCGGGAGTGTTGACGACCATTTTGACGGTTTGAAGTGGTGTTGAGTTATTGGGGAGAGTGGTAGAAGGTGTGTTTATGTGGGAAAAAAAGTGATTGGATTGTGAATGCTTGTTTGAGATTCTGGATCTTGCAAGCGGCTCTTGGTCTTATTTGTACTTGATGGCTTTCAAAGAACTTGACCCACTTCAACTAAAGCTTCACAGCTGCGGACCTGAGAGCTGGTAATCGCATTCACTATGATTGGTTGACAGCAGCTGACTCAGAAGAAAGGACCAATGAGCGATTGCTTATTCTTTTTTTGCTTAATTATCGCCTCCCAGAACATGCCATGCTGATACAGACCATGTCATGCGTCTGTCAGCTAACGAGCCAGACCGACTAAACGAGCCTCAGCATTTTCGCTATGTCCGTCATTGGTTCTTCACCTTGGTCTTGTATTGTCAGCAATGACACCGTACTCAGTAATATTTCTCAATTACAGAACTATCTCTCGCCGAATGCAATTACCGATCCTAAGATAACCTCTTAACAATGAATAATTACTGAGCTACTACCATTTATCAACTCAATGAATATTTATAAAACACTACCTATGACTGAAACTTCTATCAGCCATGACCGTTCACCGATCAAGGCCTGGTCCAACACCGTCACACCGCGTCGCTTCCGTCCTTGATCTACTCAGCTCCGGGTCGGCTGTCTCCGGTCATTTGTCGCTTGATTGAGGTCCCCTGCCAGCTGCTTTTGCCAAAACAGAGAACTGATGAAAGAAAATAAACGCCTTGTGGAAATGGCTTATCAAATGAGCTATGTACCCTGCAAGAAAAGCAATATGATCTGTAAGATGGCTTGCAGCCAACGAGACTCTGACAAGCCTTAGCCACCCCGGTTTTGGTGGTAGATTTCTTAATAAGCATTCCAACTACAACTCTCATCTTGACACTCAAGTTACGCTCGACCAATGTTGAGCCACTTCACTGGGCAATAAAGAAATGAGTATTAATTAAGTTAAATTAAGTATTCTACTACTAGTATCAGTTAAATATGAAAGTTATATAAATAATACAGGGTTTATTATAAAAGTCTAATTTAAGTGATATTTATAGGGTATGTCGCATTGACTTTTCGCCAGTCGCTGTTTTGCTGCGCCGTTGATAGAGCTTGATCTTCAGCGATTAGTCATCGATTAACGGTCCTATAGTTTAGTGGTAATGACGTCGGATTTTGATACTGCTCAAAAGCCTTCCGAAGACCCCGGTTCGAACCCGGGTAGGACCTCATTTTTGTCCTGTCCACGTCTGGAGATAAAATACTTGATTCCCCGTCTCCCAAGTCGTTATGAATGTTTTTTTTTTTTGGCAATTTCTTTCTCGGATATTTCAACTCTCCGCAACTCGTGGCTGTAAATGGGAGTTGTCTAATGTATGGACCCCGTAGCCGATGTCGGCCGGTCAAGACTGATCACTACCGTTCTCGTGACGTCGCACGGAAATGATAATGTCTGGGTCACTTCAATGATGATACGAATGGACACACGTTGCAGTGTTACACTGCGTTTGCCGTCATTTGTGCTTTGTCTACATTGAACGTCTTTGTCTTGGGTTCAAGTCAACTGTCTCCTGGTTGGATTGCTTTTGTGGAGACATTTGATGTTAGCCAACCTCCACTTGTTCTTGTCCATCAACGTACCACTGTTCCCCCGTCTCTTCACATTGTCACATCTGAAGAAAATGTCAGTCCCTGGCTCATCTGAGACTAACGAGTCTACGATTGTGGTCATTGGGTATGCTTTCATTACTAAGCCCTCCCTAAATCCCCTGCTAACACTAACGTCCCAGTGCTGGCATCATCGGTCTTACCAGCGCCCTCAAGATCCAACAACTAACCGCCGACTCACCATCAACTTCAGTTCTCCTCGTCGCAAAAGAATGGCCAACTTCAATCCCCGGCGCTCCAACAACTCACTCTGCAGACTATGCTTCCATGTGGGCTGGCGCTCACATTCGACCCATCCCCGCCTCAACGCCACAGCTGCGTCGTGAAGCCAAGTGGGTGAAACACACTGTCGCTGAGCTTCAGAAACATCAACAGACTGAACCTTGGGTTGGGATCAGACGTCTTCCGGGGATTGAGTATCTTGAGGACCCTTCGCCTGAATATTGGAAGCAAGATGCGCAGAGCTTTTCAAACGAGACTGGACTGCCGGGATATCGAAAGTATGAAGCGCATGAGCTACCTGAGGGCGTAAAGTTGGGATTTGAGTATGAGACGTATTGTATCCATGCGCCGTTGTATACTGCTAGCTTGCTGCGCAAGTTTATTGTACAGGGTGGAAAGACACTGCAGAGGGATCTGAAGAGTGAATGGGAGGCTTTCATCCTGGCACCTAGTGTCAAACTAGTCGTTAATGCGAGTGGAATGGGCTTTGGAGATAAGAAGTGCTTCCCCATCAGAGGTACGACAAGTCTTCCTTACCAGAGGAGATGATAACTAACAAGGTCCAGGTCAAACAGTGCTAACCAACCTTACCGCCGCCGACAAAACAATCACAACTCAAAAGAAAGACGGCACATGGAGCTTTATAATTCCTCGTTCCTTCAATGGAGGAACAGTCATTGGCGGTACCAAAGAAGTGGGAAACTGGCAGCTCGAACCATCACAAGAAACACAGAGTCAGCTACTGAAAGCTGCTCAGCCAATCATACCACAGGCATGCGACAAGAAACAGACACCTGAGACGATAAAAGTTATCAGAGATGTCGTTGGACGAAGGCCAGCTCGCGAGGGTGGCATGAGAGTCGAGACTGAAGCTAGGGATACTACATTGGGCGTCAAGTATGCCATTCATGCTTATGGGGCTGGAGGACGAGGATTCGAACTGTCTTGGGGTGTTGCGAGTGAAGTGGCTGAACTTGCGAGCGAGATATTGGAATCGCAATCTAGTGCTAGACCGAAACTGTAGAATCCGGGGATCTTGGTGAGAGTTTGTGTGATTCGGGATAGTGATGGGAATGATTCGGCTTCCTATGCCGAGCTTCGGCCAATGTTACTGACTGACCGACCGTGCATTATGATAGTCTTCGCATTACCTCACGAAAATGGGGGAATTACTTGGCAGATCGCTTCTAAAATCAACACCATGTCAAGTGCGCCCTTAAGCAGGCGGGGTCTTGATCCTTCGCCGTGCAATAAATATCTCTTCACTCAGTAAATATCCTCCACAAATCCAGTTACTACCACATCACCACACTAAATTCACAAAGATGAGCACCCCCACTGATGAGAACTGGCAACCTAAAGCCATAGTCTTCGATCTCCTCACCGGCCTCTTGAACTCCTGGGATCTATGGGACGCATCAACCCCGTCCAAAACTCACGAAGACGGCGGCCGCTGGCGTCAGCGCTATCTCGAAATCACCTTTGGTGCTGGCTCCTACAAGCCCTATGAGGATCTCGTCAGACAAGCTGCTGCGGAAGTTGGTCTCCCCGCGTCAGCGCCCGAAGCGCTCCTCAAGAACTGGTCGAGCATCAAAGCGTGGGAGGAAGTCCCCTCTGTTCTCCAAGCTTTAAAAGCCCAGGGCTATAGAGTTGGTGTTATTACTAATTGTTCCAAGCACTCGGGATATATCGCTATTCATGGTGTTGAGGAGCAGGCTAGTGTTGGTTTTGAAACGCCGTTTACTTTTGATGCTGCTGTTACGGCTGAGGAGAGTGGGTTTTACAAACCTGTTAAGGAAGCATATCACGCTATCCTGCCCAAGTTGGGGGTTGAAGCTGAGGATATTCTTTTCGTTGCTGGAAGTGCGGGGGATGTTGAGGGTGCGACTAATGCTGGGATGAAGGTTGTTTGGCATAACAAGATTGGGTTGACGAAGAAGGGTAATGCAGTTCCGTTGAGGGAGAGCAGGACGTTGGATGATGCTCTGAAGGGGTATTTGACGAAGCGCGAGGTGTAACTGCATATATTCAACCTTTCTCACACAGAATTGGTGGCCTGGAGCTCCACGGGCTGTAATCTACTAGTCTGTTGGGTTAAGCATTTCTTTGTTCTTAATTTAGCATTAGAAATGAGCCCCTTCCTTCCACATACTACTGGACCCGCTATACCCGAGTAAAGTCGACTTCACAATGGAAATACCACGGGACGATCAAGTCACCAGGGGTCCCTATCTATGCTAGTATTCTCGAAAGTAGAAATGCATAGTTTGAAGGCAAGACTAGACTCTATGATGGCTGGAGTGAGCACCTGAGCTCAGAAAACCCAAAAACGAAGCACAAACCATCAGGAGCTGAGTCCTTGTCAAGTCCCTTCTTCAAGCATGAATCACATCCAGGACACGAGTTTTGGTATCCAATTCCACTTCTCAAGCAAGATGATGTCGCTCCTGGTATCATGGCACCATATATTTCTTGCGAGTCCCGACACGCGATATTGCTACTAGAAAACGATCTTATCGGGCCTGAGAATCCCTGAGAACTATTCCTCCTGGATAGCGAACACACTTGGGCAGGTATAATACGAGCGGATGATGCTTTTGGTATATCCAGCATGACCTCGCACACCCAGGAACAAGCCGTGGAGTTGGTGGAAATCGCAATCGGACTGTTCCCACTAGCCTTGTTAAAGAGCCACTCATATAAAGATGTTCTACTCTAAGAAAAACCAGGGTTTGATCAATGGCATCAATTTTACTATGTCATGTGGATAGAATGGCGAGCAGGTATCGAAAAGGACTTGGCAAGGTTTGTCTTGATATCTGGGAAAAGCAAAGAGGATAGCCTTTTACTTTAATACTGGGATAAGATGGTCATAGGCTTAAAAAAGTAATATTCTTTTATCTTAATTAAGTAATTAGACCTTATTATACTTCCTAACGAGAAGTAAAAATGTTATTTTCTAGGTTTTCCTCTTATTAATATTTATACTGTAGTAATTAATTAGGTATTATAATATAATACTTAAATAGTAAGCTAGATATATTAGGAATGACGGGCGTGTCGAGGTAGCTATGCTCGGCAGACTAGATGGTCTTCCATAGATGGGCTGATGCATTGTAGACATGGATTGGTACTTTAAGCAGCGATGATTTAAATAGCATGGCGTTTAACCACATTTATTAGAGCCTAGATGCCAAAGAAAATGTAAAGAAAATCTCCTAATCAGTATTTTATAATTGTGTGGATATAAAGGATAGT